CTGATCATATCAGGGGAGAATCTGCATGAGCTTGCCTTGAAATGCGTGCTGACGGAACCAGCTGACTGGTACTCCACCATGGCAGAGACTGTTTCCAGTTTGATGTCGCGGCCTGAGACAAATGAGCAGCCGCTCATATTGGAGTTGGGCCTTGTGAGCTGTCTCCCACGATCCCTTACCGCATCTGCCAACCTTCGAGTTTTCACGCCGCCGTTGAACTCGACTGTTTTGCCGAAAGAACGAGGATCGTCAGCGAAGGATGAATATCACTTTGTCTACCCTGAGCACTCTATTGCTGTCATTGGAGCTGCTTGTAAATTCACCGGTGCAGAGACTATGCAGCAATTCTGGGAGCTCATTCGAGCAGGAGGCACAATGGTGGGAGAACTTCCTGAAGGCAGGATTGCGATAGACAAGTCGTTGCGGAAGGGACCATGGGAAGAACCTCTGAGGGGTAACTTCCTTTCCAGTGCAGGCCACTTTGACTACGGACTCTTCGGAATATCCCCACGGGAAGCTAAATACATGGATCCGCAACAACGCATTGCGCTGCAGGTGGCGTACCAAGCTGTTGAGTCGTCTGAATACTTCGGGAGCGGCATCAAAGATAAAAATATCGGCTGCTACGTTGGCGTCGGAGGTTCGGATTATGATCATAACGTCTGCTCTCATGCCCCGACGGCATTTTCTTTCACAGGCACTGCTCGAGCCTTTGTGAGCGGTCGCATATGTCACTACTTTGGCTGGACGGGTCCATCAATGACCATCGATACAGCGTGTTCCTCGTCAGCTGTGGCTATCCATCAGGCATGCAAGGACATCAGAATGGGCGAATGCCGTATGGCCTTAGCAGGAGGCGTTAACATAATTTCCTGTCCGAATATGCAACAGAACTTGGCGGCAGCCAGGTTTTTAAGTCCGACTGGCGGCCCTTGTCGTCCATTCGATGCTTCTGCTGATGGCTATTGCCGTGGAGAAGGATGTGGCTTTGTCATGTTGAAGAAGTTATCATGCGCCGTGGCCGACAATGATGATATTCTAGGCGTGATTGTGGGATCGGCAGCGAATCATTGCGATGGCAACGACGCAATCACTGTGCCAACATCGCACTCGCAGGTCAACCTCTATCGGAAGGCTCTGTCGCTGGCAGTCATGCAACCCAAGGACATCACCTACGTTGAGGCTCACGGCACTGGTACTCCGCGGGGAGATCCAGTGGAATGCAGAAGTATTCGACAAGTCTTTGGAGGGGCGAGACCCACGTTGCATTTCGGCTCTGTCAAAGCCAACATCGGACATACAGAAGCAGCTTCAGGAGTCGCAGGGCTCCTGAAAGTGCTGTTGATGATCGGAAACAAATGGATACCGCCACAGGCCAATTTCACCGCGTTGAATGCATCGATTCCGCCACTCGAACCGGGCAACTTGTCGGTTCCAACTAATGGACTCGAATGGAAGGCCAATTTCCGTGCTGCTTGCATCAACAATTATGGGGCAGCGGGGAACAACGCCGCAGTGATTGTTTGCGAGCCACCTCGGTCAGAGTCTAGTGCTGGCAATAATCACAGACTCTCTGGATACCCTTTTTTGATAACTGGGCAGTCGGAAAGAAGTCTCAAGATGTACTGCACTGCCCTTAGTGAGTGGTTGGAAAACACCCACGCCCCCTTGTCAGATATCGCGTTCAGTGTGGCTCGGAGCCAGAATCGGACTCTTCGACATCGCATCACCTTCGCTGCACCTTCGCTAAGTGATTTGAGAAGCACTCTTGGACAGAAGGCGAGACTTGAGCAACTGTCGTCGCCTTCAACAAAGCCCCAGCCGGTTGTTCTGGTCTTTGCAGGCCAGACAGGGAACATTGTCCACCTGCACAAAGACGCGTATGAAGGTTCAAGTCTGTTGCGGTCACACATTGATGAGTGCGACGGAATTCTCCGCAGAATGGGCCATCGTGGCCTGATCCCATTCTTGTTTGACCAACATCCCATACAGGATGTCGTGCTCCTTCATTGCCTGTTCTTCTCGCTGCAGTACGCTTGCGCTGCAGCTTGGCTTGATGTGGGCTTGCCCGTCCAGCGTGTCATAGGCCACAGCATTGGCCAGTTCACTGCAATGTGTATCTCGGGGGTTACGACGCTTGCCGATACACTCAAGCTAGTTGCAGGTCGAGCCAGGTTAATCCAGCAGAAATGGGGCAAAGAACGGGGCTGTATGCTTGCCGTTGAGGTAGACAGGCAGGGAGCTCTCGAACTTGCCCGCTCAGTCCCAGATCGTAAGGTAGAGATTGCATGCTTCAATGGGGCCAGGAACCACGTCCTGGTTGGTACTGAACTAGCCATCCAGACACTCGAAGCCCAGACATCCTGTAAGACTCGGAGGTTAAAGACTACTCACGGCTTTCATTCTGAGCTGGTTGACTGCTTGCTGGACGACTATATGGCTCTGGCACGGAGTATCACATTTGCGACGCCGAATATTCCAATCGAAACATGCTCCATGGGCGGCAGCTGGAAGGAGTTCACTCCCGAAATGGTTGTTCGTCATTCGCGCGAATCAGTATATTTCTTCGATGCTATTTCTCGAGTTGACGAAGAACTAGGACCTTGTACGTGGGTTGAAGGAGGCGCCGGATCCAGAGGCATAGCACTTGTGAAGTGCGCCCTCGGGACCGAGCGCAGCTCAGGGCATTCTTTCCATCGGTTGCAATTGGATTCATCAGAACCTTTGGAATCACTAACGGAAACCACGATGCAGATGTGGGATGAAGGCCTTGACGTGCAGTTCTGGCTGTATCATAACACAGAGAAGACAACATTTGACTCTTACGATGTTCCTGGTTACCAATTTGACGAGACAGCATTCTGGCTTTTACGTTCCGACAAAGCAGGCCGGAGCGACTCGGAGCGGGAGAGGATCATTTCTGACGAACACAAGCCACTGGTCTATTTGCTGCGGGACGAAGGGTTCAGAGAAGAACCGCGAAAATTGCATTTCGGAGTCAATCATTGTCATCCAGACTTTGGCAGGTACCTGAACGGACGCGAAGTCCTTGGGGAGGTTTTGTGTCCCGTGTCGGTGTTTGTCGAGCTGGCCGCTAAGGCCGCGTCCATTTGTGCCGGCCACGAATGCTCGATGGCGTCCGCTCATGTACGGGTTCTGAATCTGGAAATCCATAATCTGCTCGGGCACGCTCCAGGAGCTCGCGTTGGCCTGAGGCTCAAACACATCGGATCGTGCAATTGGGGATTCTCGATTATCAGTGAAAAAGACGCCCAGAGCATATGTCACGCGACAGGAACGGTTTCTCTCAAGCAGGAGCGACATGGCAAATCCGAAATGGGGCTCCAGTGGTCAGTGATCCAGAGAGTAATCGGATACAGCCATATCCAGGACATCCTTGATGACTCTTCGGCAATTTCCATGAAAGGACGCTTAATCTATAAAGTACTCGAGAAAGTGGCCGAGTACAAGCCTTGCTATAGGGGTATCAAAGCCATGACCATAAAAGACACCGCGGCAGTCACCCAGCTGGAGATGCCGGCAATTGGTGCTAACAGCTCGGAGATAGTAGTGTGTGATCCGCTTGTGATGGACCAGTTCGTATTGATCGCAGAAGTACTGGCGCTGTGCCGGGCTGATTGCAAGAGAGAGGATGTATTCATCTGCTCTGGCCTGAGTGAGTTGGTCACATTCAAGAATCTCCAATCAGAAATGGGACCATGGACTGTTTATACTCGACAAACACTCCGTGGGCCCAGGGAGCTCCTGAGTGACACGTTTGTATTTGATTCAACCAGTAAGCAATTGATTGTTGCCATCCTTGGCGCAAGGTTCGTTCGGATTACCACCAGTTCCCTCGGTGGAATCGTCAAGAGAGCCAGTCTCAACAGTCAGACTACGGAACTTTCAGTCGAGACAGAAGCGGTAAACCACCCAGTGAGTGAAGCTTGCCGACACTCGGATGACAGCGATGTCTCAAACATTCTCTCTATACTGAGGCGCCTGCTCCACGAGATAACTGCAATTCCTTCAAGCGAGATTTCCCCCAGCACACCTCTCATGGAAGCCGGCGTCGATTCCCTTGCCGCAACCGAGTTGGAGAATCGAATTCAAGAAGTATTTAATCTTCACAGACCGGTCTCCCTCTATGAAAGACAACTTGATGTTGGGACACTTTGCCGGGAAATTCAGACGCAGCGAGACGACTGGCTTGCTCGAGCTTCTCGAACTACGACTGCCACACGTAATACTTCATCCTCTCTCGACCGACGTACATCATCCACTGAATCACTATCTGATAATGCGGAGGCACGATCTATAAGTAATAGCGAGGCCATGCTTGCCCAGTTATCAAGGATGTTGTCGGAAAGCTTCAACATCACAGAGAGCATACTCCCTGGAACTGAGCTTCGAAGTCTGGGTTTGGACTCATTGGTCGCCGTTGAGCTCGAGTCCGACCTACAACAAGCATTTGGCTTGAAGGTGGATTTGATGCAACTAAGTCCCGAGCTTACGGTGGGTGGACTCGCTCGGCTTATTTTGGCGTCCAAGTCTCATACGTCTAGCCACATGGCGCCTTCCATGGTGGATTCTGGACAGACGACGGAACGAAAGAGCCAGTATCTCGGTTGATAAAGGCGTTGAAATTCCGGGCGATAATGTAGATTTGCGCATCTTTTGTGATGGTAGTTTCGTCTTTGCTCTCCTCGAGAGTGTGGTGGAAGCCTGGAAGGTGGATGTAGGAAGCAGAGGAAAGACGCGACAAAAAGGTGCAAGCCCTAAGATTGAGCCCTAATACCGGATTTATCTCCGGGCCACACGGCCAATCATTTGCGACTAATGTTGTTCTGTTCTGTCTATGTGCTTGGATACCTTAATGATCTCTCTCCGTTCCTCATAATACATTGTCGTTTAAGTCTTTGCACTTCGTTGTTTCCAAATTAGATGCTACTGAGAGCTGTAACCCTGTTGGCCCGCGTAGAATTCGTTGCGGTATTGCTCTAAAGCTCTCCGCGAAAAATACATTTCACCAAAAGACCTCCGCCAACAGTCATCGCAATAGCTGTGCGTGCACCAACAAGCTCCGGAATATTGACAAGAAACGAACTCTTTTCTTTTATCGTCTGCAAAGAGTACAGCCAGACCGGAGTCGTGAGGGTAAGCCAGATACACACCCAGATGAACCCCACAAGCTTACGCCAGCAAGGCACAGCACATCCATCACTGTCGACGGTGGATGCTCTTCCAGGACGATGGCTGTCACTGAGTCAAGTCCAAGCTGCCTGAACCGCATCTTCAATCATGATTCCTAACGCCATGGAGCAGAAAAAGACAAGAGAAGTCGACTGGCTCATAGAAATGCCCATGAATAGGTCGGACATGACATGCATCACGCCTGAAACGAGAAAGACAAAGAAGATGTTGGTATATCGTTCGAGCAACGACGGCCTAGGGAGAGCCATAAGCTCCCGGGCCAGGTAGTTGCTTGTCGCGGTGAACGGCCATCGGAACATCTGGTGCCAATATGTACTGAAAAATAGGCAAGTTAGCAGATCCCACTCACAGTTGTATGGTGACCACTCACCCCCAGAAATTACGGAGAGTGTAGGCTTGTTTTGCACGACCAAACAGCGGTGGCCAGTCCTCCGGAGCGTCTAGGCCTATGCCAACACTCAGAATAGACGCGGTGCGATAGTCAATATCCACAGCTGCCCGCAAGAACGCAAACCAGAACATCTGCGAGATCATAATTCGAGTTCGCCATTCCTCCATGGAAACGCGGAGGTATCCTAGGCCACAAATGGGCTTTGACAGTGGTGATAAGTTTCCATCAGCTAGATAGTTTGCGCAATTCAGGTATAAGTACAGCCACGCCACGATAGCAGCCTGTCTTATCAAGAATGCAGTGCGAGAGATTGGGGCTTTCGGCTGTCGTGCGAGGTATGCCGGGTGCGATGGGACCCCTTTCACCTGCCATGGTGTTCGCACGCCCCGCAAATACGTAAACAGACGAGCAACTTTGTATGTCTTTCGCGGGAAATCATCTCTCGGATGGATAATCTTTGTCTCAAGAAGTTCGTTCTTGTCCAGCGGGTTGATCAAGACAAGATTGAAGCCCTGGATGATCACCGTAAAAAAGCTGGACTCCCACCTTGGTGATGTATGTGCCACTCTCACCGTGCGATATCGGGATTTGAAGCCATCGATAGAAAATAAAGACGGACCAGAAAATCCACAAGTACCTGGGGACTGAGTTCTCTTCCGTCCTCAGGACCACAATGGCAGGCACTAAATTCTGGGCAAGAAGGAAAGGAATGGCATACAAAAGGGCCTCGAGGACCCTACGCTCTCTTCCATACATTCCTTTGAGGAGATCAGACAAATTGCTGCACACGGATAACTCACAGAAAGATGAAATAACGGGCTCGTTGCCAAAGTTACGTGCCTCAGAACCTCATATAATCACTGCTTGAGAACAGTCCAGTAGATCATGTGCCTGGAAGCTCTCTCCGAGGCCAGACAACCACAATAATTAGCACAAGCCCGAACAGATTATTATGACCCTAGATGATTGACAAACCCACTGAAAAAGCAAAGTAGTTCCTCTCTGCATGACCACGTCTACAGCTCCGTGCGCAGTCTCCCCGTCCGGCTATGGGTTTATTGAACAGGTCCCAATGGAAATCACCATCGGTACAAGAAGAAGGAAGCAGGTCTAGACTTTGCCATTTGAGAGCCAATGGTCCGATTCGAAATGATGTAACGTAGACTATTGACTTTATGGCGCAGCTGAGAGATTGGCGTTGGTCTTCCGAAGAGATTGCTTTGTGAGCCGAACTCTCGTATCTCTTCCAAATTGGCCTGCATTATCGGAATTGGCCCGAGTGACCTGCATGCGTCTCCAGGATAGCCAGTAGAGTGGCCTTCCAACGAGACGCTCCATACACAGACCAGCTAGCTATTGAGTAGACATAATTGCAATGTGAGAAACTGCACTGAAGTTTCGCGAAAGACGTATCACTTGCTCTGACAAAGTGAGAATTTGGCAAGGCTGACAACGTTTCAAGAGTCTATATTCGACGACTAAACTTTCATGCGAGATAGGTAATTGACTCTATACTAGTGTATCAAGTCTAGAGTACCATCCCTCCACCCCCAGCCCTTAAGCAAACACAACTCGATTCCGGACAAAATCATTCCCGATCCAAGCAAGGACACACAGCGAAAGGGCAACAACCGGATACAAGCACGGTATCAAGGCAGTTCCATTCATACCTGGCTTGAATTGATACCATCCGGCCGCTGACCGGGTAGCAAGCGGTAAGAAGTCCAGGTGCTCAGCTGAAGCGATTACCTTAGACGCCGCGTCCGCTGCGACCTCGCCCCGGTAGGGCAGGTAGTAGCGTCCGAGCAATTTAAGGAGCAGGTTCTGCCTTGCCTGCAATCTAACAACAATCCTGGATCCATGGTAGATTTCACGTACACGGCGAAATCGACTTCGATTGAATTCTTCCAGGAGGCCATCTATTTCAGTCGATGATAAGGTTGAACCGTCAGGCTTTGCTCTAAGAGCCCGGTGGAGGCGATTCACAAGGGCAGCGGCGTCTTCGATGGCGGAGTTGGCCCCTTGGCCGGTATTTGGGGCCATCTGGTCGAGGAAAGTCAGAATCAGAATCCCGAGTTTCATATCGCCGAAGACAGAAACCTACCTTGTGCATGCTGTCTCCAATGCAAACGATTCGTTCCCAATGCCATTTTTGAAACACATACTCCTCAAGCTTCACTAATGAGAACACCTCTCTACTCTTCCATAGGTCTCGAAAATACACTCCGTCCCAGATGTGGTCATCGGCAAACCGCTCAGCTATCTTCTCGGCGTCTGTGGAGGAGAACCGCGGAGCATTGGAGTAGGAGTATTTCCGGTCGAGCTTCAGCAGGAGGAACCAAAAGATTCTACCATTTTCCCCGGGAAACGTGAGGTACGACCTACCGTTGTTGAAGCTGGCCACTTGCTCGCCTGGTTTCAGCTTGGGGACGGAAGACGAGATCCCGAAAACGCAGGCATACTCAACCGTCATCGCTAGAGATTCAGATTGTAATCAGCCTTAGTCGACGCATCTTTCCTGAATATGATAGTACCCACAGCTCATTTCATGCTCAGGGAATGCACCCGGACTTTGCGAATTGGCCAGCCGCCACATTTCGGCGCGCACTCGACTGTGCACTCCATCCGCACCGACTACCAGATTGCCATGAAATACACTTCCATCGTGGGTCGTAGCCCTCATCAGGTCTGAATCCTCCCGCTCCACGGAAACGACAGCCTTGTCCACGAGAACTTCGGAGGAGTCCGGAAGCGTGTCATAAAGGACTCTAAGCATTCGTCTCCGCTCTAGAAAGCTGAGAGGCAGACCAAACCTATCAGCCAGATTAGCAGTGAATACAGGTCATATTACATAGATAACACAATACCGCTCATGAATAACCCGTGGGGCATTGGTGGTATGCGCAAAGCCATCAGGGAAGTACTGATGCGCCGTGTGCAATGGTTCAATCTGCTCCCCGACCAAATAGAATAGCCCCAACTGCTCCAGAATCCGGCCCCCATGGGGGAAAATACCGATAGACGCGCCCTCCCGCGGCGCAATCTGCTTGCGGTTCTCCAGAATGACGTAGTCGATGCCTGCTTTGCTGAGGCAGTGGGCCAGGGTGAGACCAGCGATCGATCCGCCCACTATGATAACTTTGAAGGGGGGCTTGGTCGTCATCATAGGCAATGTGCTTCAGTATGCTTCACTTCCGAGTCAGGTAAACAAGCAAAATAAAAAGTATATATACAGAATGAGTTCAGGGACTTCGTTCGCCAAGGTAGTCTCGTAGCTAGCAAATGGAGACTATTCGTGAAGCGGAGACCTTGCCATATGAGGAATCCCTTGTTTCAATGTTTTGCAGACACCCGCTAGTTTATGCCGAGGTAGAATCCTTCGATCCGGGTCAGAATTGGAAATCTACCTTATGTTGTTGTATTAGTTAAAGTCTAGCGGAAGGCAGGCAAAGCCCTCCCTCCCGAGACATGATGTGGGGTTATAGGGACGTGATAAGCTATGGAATTATGTACATAAAGATGAGTAGACATAGGAAGCAACCCAAGAGTCAATACTACTCCGTAGTCCGTACCTTATTTTGCATTAGATGTATGTTCGCTCACGGAGGGCCTCATCAATCCGCCGAATTGTCGGCGAGGCGATGTATTTCATCTTTTGTATACTTGTATATTGATATTCTGACCAATCGGCTTAGGGGGGTGCTCAATATCTTAGAAGACCTAATAAATATATAAGCGTCGCAGCTATTCGGTGGATAATGGACAATCTGCAGTCATCTGCATGTAGTGGTCAGTGTCGGTGGAAAGATACTTCGTTCTCAGCAAACTTGCCTTTCCAGGCAATTGATGGCTTCTACGTACCAATGAACCAACGTATCGATGTATATGATGACGAGCCTCGGAAAGCTATTGGAAACAGAACCAGCTGAATTTGCCATGGCGTCCACTTGAGATTGAGAAAGGAACTAACTGGGGTGGAAAAACCTTACGTTGGCAAAAACAGTTAGGAAGTATTTCGTTGATCCAAACATGGATTCCTTGTATGCAGAGAGCAAACATATCTAAGGTAACTATCATAATTCTATAAAGATACTCGTAATTGTGCAGGGAAGAGCAATAAATATGCTTATGTCCAGCGAATCGCTCCCGAGTCAGCGTGCATAAAACACGCAAGGCGACTCATGCCTTCTTTCCTCTGGCTGCGTTTTCAGTCTGCCCAATATACCAGAAGATACAGGCATACATGATATCCATGGTCACTGCCATGCCCGTACACCACCTCATCAGTGCATTGTCATACCAACCCCACTGCTGTGGCCAAAACCCAGACTTCAAGAATTCACCGGTGATTGCCGCATAGGAACCGAGAACGCGGGACATCCTGAACAATCCGACGGAGACCACTTGGTCAGCTTCCAGGATATTCTATTCGAGAGGGAGAAAAAGGCACCTACCACATTGCCCACGACGCCCCATGTGTACTTCCCCGTTGCAAAAGTTGACACAAACAGTCAGCGGCCATAACAAAGCAGGCAAACGTTCCTCCGCCGTGGATGGTCTTGGGAGTGCCAAAAGTTTTTGCGAGCGCAAAATAACCCGATATGCAGCCCAAGATTGCCAAGGGCACGATCAGAGGAAGATGCTTGTGCATCAGCGGCGAGGAAAGCTGCTTTTCCATGGAGACCTTGACCGAGCCGTACACAATGACCATATTGACCAACAGCCACATGGCAGAAAAGACCTCGAAAAGGAGATAAGGGCGCCGGTAGATAAGGACGACCGTGATTTCCCAGGCGATATTACAGCAGAGAGAGACCAGCGGTATCGCGCGCACCCTGTCCCTGAAGATCTGCCGTACTGTGACGATGTAGTTGATCAGCCACATCGTTCCAGCGGTGGCGACCAGCGCGTTGTAGATAGGTCTGACGGCCTCGAATTCGGCCGGAAATGAGGAATATGCGTCCATTGGGGTGGGCAGTAGGGACGTTGCCAATGTGATTCTGACTGAGATTGATCACGGTACAGTTCGGAGGATATCTTGATCCAACAATTGTTGCTTTCTAATGATGCCTGCTCCCTGTCAACTGAGGGTGACATGGTGATACGTGTTATATATTAAACAGCTCAGCCAGAACAGTGTCTAGACAACCGTCTCTGGCTAGTAGGGATGATAGCAGTCGCGTCAACACAGCAGGGATAGAACAATAGTCAAGAGGCAGTATGCGCCGTTGCCTTGGCTATCATTTCGGTGGATAACCCTGTGAGGACACAGTACTCCGCACCCAACTGGTCAGGCCTAGTTGAGTTTTGCTACATGTCTGCTCCAGGAAGGAATGGGAATCTGTGTGCATCGAGAATTATGAGCTGTTCCTTGCTGGTGGCCGGTCAGGATACAAACTCTCTAGGCCAGCTAGTGAAATGCCATGACAATCGGTTCAGTTAGCAATGCGGGAACAGGTGATATGCCAAGCTGACACCCTCGGAGCAGGGATGCAGCTCGTGAGTGACAATCTCCTCCTGGCTGCTCCTCTTCATTTCTTTCCACCTCGTTAGCGGTATCCTCCGAAATCAGGCCCACTGGCATGGTCATAGCATTCTTTGATCGTCGGCAGGCGTCGGAAGGTTACACTTCTATGCATACCTTAAAGTGAAGTTGACTCCGAACTGGTATCAAGCTTGTTATTGCGGCGTAGCTTCTTTTTCTGATTAGCTTCAACTGTGCCTCGGTTGTACAGTTCTATATATTACACTTTTCTAAGTGCACCTGCAAAAAGGCCAATTCATATCTCTCTGGCTAGCTACCACGAAGTTTTGCTAGCCTCTCGTAGTCTTCTGAATCTACTTCCCCATCTGCTGCAACATGGTATCAATCCCAGCAACGTCCCTCTACAACCTCGACCGTCAGCAGCCCTTCCAAGACCCGTCAAAGTCGCTGTGGACTCACTTAAACTTGTTCATGCCTCAGGAAGCCAGATCTCAGGCAGTAACTGGCACTCTGACCGAAACAGAATCAACAAGCTCTAATGTATCTGACCTCCAGGAACAGAGAAAGCTCACTGAAGAAAAGGTACGCGGTATATCTTGCCCTTTCATAATGTTCTCCACTTTAATAACTTTCTTTCACCAGATAATCTGGGCTCCTCTTGATTACCTTTGCAGCTTCCCAGGCAAAGACCTCAGAGGCAAGCTGATTTCGGCCTTCAACCAATGGCTCCAAATCCCAGAGGACAAACTCGAGGTCATCAAGCGGGTGGTTGGCCTGCTGCATTCGGCCTCGTTGCTGTATGCAGTTCCCTACACGTTTGCCAGCCGAATCTAAAGCTTACAATCCACAGAATTGACGATATCCAAGACTCGTCGAAACTAAGACGAGGATTCCCCGTCGCGCATAGCATTTTCGGTATCGCGCAGACCATCAACTCGGCCAATTTCGCCTACTTCTGGGCTCAACAGGAGCTGAAAAAGTTGGGCAAGCCTGAGGCTATGATCATCTTTACGGAAGAGATGTTGAGGCTTCACCGCGGCCAGGGCTTGGATCTCTACTGGCGAGATTCCCTGACCTGCCCCACGGAAGAGGAGTACCTTGACATGGTTGCCAACAAGACCGGTGGGCTATTCCGGCTTGCGATCAAGCTAATGCAGATGGAAAGTGAGAATACGAAGTAAGCTCCTCGCTTTACACAGCATGTATGGTAATTAATAGAGAGACAGGGATTGCGTGCCGCTCGTCGACCTTCTCGGAATCATCTTCCAAATCCGAGACGACTACCAGAACCTCCAGAGCGACTTGTATGCTAAGAACAAAGGGTTCGGTGAAGACATCACCGAGGGCAAATTCTCTTACCCCATTATCCACAGCATTCGCAGTGATCTGAGCAATTTTCAGTTGATGAACATCCTGAAGCAAAAGACTGAGGACGAAGATGTCAAGCGGTACGCTGTTCGCACCATCGAGTCTACTGGCAGCTTCGATTATTGCCGCAAGAAGCTGGCGAGTCTTACGGCAGAGGCGAGAGAAATTCTGAAGGACTTTGGTGATTTAGGCAACACAGAAGGGCTGAAGGGTATCCTGGACTTTCTGGAGCGGAAGGAGTAGCTGCTACTGGTTAGCACCTGCGTGTATATAATGAGCAAGATGGTCGCTAGTTATAACGAATTTGCAATTTGATTTTATTTTCTGTTGTCCCTTATGTTCAGGTCTTGTCAACAGGGTCGACATCAGCGGTAGATGTCTACACAGGGTGACAGGAGTGTATCTACAGTCTTAATGAGAGTTCATCTTCAGAACAAATTTAGAATGCAGAATCATGCTCGTAATATTGTAGATATTTCTGCATACAGTGGGTTCTCAGTTTATGATTATCCAAACGAGTAAGGATATAACCAGGACATACCTCATTCAAGGGATTAACTATCCGTTGAACTAGGGTGACTATGCCTATCCATACACTCAATATGGCAAATATGGAGATATAGAATTAACCGAATCAATCAAGTCTATAGACAAAACCGAATGATCGAGTATCTGCCAAGGGGGCATTGCTGAGTCAATGTAATCCATTGGAATTCGGTCAGCAAACTGTCACTACGCTGCTCCAGATGCACAATCAGCCGCAAGAGTAAGGCCATAGTGCAATAATTCAGACTATTATGTCACTAATCACTAAGATATCATAGGTCACGGAGCCAATAGCTGCCAACTTCCCTTGTGCAATAAGCTGATTGTCAGCCAGGAAGGGGCTGGGGTACCCCGGCTCCGGACCAAATTCATGCAAGGCAAGCCCGTCAACACCGCGCCAATCAGGTTACTTTCAACAGATGCTTTCGAGACCTAGTCCATGTGTCATGTCCTGATTGTGAATGAGGTATATTAGTTGCTTGGTGTGATAAGCTCTTGCAGTCGACCCTCGACTCTATCGAGGTACTTCTTCACGGTTCTCGGCTTATTGGACAGCTAAAGAACTCCTGTTGGCGTTCCGAGCAACACCCGATAATGCAGTCGTAGGATGGCTGATATGCTCAGTGGAGCAGTCCCTAGGCTTGTCAGCTGCTCCTTGGGCGATAACATGAGTTGGACTGTCGAGTCAGGCAGCAAGTGAAGCAGTGACGTGGGCTGAACTTTGATACAGTGCATCTCAATCAGTCAGTCCTAGTATGTAGCTGTCGGTGCTTTCAAACTGGCTTTTCCCTGTTTGTCAGCTACTCAATTAGCAAGGTAAGGCTGGGTATATTGAGCTAATATTTGCGATGTATATTACCCCCTTGAACATCATTCCCATTGATATACCAGCCGCTCGTTGACTTCTGCTTCGCTCTTCTCCACTCGCTGTTGGATAGAGACATGTGCAAAATGTATAAAGTCGTGGAAACTGATGCATCTCCCCGCCAGCGATCTGTCCTGCAGCTGGTGAAAGACCTGCTCATCCTATCCAGATTTCACAAGTACAACCCATGGCTTGCTGTATTCTCAGGAGGTGTGTCCCTTCCTCGTATACAATATTCATGCAGTTGACCTCGGACATCTCAGTTTGGGCATCGTTGCTTGCCGGTGCTAATGAAATTACCGCTCATCCGACCTCGATCTCAGCCAACCACATCATAAAACAAACCCTTCTGTGCTTGCTCTGCGGCTACATCTTCTGCGGTGCAGGCATGGTCTGGAATGACTGGATCGACCGCAACATCGACAAAAACGTAGCGCGCACCAAGAATCGGCCCCTGGCAGCGGGGAGGGTTACTGCAACCGAGGGCTTCATCTGGATGTTGGTCCAGTTCGCTGTCTCGTGGTGGCTGATGGATATTCTGCTGGAAGGTCACGACATGTATGAGAACCTCTCACAAGTCTCAAGAACATTGATAGCTAACCCAAAACCAGCGCGGCTGCTATGATCCCAGTTACTATCAGCACGATCCTCTATCCCTTCGGAAAGCGTCAACTCTGCCGACGACTATACATCTATCCCCAGTACTTCCTCGGCTTTACACTGGCCTGGCCCGGCGTCATCGGATGGATGGCAATCAAGGGCCGCCATATCCCATTCACGCAAAGCATCTCCGAGTCCCTGCCGCTTTCAATCACCGTCTTCGCCTGGACCCTGTATCTCAACACAGCATACAGTTACCAAGACGTCGTCGACGACTCCAAGATGAACGTGAACTCGGTGTACGTCGCCGCGGGGTCCCGCATCCACATGTTTCTGGTCATCCTGGCGGGTCTCGTGCTCGGCTCCCTCTATCTGCAGCTGCGGGCCCAGAATTCCGGCTGGCTGTGGGCCTCGTGGATGTGTGTCTGGGCTCTGTCGTTCGTGCATCAGCTGCTGAGATTCGATGCGAAGAAGCCGGAGAGCGGAGGCCCGCTTCACAAGGAGAACTTTGCTCTTGGGGTGTGGACTATCGTTGCCTGTGCTGCTGAGTTGGGCCTCTCGTCCGGAAAGGCGGATCAATTCTTGTTTAACCGGGTCTTCCGTCGTTAGCGGTTTATACTGTGGAGATGGCGCTGAGATCGAGGCACGAGTCAACCATTTTGCCTCAGTGAGGCAGTACAGCGTGCTGGTTGGCATGGATTCTGCTCCTGTTATGGGCTTTATTCTTGAGTGGCATGATGGATGATTGGGATGAATGACCAGGGTACGTTGCGTTTGTAGACTCTGGCCGAGGTGCGAGTATGACTGTCGTTGTAAGAAGCAGGATGGCTAAAACAATAACTATTCCCTTGCCTGCTCTGATTAATATTCCGGTCTCCGCTTCATCATCTTCGTAATCCATAATATATTCCCCAGTATAGGGCAGTAACTATTAGTAATGCCAGATACTAAGTAACAGTGATGATCTGATCACGTCTGGTATCACATACTTCGACCGCGGGCAGACAACGCAATCAGGCAATGTCTATGGAGCAGATATATGTCACATACTGGATCAATCTGGCACAGATATAGAAAGAGGCCAACACAGCAGAAACACCGCTGAAACGTCTTGGAGACACCGATCCCTTCCTCCTAAGTATAATCGACTGTTATTCCCGCGAGTTCAAACAGACTTTTGCAACAAAAGAAGATGAGATTATATTCTTGTCTCTATCTTTGATCCTAGAAGATCCCTCATTTCTCTTGTCGAATACTCTGTTGGATTATAGTAGAAATAATCCAATGCTGGAATGTCAACCGCTACAGAAATATATATTCTGACCACGGCAGGACCGACCCTGGACAGGATAGAATCGAGAAAAATCAAGACGCATATAAATCGAATAATAATCAAGACGACGAACCGTACCAACACAGAGAAATGTAAAAAGATGGCGAAGAAAAAATGAAAAATAAAGGTCGATCTACATGGGACTCGAACCCACAACCTCCTGTTTTCCAGCGTAGGAGACAGGTGCTCTACCATTGAGCCAATAGACCTTTGTAGCCCAAATTGTCTCATTTTAGCCTTATAGCCCAACTCAACATTACAAGTTATACGATCCTGTCTGCGGGGTAGTCCATATCAACGCGATGTGCTCACAACAAACAGCTAATTCAAAAAATAAACAACTGGACCACTCCATTCTCAATTAACCAATAACCTCTCAGACCGTCCGTCCACTCGAAAATGACCAGCCAAAGCAATAGCAGCAGCAGCCTCTCAACCCGAATCTCCCTCCGCTGGCTCCCCGACCCCGCCTTCGAAAACACCGACACCATCGTCCTCTCTCTACTGGGCTGGTACGTCGACCTCCGTGTCGACAAATCCACCGGTGAAATCGACTGGGCGATCGCCGGCCAACGCATCGTAGAAAGCCAAGAGCCTCGTATGTTACCTCGCACAATCCGTAACAAAACTACTAGCTGACTCAGGTACAGTGCGCGTGCTTTTCACACACGCCATTGACTCGCATAACGCGTTTGAGGCGGTCGATTGTGGGACTTTTACCCCGCTGCCGAACGGGGATGACCTTGAGATTGGGTCGATGCCGCGGTGGGATCTCCCAGGTAAGCCGGTTAGGGAGTATGAGGAGGTGTGGCGGGAGTTGCCCTTCCGGGAAGGTCCCGAGGGTCCGGGCAGGGGAGTTTCGTGGGTGTTGGAGGCGAGCGGGATGAGCGGGGGAGGAGTGGTCGGGATGGGAGTACGGTGACGAGGATGTTTATTGGGAGGATTTGGGGGACTTATGTTGCGTTGCGTCAGGAGCAGATGCACTATAGTGGAGATTCGAAGGCTGTGGTCAAGGATGGAAGGGAGGCTAGCGCTAGACGGGAGGAGTGGGATTCTGCGACTGGGTGGCAGGCGAAGTACGTCCTTGGCCCGGATGTCGACAAATTACCCTCCATGACGACGATTGGCACGGGAGACGGAGATTGGAGCATCGGCCGCGAAGTGGTGCTGAGCGGCCAAGCATACATTGTACGAGCGTTTGAAAGAATTGAACAAGAATGATCATGGATTAGTCTATACATCATGCAGCTATATACATTAGAGTCGTTATTTTACTGGTCGTTAACAAGGACATAGCGGTAGCGGGCCTTGCCAGCGTCCATGTCGACAACGGCCTGGTTGGCGTCCTTCATGGGTCTCTCCTGGATCCAGGGGTGAACACCCTTCTCAGCGGCAAGCTGGAGCATCTCCCGGATCTCACTAGGGCTGCCGATCAGGGAACCGCCCATCTTGACTCTGCGGCCGATCAGAGCGAATGCAGGGATCTGCAGAGCACCGTCCTCGGGAGCACCCATCTGGACGAAGGCACCGTCGGTGCGGAGAAGAGAGCAGTATTGCACGATGGGCATCTAGTGATGTCAGATATAGTCTCGCTAACCAGACATAAAAGGGGGTAAGGAGCATACCTTGGAGGAAGAAACAGTGGAAACGATCAGATCAAGGGAACGGTTGTGGGTCTTAGCCCAGTCAGGCTCGTCATCAGTCGCAATGTACTCATCAGCACCCAGCTTGAGAGCATCCTCCCTCTTGTTGGCCTTGCGGGAGATGGCGACGACCTTGTCAGCGCCCAAGGCCTTGGCGAACAGGATACCAAAGTGTCCCAATCCACCGACTCCTACAACTCCGACCTTCTTGCCGGGACCGCAGCCGTAGTGCTTCAGAGGAGAGTAAAGGGTGATACCACCGCACATCATGGGGCGGCCTCCGCAGAGGGGATGGCATCGGGGATCTTGAAGACGAAGTGAGAGGGAGCACGGTGGTACAGAGAGTAGCCACCGTACGACTTGTCGCCATTGTAGTGGACGCCATTGTATGTGCCAACCATTCCATGGCTACAGTACTGCTCCATACCGGAGGCACATTCCTCGCAGTCGCCCTTGCGGCCAAGGCAAGAGTCGTTCTGAGCACCAACACCGACACGGTCACCGACCTTGATGCCTCCCTCGGCCTTGGAACCAACGCGGACGGCGACACCGACGATCTCATGACCGACACAGCAGGGGTACATGGTGGGTCCCTACAGATAGGTTAGTCTCACTGTTTGATATACATGCCCGAAAAAAAACAACATACCCATCCGCTTCTCAGGGTGTGCAGATCAGAGCCGCAGATACCGGAGTGGGTGATCTTGATGTCGATATCGGTCTCCTCCCACGCCTTGGGAGTGAACTCCTTCCATACCATGTTGCCCTCGACGGCATTCTTGTCAAGGCCAAGCCAGCCCTCGAACTTGTAATCGGTAGCAGCCATTGTAACTTTTCGTTTTTGATTTAGTTTAGTTTAAGGTGGTGAGCGATACATCTGATTCTCCACGGGTCCTCATGACATCTTATATACACCAACAGCGCCGAGGGAAGATGGAAGATCTGCGGTGCTTAGAAATCGGGCAAGAAATTTCTGTACCCACTCACTCGCCTTGACTGCGGTAAGCGCCCACTTTAATCTCCATTATGTCCGGCAAGCCGCCACAGTGATCGGGGCGGTCTCTATCTTTTTGCTCTCCCAAAGATGATGGGATGCATTGGATAGTGGCTCGTATGACGTTTTGCAAGTCCTCGCATCGATAAGCTTCCTTATGGCGTAAGCTTACTGCTTGTTAAGGTGCTTACTGCTGGTTAAGGTGCTTACTCGGGGATAAGTTAATTCTTCAGACCAGGGGGGTGGAAATCATGGATGTTCGGGATGATTCCATGAGTGGGTCGCTCGGCCCCTCGTGGCTACTCTGCCGTATTTCCGGTTCACTCCCCCGATTCTGATTGGTGGCACAAATTTAGGCACGGGGCTAGATATGCAGGTCGCTTATGCCTTCGTCATTGTTCACAACTCCCATCTCCACAGTCGGCACGGATTATGTGAACTTGCTCGGCAACTTTCTGCCCAAGTTGGGCCGACTCCATGGCCGGCCAAGGGTTGTCTATTACTTTTAAAGCCATGGAGCAAGGTTCCGAGTTGATGACAATGACGCAGGTTTGCATTAGTTAAATCAGAGGTTTACAGCATTTGTCACATGCTTAGCAAGTGATAATTACTCGACCTTGTTCCCACCTCAGTACCAGGAATTGATTAATGATACTTCCAACTTCAACCCTCTTTCCAGATATTGATGATGCGTAGAAGTTAGAACCAAAGGCTCTATTAATAACGACCCTCATGGTTCTAAGGCTTCTCCAGGTTTTCACAGTTAACCCACACTTTTGAACGGGCGCTACCCAAGGATTGATCGAAAATGGACCCATTGGCTTCGCAAGGCGTCATATTTCGGCCGGGAGCTCTTGTTTCTTATTGGATAGATAAGGAACCGAGTCCTCAGCTTGGAGATATGTAATGCAATTCAGAGTCCCTGCAACATGAGGTCGGAGAAGGCCCCTCCGGCGTCTAGTATGCTCGAACGGTATGCAGTGATTTTGAGAGCACCGAAGATAGCATACAGTGGCGTGTCAAAAAGCTTGAATCCAATGCATTTACCGCTCGATTAGTCGACTTTGGCTCTTCTGAGGACTGCGAATAGCACTCTGGACATCTTTTGAGGGTGGAAAGTCTGCGATACGGAGGATGGGCTGCGACTTCTAGAGCAGTGTAAGGTCTATATGGTTGACATCTGCTCTTAGACTAGAAGGTTTCATGAAGCAGTACTCTCTAAGGAGAGACATATCCATTGCGGTTTTTACGTCATAGCCATGTCCTGTTTAATACCAAAACATATAAGCCAAAGCAAATAACTCCATATTCAATGTCAATGGTAGTCCAACTCCAAGCAGCATGAGAGAACAGTTAGCCAGGTGCAAATCACAAACAGATTAAGCTAACCCAGATCACTACTGTCACAACTTCCACCCACTATCTGCTCGTTGTTGAATGAAGCGCAAAGGTATCATAGTTTGCGGTGTCAGCCGCCGCAATACGCGAAGTGGCAGAGTTGTCTCCAATCTGGCAAAAAATCCAAGAGCAGGTCATCCAGAGGTCAATTCCACGGCTCTGAGTCTCCCTCCTGCACGTTCGCTAGCAACGTGCTCATCGGCACCCCAGTTACTCAATCTCAACGTCGAACTCCTCCAACCCCCACAAGTCTAGGCAGCGGCGAATCGAGTCACCGACAACACCCCAGACACCGTGCACACGAGGTTCTCTGACGATGACCTTAGCGACTGGGATAAAGCAGGCTTGTCCGTCGACGTGCGTTTCGACAAGTTCGTAGCGCAGCTCCTTGAACGTGATGTCGTATGCGGAAAGTATGAATTGTATCACCTCCTCGAGGCCACTTAGGTCGAGGAGCGGATACTGGGCTTGGCCAGGATCATCATCAATAAGCACGGGATCGGTAGTTTCCTCTTCCATGACGGTCTCGGTGTCCGTCGCGGGGAGTCCATGGCTGAGCTCCTGCACCATCCTCTCCAACTCGTTGGCGGGAGCGTCTGGCAGAGTATGGAATCTCTGAACCTGGCTAGTGGTGGGTAGCCCGTGGGGCAGCTCGGCTTGGTAGATATATGATGGCATCGTGAACTTTGAGGTGTTGTAAGACAGCGAACGACTTTACTGAGATATTATAATTGCGAGACTGAGCGGAGTGTGGGGAATACCGATGAGGGATGTATAAACTGAAGGGTGTTAGAGAAGAGACATTGCAACAATTGAAACGAAGTAAACAGGTGAGGATGCTGGCCTGCTCAGCAGGCTCGATTAGCATCAGGCGTCGTCATTGAGATGTGTAAGCACGACAAAGGCGATGATGAATGCCGTCGGCGTCATTGTGGTCGCTGAGAGTCTGTGACATGCCCAAGTTGGAGTCGGCTGTCTTCGCTAATCGAATCCACGGTACGTTGAAGTCAAACCAGGGTTTCATAAGAGAAACAGCTTCTTCCTAAGGGATGACCGTATCTAGATCCCAGTCTATTTCCTACTCTTCCACTTTGACTCAGACCGAAGTCAGATTTGAAGGTATTCAAACGTCCGAATGCTATCGAATATTCTGCCAAGGGTGGCAGTGCGGAGTCAATTCTTATACCTTTTGAATCGGGCAAGCAGTAATATAATTCAACAACACCTGTCACAAATGAAGTTGACAGCTCCAACGTTTCCCCCGCCAGAGAGCAATGTACGGTACCTGACGGATGATCCCGTCATTCACCGTGTCCTTTCCATAGACGAAGCTTTGTCTGCCCCGCTCCTCCCGTCTATTTATCGACGCGACTCCCCATTTCGCCATTCCCCCACTTCAACTCCTTCCTCCCTCCAGCTCTTCATCCTCTCCAACCTCTCGCCAACTGACTCAATCTGCAGCAACATGCCTCAGAACCAGGACTACACCTACAAGAGCTGCGGCACGAACAGCCAGGTGAGTCTTCCCCTTTCTCATCTCCATTCATGCTACAACTCTGGCTATCTACAGGGCAACCACTACTGCGCTCGGGACTACGGCTCAGGCGCCGCCAACTCCAACTCGTACCACTATTCCAACAGGTTTGTTGTTCTTTGGTCTCTGAGAGCTGTGCTAATGCCACGTCTAGAGATGGATCGTACTACTACTCCAACTCCAATGGCAGCTCCTACTACAATGATGGAAAGGGAAGCGCGAGCTACACTCCTCCTGGAGGAAAGAAATGAGTGATTGCTGAGGAGAAGGGTTCAATGACTGGCTTGTTGTTATGAGACCACATGGACTGCGTAGCTCTTAGTCTACGAACGTGCGGATGCGCACGATTAACAATTATGAGGAAAGGTTGAGATCTGAGGTAGTGATTCTAGGCTTTGGGAATATTATACCGCTCTGGGTGAAGAAGGGGTCCTCTTACTGCTTGCGTGGTGGATTTTCATGCTCTGTCTGAGCGATGTTGCTAACAGCCACGTTAATGCTTCTTCGCTGTGTCCATTTAGCCACGACTAATCTCCTCGTCCATCGACGTCGTATCGCCTAGGGAAGAGTGTTATACGACTGAATTGTACAGTAACAGCAATAAGAGACAACCTAGTGTTCACCTCGGCAACATAGGAAATCATTAAGTGATGGCATTATCTGCATGTTGGAAGCAGAGCACTTCCGATGTCCAACCAAGTTACTACATTACATTAAGAATATCGATACAATCAAAGATAATAATAATAGTTCCTCGCCAATCTGGACAATCAAGCCTGCCGCTTCTCTCGCTCCACGCGTCTCTTCTCCCTTGCTTCCGGACCAGCAACCGTACCCATCAACACTAGACTTCGTCAGCAGATATCCCACAAACAACAACAGAAGACACTTACCATCCCAATGCCTAAACGAACTGGAATAATTCCCCCAAAAATACCGATGGTGATCATCGTGCCAATCTGCCCCACCCCAGAACGGCATAATCCGCCTCAGACTCCACGGGAAATCGTACCCCGAGTGCGCATCGATAGCCTGAAACTGCCGCAGCGTCACCCACGCCAGCACCGTCACCAAATGCACGTTGCACTTCATTAGTCCCAGGAGCAATGGAGGCCCGATAGTGCCCAAGCCCAGCAGGAGGGTCTCCCAGGGGCTGGCGTACTCGGCTGTTAGCCCAAACGGCGCGGCGTATTGGTGGTGGATGCGGTGGATGGAGCGGTAGAGCGGGCCCCAGTGCATGGCGCGATGCAGCCAGTAGTGGTATGTGTCTTCGAGAAGGAAGAAAGTGATTATTTGCGCGGTGAGGCTGCGGAGGTCTGGGAAAGGGATGGTGAAGCCCAGGCCGCAGAGTTCCATCATTGGGTGGAAGAGGACAATGAGGGGGAGCTCGACGACGAAGTGGATGAGGAGGATATACTTTGTGCAGGCCCATTGCTCTGCTGCGGATGGAGGGGGTTTCTGATCCTGGATCTTGTATTTGAGGAAGATGCTGGGGAGGGCGTCGGCAATGATCCAGGGGAGACAGCGGCTGAAGTATATGATTTCGTGGGCGAGGAAGGTGATGATTCCTGTATTTGTTAGGATTGGGAACAAGACTGGTGGGTCGTCGTGGAATGGCTTACCAGTTGCGAGTATGTTATTGTCCCAGTAGGCATAATGCGCCCACCAGAGTCGCTCGAGGCCGGAGAGATGAGGCTGTTGCTGCGCGGCGAGGTCGAGAAGATCAGTATAGGTCGCCATGGCTGGCTGTGGATAAGTCGAATTGAGCGAGTCCATGGTGAATACCTTAGTCCTGGCTCAGTAAGAGGGAGAGGATGTCGGAAGCCAATTGATATTGTTGATGCTCTATATAGACCGCGCGGATAGGTCAAGTTACCCGGGATGGCATGATCCGAATGGCTGGACCAGGAACAGGCCACTCGGGAGGAAGGTGGATCCTACGATAGCAGCCATGCAGGGACAGGCGATCACGATCTCACCTTACTGTACCTCGATCGCTGATTTATTATTTTAGAGCGAAATACTCCGCTAATATCTTGGTGCCTATTATGGGCTCGTACGATGTCGGTCCGCGTCTGGTGGAGCCACCACCCGCTCAGTTCAAACGGCGTCAGGCGAATCCCGAGACGGTCTTTGAAATGTAGCATTATTGTGGTTAGATTCAATTTTAAGTGGCATTTGTCAACATCTGCATTTACCAGCGAAATCAATGTATCTTCACTCCGTCCTCTCATTTGCTTCTCTTCTCAAGCAATAATTATTTATTCAACCACACACTGTCAGACTCTCCTATCTATTATACAGCCACATTCTCACAACATGATACGAAACACATGGACAATGAACAGGTTCGTTTTAAGCTTGACTTTTCCCCAGAATCATGGACACGTACATAAATCGCGACGGCACCATCAATGGACCCTGATGAAAGATGGCACGCCATATCATCTCACCATGTTAATCCATCAAACGTGAAACGCCGCAGCGGCAACAGCCAAACCAACCGCCACAGTCAATTCGACGCTCAAAGAGCCAGCTCCACCCGTCTGCTGCGCTCCAGTGGCAGATGCTGTGGCAGATGAAGTAGTCGAGACCAAAGTGGAAGCGGACGCGTCGCTCCCGCTGGCAGAAGCACTGCCAGTCTCCCGGGGCCCATCGCAGTGCCAATGGTCGCCGTGCGGTTCGCATCCAACCGACTCCGTGGGACTAGGGACAGCCGGTGTCGCGTTGCTATCCTCGTCATCATGATCGTGGTCGTGGTCGTGGTCGTGGTCATCAGAAGGAGCCGTTGGCGTGGCCGTGGCGGAGGCGGGCCCGTCGCAGTGCCAGTGGTCCCCGTGGGGTTCGCATCCCACAGACTCAGTGGGACTTGGGGCGAGAGTTAGGCCGCTGGTAGTGGTAGCGGTTCCAGTTGCTGGACCATCACAGTGCCTGTACGCTATCAGCTTTACCGGGTTGATTGTTTTCGTTCGTATCATACCAGTGGTCGCCATGTGGCTCGCAGCCAACAGAGGCTGTAGGCGATGGGCCGGGATCTTGAGCCAAGGCCGAGGTAGAGGCCAAGGCCAGGAGAGCCAAGATGAAGCGCCTCATTGTGCTTAACGGCTATAACAGATTTCCAAGGGATGGAGGGAATGAGAGAATTGTTCCTGGCAGGAAAAGAAGGGTCCGCAGGGTTTATATGTGGCTGCTGGGGCCATGCTCGGTCCCTCTCCTAGTGCTCTTCCAAGATCGTCTTTGATTAATGGTCTGTTGGTCTGCGGTAATATGGCATCGCCAAGCAGAGTGGGAGACCTTGGCGTCTTCAAGGTTCTCACTTGGTTACTTTTGCAGTACCATGTCCTGCGCCTGCACCGGGGCTTTCCAATTGTGCAACATGCCATGTGGGAGGCGCGAGCGATGATTGGGTGTCCAGCAATCTTAATACTGGGGAATTATGTGCAGTTCCTGGACTGAACTCACCATGCTGGATTAATTCCTGTAGGTGCAATGCCAAGGGCCAAGTCCACTGAGCAGTGTGATGCCAAGGATGCTTGCGAGAACCTTGGGGACGATTTAGTCAAGCGTAAAGGGTTCGAACCGGTGATTTTATGCGTGGGTTTTGCCTTCTGATGTCTCATATGTCGAGGCTTAAGCATGTCATTTTGCGCATTGTAATCAAGGGTACTCTTGTGCGGCAGAATAGTCATGTCAGAATCAGATTGCTCTCTGTTCTGTGCTAATGGCATTCCAGCCATCACTTACTACATCAGCAAGATAACCACACAGAATGCAGTAGTATATGATGCAGTCAAGACATCATTGCTGACTGCTTTCCCTGACAACAACCCTGTCTCGATGCCTGTTTACCAGAATTCCGAATCGGAGTTCGGAATTGATTAATTTACCCCGACTGATAAGAATTTGGCCAATCAGAGCCACCCACGCTCCAGCTGGAAACAGCTTTAACCAATGAGCGTTGGTGGCTGCTCTACGGCGTCAAAGGTACCTGATCTGTACGGGCAGGGGATAACGGCCAGGCGTCCAGGCATCGACTTTTTCCCTCTAAATAGGCACGACCGTCATCATTTCTGACCCTTCTTCCTCCATGATCTCAACCACATCATCAACAGAATGTTGGACGAGTCCAGACATGATCAATCCGAGGAAACCCCCTTGCTAGGCCACAACCAGGCACTGGAGTCCGGCCGCTTCAGCCGCGCACGATGGGTCCTCATTATCTTAAGCCTGGCCATCATCACAGTGAACTTTGGCTCTTATCTGGCCATGGCTCCGCAGATACAAATATTCGAGTCAATCATCTGCCAAAAACTGCACCCCGAAATCGCACTTCTCACCACCCAGGAGCAGATCGACGTCACATGCAAGGCCGCTGATGTCCAGGGTGAGCTTGCGCTCGTCAATGGCTGGAAAGAGACGCTCGATACGCTGCCGGGGATCTTTCTGGCTCTTCCCTTTGGTCTGATGGCCGATCAAGCGGGACGGAAGAAGGTGCTGATGCTGAGTTTGATTGGCCTGATCATGGAAGAGGTGACGGTGCGGATTATTGGTAAGTGACTTGATCATAGACTGTTCCTTGCTGATGGCGGACAGCATGGTACAGCGCGTTTATTCCCCTGCGGACGGTGTGGTTCATGTCGTTATTCCAGATCTGCGGTGGTGGCTCCCAGATTGCCACATCTATGATTTTGACGATGATCACTGATGTGTTTCCGGTGGAGAAACGGTATGTCAATCAATCGGACGCTGGTATGCCAGATGGTAACGGTTGCAGGGCGAATATCTTCTTTATCATTGGTGCGTCAACGCAGGTGTCTGAGATTGTCGCAAGCCCTCTGAGTGCCTGGCTCATGTCCTGGACACCCTGGCTGCCGTACTGCCTGGGAGTACTTTTCATGCTTTCTGGCCAGTGTGCTTCCATAACTGTACCGGAGACGCTGCCCAAGTCGAGCAAACTGAGCGAGCCCGGCACTGAAGATGATGAGGCTGATGATGACGCTCCTCAGACGGTCTGTCATCGTCTAAAGGCCGTCTTGCATCACGCCAGGCATCAGATCATGCATCACAGCCGCTTCATCTTCACTGAACGCAACATTGTTTGTATCTCCATCGCCCTTCTGACGGCAAATGTGGCTATCCAGTCGCTTGTGATGACGCTACAATACGTCTCAAAGCGCTTCTCGTGGTCCATGGCAGAGGTACAGTCCTATAGTTCCATTCTCCACTAATTGTCTCTCCTGACATGAAACAGGCAAGCTTTCTCATCTCCCTGAAAGGAATAATGACCCTGTCCGCCCTACTCCTCATCCTCCCCGCCCTTTCCAAACTCCTGGACAGATTCCTTCCCTCGATACGCCGAGATCTGCGCATCTCCCTCGGCAGCGTCCTCACGATCGCGGGCGGACACGCCATCATGGCACTCGCAGCCAGCCCTACAGCCTTCGCTGTGGGTCTATCGATCTCCTCGCTGGGAGCGGGTTTCGTCCCCGCTCTACGCAGCGTTGCTACGGCATTGGTGGACGAGGCCAAGATAGGCCTTTTGGGGACGACAATTGCCCTGACCCAGAGTATTGGTGCAATCATCGCGGGGCCGATGCTGGCAGGAACGTTCAAGTTCAGTATGAGGCTGCACGGGATATGGCTTGGTCTTCCGTATATGACGGCGACTGCACTCATTCTGATCGCCTGTTGGGCCACCTTGATGATTAGACTACCTCGGTCGGTGTAGCATCGGATGGCATCAGAATGATCAACTGCCGACGAGCATTTTATTATCCTCATATATTGGAGCGTAGCGCATTTGTTTTTACTCACATTGAGCAAATCGGGAATGTTGACACCGATGTGGATGGATCGCCAGTCGAACCCACAACTACTTATGAGCCCCACGCAACCACAAGGTTCTCGGATCTCGCTCGGTACCGACTATCGTCACGTACGGAGTATGTGACCCTATCTACTCAGTAGGCTGCTTTCATTGTCCATGCAGATCAATGTGGGATGATCCCCGCCTAGCGTGTGGGAACAGCGATGGTGGCACCAGCAGCGCGGCATTTCATTTGCCAGCATCTCTATTCAAGGTGCGGGGAATGTTCTCCCCGGTATTCAGCTGAAGGCCGACATCCGAGAAAGAAATATGTTTACATGGTATCGTTTCTCGCTCGTTGACAAGCCTGAAATTTTAGATATTGGCATACACAGCGAAAAATATGGTAGGTTAGGAGTTAGGACCAGCCAGGCAGTCTTGGTACTGACATTTGGACAGTCCGAAACATCGCACACTGAGATCCGGCCATGTCACGGAGCTTCGGTCCCGGACGTGGTCGCTATCGGTGATGAACGAGAACCTTTGGCGAAGTGGAAGGAACGGTGTGGCATTAAGCCAGAGAATCTGATCAGATTGGTGAAGTTGGCGCATATGCGCTACCAGCATCCTGATCTTGATGCGATTACTGTCTTCCTCCAAGGTTAGTAGTCATCGTCCTGCTATCAGGAAGGGCCTGACTGAAGGGAATAGATTTTGGTATGAAAGTCGTCAAAAGGACAGATGAGGAAGTATGGTACCGAGGTTACGGGACGGATCAGTATGTTTACTATGCTCGCAGAGGGCCCAAGAAACAGTTTCTCGGAGGGACGTTTGAGGTGGAGTCGTACCACGATCTGGAAAGGTATTTACACTTTGTATGACGAAGACTTCAGGCTGCTAATAAGGTATGCAGGGCTGCCAATCTGCCCACAGGCAGCGCTATCCAAGAATTAAAAGACGCACCCGGAGGCGGCTTCATGGTCACCGTTAAAGATCCAGAAGGTTTCCCAATCAATCTCGTCTACGGTCAGTCACCAGCAGCACCAGGTGAATATCCTCCCAAGCTCGTCGTCAACTACGAGTCAGACAAGCCTCGCGTCCGCCACTTTCAGCGCTTCGTTCCCGGCCCTGCAGCCGTCCACAAGGTACATCTCTCCAGGTCAGGTCATTCTCATACAGTAACTGACAGATCCAGCTGGGTCACTTCGGCCTCTGCGTCCAAAACTTCCAGGAAATGGTTACCTTTTACACAACAACCTTCAACCTTGTACCGAGTGACTTCCTCTACGTTGAGAAAGACGGCAACAAGAAGAACGTTGCTCTCTTCGCGCACATCGATCGCGGCGCGGACTATGTCGACCACCACAGCTTCTTCATGAGCACGAATCCCACCTCGCATGTACACCATTGCTCGTTTGAAGTGCATGACTTTGATACGCAGAACCTGGGGCATCAGTGGCTGGCAAAGAAGGGGTATGAGTCTGTTTGGGGCGTGGGACGACACATCCTCGGGTCGCAGTTATTTGATTACTGGTGGGATACCACCGGGAATATGATTGAGCATTATGCGGATGGGGATTTGGTGAATGAGGAGACGCCGGTTGGGTATGGGCCTGCGGGCGATGAGTCGTTGGCTGTTTGGGGTCCGGAGGTTCCCAAGTGGTTTTTAGACTAGCCTGTCTTGCTCGATTATTCAAGCATTGACGTACTAGTTTAGTAGCGAATTAGGCTGTTTATTGCTTCCTTTCGTGCAAAATTCCTCCAACTGTCGTACTACCGCAAGAACTCGGTTCTCAGCATCCGCCAGCTCTTCGTCCGCATCCTGGACCTTCTCTTCCTCCTTCCACCACGACGCAATATACTCTTCTAGCTCGGCAAAGAGCCTAAGCTGCATCTATATGCTCTGTCTTTTAGGAGCAAGCGACATATAAGCACGCCTTTCGTCGAATCTTGCAAGAAATGCGTGATACCCGTTCGGAAAAGGATCATGCTCGTCGACAAAGACATCCAGAACAACTAAGCGCATGGATAATGGGAGAGAAAGGATGCGGCCTGGTCAAAGAGCCTTTCTGTCGGAAGGCCATTAGCGAAGATATGTACTCTCAACCGATGAATACCACAGCTGAACGAAGAAGTGTTGGCTAATAAATACTAGCATCAACGGCCGTCACCAGAACGCCACATATTCAGTGTAGGGTGTCCGTTAGTCCACCAGTATATTATTAGATATGTTGATTTCAGACAAAGTATAATATCAACTTGGATTTCTCTAGCTCTGGTTTTCCTTTTATCATGTTCGTCTCCACATAGAGCCAAGATGTTCTTGGCCAGAGGAAGTGTTCTTGGCCAGTCTGATAAGCCTTTAAATGATTGATACAAGCATATGACAGAACCGATCTTTGGTTCTGGTCTTGGTTAGCTTCCTGTCAACCATAAATCTCCGAATGAAAGACGTGCCTCGATCATCATACACTAGCGCCGTGAATATAGTAGTGCAATGATGCATTCAGCACTTTTTTACTTGGGTCATGATTTAGCTAGTCGATATAAGGATCTACTGTTATCTGTTAGAGTATACAGGACAGAAGACAATGGTGCTGTTTGTAGAATTGTACTCATGAGCATAGTGGCCATGTCATTGAAGATCTGCACTGATGACGTTTTGGCTTTTTTGGGGCTTGTTTGTTCGTTGACGTCACCCCGTCCATCACAAGAGTATTACCACCACCACCGCCATCCCATCAGCATCGTCAGTGTCAGAGCCACCAGGTGTTGCCAAATAGAAACAAGTTTCGGGCTCTGTGTAACATTATTAATTTGGCATGGCTCGACTTATATTAGTCAGTTATTCTCTCTAACTTAACGTTAGACATCTGAGCTGACAAAACTGTCAACCCTCCCCTTGTCTCCCCGTCTACCTACCTTTATCTATTACCTCGCCTCCATTTCTGAGCAGCAATAGCATCCATTTGCTTGAGATATATACTATCCTAACAATAGACTAATTCAATGGCCATCATATGGGGTCTCGACCTCCACGAGATACAATGGAACAAATTCAAAGGAGCGAGAATGTTCAACCGCGCGTACCATCTGCGTCGCACGAAGATGATAGTCTACCAGATGGCCATGATATTCTGCGTCATTTCTGAATCAGTTGGAACGGCCGCTTTATCAGGTACTCTACCCGTTGGCTACCGGGATAACCAATCTAACGCTGGTTGTGTCTAGATTATCTCGACCAACAAGATGCCATCCAGCAACAGCACCCCGAAGCCAAAGTCCACAACAACGACTTCATCGGCGCTGCCTCGTATAACATCTTCGTCGGAGTCTCCGTTGCAACCATCTTCGGCGCCGCGTTTTTCTTCGACCTGTTCTGGCCCGAAAGACACGAGAGTAAATCTGTTCGGTTGGCGTGGAAGATATCCGGGGTGCTGGTGTCCGTGATGATGCTCGCTTCGGCTCTGACCATGACTGTATGACCTTGACGTTCGGATTATTGCTGTGCAGACTGCTCATAAGACTAGATCATCACTGCCACGCATAGCGCCCGTATCGCCGGGACCGATGCCGCATCCGCTAGGAAATTCTGGGCGGAACCGGCCAAGAAGCCTGCTCTGCGTATGTGCCAACCATACTGCTAATGTCATGACGCTGGCTAAACATCATGGAGAATACCGGACAAACCCGAAAGCTATCACGTCTGTTGTCTTTGCCTGGCCTGGTTGGGTTGCGACTGTTGCAAGGTGTGTCATTTTCTTTGAAATTAGGGTGCAAGAGGAGATTGCTGACGCAGCACAGTACTGCCATTCTGTTCATGTCCCATAAGCATGATGACGAGCTGGGTCCGAGATCGAACTATGGACGCGAGACGGAGAGCGTTCCGGCGATCGAGGAGACAGAGGGGAAAACAACAACTGTATAGGATCATTGTACTTTGGATGATGTTATGACTTGTATGATACCATTATAGATTGCCATTGCTATTGCTATTGGATTATTACGAGCGGGAACCTCGAGCATCTTGATCGTAGTATTCGGCAAGGACTGGCGATCATCCGCTGGAGTGGTAATAGACTAATAGGCATAATTTACACAGCTTAAACCTGACATTCCCTAGTAATTATATCAGGCTAAAAGGCTAGAAGGAGTTTAAGTACACTAGAGTTAGGAATATGCAAGGCCAGCCACAATATTGCTATATAGGTAGTTCTGAAGCTAAGAGTATGGACGGTGATCAATAATCAGACACCACCAATCACACACGAATGGGAAGATTATAATGTCAAGACCCATCTTTCTGGGCTATTCAGTGTAATTTTAGCCAATACATGCGGGACTTGCCAAGGGTGAGTTTATAATGCAAGCTGAACAGGCAGCATTCTTCCAGCTTAGGTCAAAAAGTTTAGACACTATGGTTGGGCCATTATAACTCACTTGCCCGGAAATGGCCATTAGACACTGGGTTCTCTATTTCCATGCGGCGGCAAGATCCGGGATCAACCGATTGATTTCATAGGGATGTGATGATTCCACAGACAGAGTTTTAATCAATGGTGTGACACCATTAGAGGAAGGCGCACGACATGGGAAGATTTCCACTATGGGTACACTAGTAAGGTATATATCAGAGAAAGAGATCATACACCACAGGGCGATTGAAGCTGCAGCACCAAATAGCAAGAATGGAAGGGACATCACAAGACTGCTGCTTAAACAACACAGAGACCAGATTCAGATCACACAAGATGTGGCCACAGCTACAGAGAGGAATCAGAGCAGTGGTAAAGACATTATGGCCCTCCTCCTTGACCAAAAAGAGGACCAGATCCGCGTCACTGAAAATGCATCATTGACTATGCACAAGTTGTCCGACGAAACCATGACTACACTTCTGCTAGCTCGGCGAGGAAACCACACCCAGGTTGTTCAAGAGGTGATCAAGGCTGCAGCACAGAATTATAAGATCCAAAAAGTATTTGTCGTCGATATCCTTAAGTTTCTTTCGCCCACCGCTGGCGGGACAATCACTACAGAATCCCTCCACCACCCCTATTAGACGGGTCGTCTAGCCGCAGAGATAAATCTTTCAACTCTTCTAACAATAAATCCCGATTCTCGCACTTCTGTGCCGTGTCAAAGTCAATCAAAACAGCCTTCGATTGGCAAATCAGAAAGTTGAATCGATTTATATCACCGTGCCGGATTCCCAAATCATGCAGCCGAGACAATGTCTCCTGGCATGCCTCAAGATCCTGAGGGCCAGCATGCCGTTCAGCTGGGATACGGTCCATTAAGAACCCTATCACCCGGCCCTCTTCAGTCAAATGACCAAGAAACTGAGGCCCGATATCATAACCGCCAATCCACTGGTAAGCCGTAGTTTCGTTCTCCATGTACTGCACCTCCCAATCGAAGCGGGCGAATTTTGCAACGACAACCTTGTTGAATAATGGACAGCTAACCTCGTAGACGCCGGTTCGTAATTTCCTACCCACGACGATCTCTAGGTAGTCGATGAACGTGTTATGCCATGTATTCCTGACGCTGGCAAATGCCGTCCGAGTCGTGCGTGTAAACCGCGGATGACCATTTTCCCCCTCTCGAGCTACCAGTCCGTCGTTCCAATCTCCAGGAGGGAGTTCAGGAAGAAGGGAAGCTAGGGATGGGCCGACGCACATATCTTCCACACTGTAGATTCCGGGCTCGATGGTGATGTATTTGATGGCGCGTCCGTCTACCAGTAATCGGAAGAAACTTTGATCGTTTTCATCGGCTTCCGCTTGGAGCAACTCGATTTTCTTCTGTGGATTGTGCGACATCATAGGTATTGGCAGAGTAATGCCAGTAAAGGAAGACGCGTTCAGCAGAAGCGATAAATCAAGGGCGCAACGGCAAAGTTGGAATTGAGTGTTCCTCAAGGTACCGTAGGCGTGAAGGCGCCGATATCTTTATAGAACGATGCTCCAAGTAGTGATCGATGGAAAGAAAGGAATTTTCAGGAATCGTCGTCAACCAAGAGATCCGATCCAGCGAAGCAGTGAGCCTGCGCGTCTGCACAGTGGCGGCAAGTCAGCGCTTATAGAGCAGTTGAGATTGGTTGCGGCTGCTAGACAGAAGCGAGATAGAGATGAACTCTCCGGTGTATATATGATTTGCTACATTTCAACACCCTCATCAAGTTGCAAACTTTGGAGCTTTCTCCTCTGGAGCAGGGCTACTATCTATAAAAGCCATGTCGCCTCTGCTACACTGTCAAAATACTCTTTCGGGCCAAATATACCTCTACGTCTTCGATATTCTAGTTAAAAGCCGTTTCTCCCCCGAGCTGGCTCGATCGAAATCTCCAGTTTAAGGTAAGTACAGTCAACTTAAAAGTTGAGGGCAAATTGTGGAAATATTAACTCAATTAGAATGTGTAAGCAATATTACCAAATGTATACTTGCGGCTGTAAGAAACCGAAGGAATTCAAACAATGCGATGAGAGAATTTTGGCACAAACGTCAAATGCTCGCCGGTGAGCTGGGAACCATTAGATCCATCTATCCACATGTGTGCACGCCATATGGTGAAACCCGGGAAGGATGAGATGCGCCGGTGAACAAAGGTTCAGAATGAGAAATGTCGAAGGAGCGACAGCATTAATTGCTACTTCTGAGGCGAAACGGTTGGCGTGCAGGATTTCGTTATTCATGTCGGTCATTGTCGTCATTATCATTATGTAACTGTCTGTTGTGATGTCCATTTATTACCTCCCCACATTCCGAGATATGATCCTTGAAACTGTCTTTTGAAAACATCCGGGCCCAATGAAGAGGTTTATCATAAAGGTAGTGGGATTTGCAAGCGATACAGTGGAAACCCCATTCAATAGTTCGTAGGCGCCTATCTATGAGCGGTGCACGAACAACGCCCATGAAACGTTTGGGATTCGAAAATAAATCAAAGTCATCCTCCAACTTGGGCCAGCGCGTACGTTGCCTCTGCCGCGATTCATGTCCTGAGGCTCGAAGCTGATACCTCTCTAGTTTTCCAGATGCTAATTCTGCTGCATGATGCTCCATGGCACTGACAGACCCATGCAAGCGAATCCCAGCTTGTCGCGCAGAGTCATAATCAATGAGTGTAAGTCGCGTATTGCATTTGATCCCCCGTGGTGAGTAGCGGCCTGGAATACTTCTCATTCGAGGCAAATTCGCTAGGTGCTCCCGACGGAGTCCAAATTCCCGCATGGCATCCGTTCGGAGCAGTGGCAGATAAGCAGTCTTCTGCGAGAAGCAGAGATAACAAACACGGCGACATGTGATCAGGTATAAATAGCCGCCAAAATCACCGCAACCGTCGCACTCAGCCGTACATAGCCTTGCGTAGAGATTTTGACATGAGATCCAATCTCCTGTTTCGATGCTCAGGATTCCTCGGATGGTGGCAGGTGCGTGCTGGATAATCCTTCGGTATTGTGGAATCGAATCTACGACCCCTCTGGCTTGGCGATTGACGCGTCGAAAGTCGGTAAGTGACCGGATTCCAAGTTGTATGAGCACTATGTTAACAAGTTCCAAAGGGAGTTTGTCCAAAGCTCCCAATGTACTCCTCGGGGCATCATGTCGCTGTCCATTGTCGAGCGGACAGAGGCTTTCAATACTGTCCAGGGTATGGTCCCTCAAATCAACATAGTACGTCAATTCGCTCGCTTTGCGAATAATGGCCATAACTCTCCAAGCTGGAGTCTCGCTTTCAGTTCTTGTGGCCTGTGTAGGAAGGGAGTGAGGTAGGGAAATAGGAGAAGTAAGGCGCGAAATATCTTGATTGGTATGAGGTATCAGGCATGACACGGCCCAACGGGGCGTTTCCAGGATGGCAGCGCGTAGGCCCCACAGGGCGGAAGACGTGTCCTAACTGCTATTATAAGTGCCCCCTATGTTAACTAGAAAATAGGACACCGCTATGATTGCAGATATGAGACCCTATTCTGACTGGGATACAGGCCGGACACCCTTTTGGCCTAGTGGTATAATACTCTGATATCCTATTACAGGGCTAGCCACTGACCTATGTATTCCTGCGTCCTATTTATTACTAAAACAGTAGGTAAGGAAGATAATGTTATGATGGATAAATATAAGGCTACATAGAATTAAGCAGTACAATATTAGTGTAGATACTTGTAGTATCTGATGCAAGTATTACACCTTAACGTCTGCCAGTTTTCTGTCATTTTAAGGGAGGTCTTCTGTTCTGCTCATTGCCATGTTGAATCCTTCTTTTCTCCTTTTGTCCTTACTGAGTACCAACATATGACCGAGCCAGCGCATCTACGTTTGGGTCCTTAGTATATCATCCCCTCGCAAATATACTGAAATCCTCATCATGAATATATTTGCATGCAGAACAGATTTATGTGAGATTATAGGTATATCAGCTGAATATCTATAGGTTAGCAGGATTTGAGCTAAAGCTTTTATGACTAGGTGGAGCATACAGGACAGTAATCATATACGAGTTGAGAATGACCACGAGGTCTTGATGCGCATGAAGTAAGTACGCTTTAAAATAAGGTAAACATAACATGTAAGACACACCTTCAGTATGTCATTCTCTACGCTCCAACTGTGCTAATTGGTCAGATTGTCCCTCCTACTACCTACCTGGATCTTCTGGCTTACCTGGCCCTTGTATATGTGCACAATTTTTTCATCAGATACGTCGCCCCAGTGTTATCTACATTTCCCTTGCTTGTATACTGACCGTGCTTCATCTAAATATGGAAGCAAATCAACCTCAGATTCACACTTATCACAGACTATGCACCCTACTTGATGACACCGTAATCGTTATCCGAACGCTCAAGCTCCCCTTCGCAGGGTACGGCGTGCCAAAATCCCGAGCAAATTCAATGTTCTCCTTGGGCGTTTCATACAGCTCCAAATCAAACCGGTGTGCCAACGTCGCGATGATCAGGAACATCTCCGCATACGCCGGACTACATGGATTAGTAGTGGACAGCTGGTTGGAAGATATTACTCGTGCTTCATGCCAGTGCAGGTCCAGCTTCCCGTGCAGAAGTTCACCATGTACCGATCGAGCCGTTGTCGTTTTGCAGCGGCACGTATCCATCGTTCTGGGTCGAATTCGTGCGAGTCGGTGAAGATTTCGGGGTCCGCGAGGACAAAATAGCTTAAATTCGCTGACGGGGGTTTGTACTTGTTACGGAAAGCTTGCTTCTGCCTCTCTGTGGGGTTATTGTATTATACTGACCCCCGGCGGGATAGTATAGTCCTTGTATACCAACGCCTCCGTACGCGCGACTCTTATGGAGCGACTCGCCAGTCCAATACCTAGATGTAGGGGATTCAGCAATCACGCCGGACTGCTAGGGTTAGTGATGTAAAACTCCCTGGCCCACGATTCTCACCAAATAAGGTAACCCTTCAAGTTCCTTCCATGTCGCTCTTGAATCTGCCGAGGCATCACCTGCTTCAATCCTTCCCTGAGCTTAGCCAGAATATCTTTCCTGTTATGCGAATACCACGCGCAGATACCAAACGCACGAGCCATCGTTCTGCGCCACCAATCACCAGGGCAAATCCCTCGTTCATCAGCCGCTCCGGCCTGTGCATGTGCGCCGGTAGCGTCGGCGACACGAGCGCATCAAATACAGTCCCGCTGCCGCTGTCCTTGGATTCGAATGCGGTTTCTCCAGCGCGGCCGCGACCCGATGGTACAATTGATTCATCTGACCGGCGAGAACAAACGCGGGGGGATTGACCTTGCGCAAGACCGCCAGCGGCATCATGTTCACGATAGTCTGCAGGAGGGGGAAGAAGTAGCGGATGTGCGCCAGCTGGAAGAGCCTGTTGATGCTGTCTCTGACCTTGGCGTTGAACCCCTTCTTGTCGATATTAGCCGGGTTGAACCCGTACACATACCTGTGGATAACATCGGAGGTCAAGGCTGCGAATCCCGCGTCCAGACTGACCACCTGATGCGAGGCATGGGCTTCCTTGAAGTGGTAGACGAGTCTGTCGAGGCTTTCGTGGATTAGACCCTTCATTTTTCTCGATGGCCGCTTCGAAAAGATTCCCCGACGGGTGTGCGCCGCTGCCGACTGGATCAATGCTGGAGAAGCTGGAGCCGTCGAGGTCGAGCTGCTTGATTAGCACGGTGTCCTTCTCGCGCTTGCGAAGGCTGGATGCGCAGATAACATCGTAGTACTTCAAACAATTAAACCAATCTGGAACGATTTGCATCGGCTGTCCCGCAAAAATGTTCGTGTCTGGGTATAGGAGGAGCTGGCGAGCCTCCACAGCACCGTGCTTGAGGAAATCACTGAATCACTGATGTGCTTATGTTACAGAAGTAATGACTGCCTTTAGAAGTGCCCTAAGTTGTTGGGAAATGCGTAAGCTGTGTCTCTTCTTAGTCAGGCTAGCCTGCCCTAAGATTCCGTAAATATATTGATGAGAACAGAAACCATCTTGAATAGAGCAGCCATTCCTAGTTCGCTCAGATGCTGTCCTTGGATCCCTGAAGTGCTCATCCTCCGTTACTGAATATAAACAGTATTATTCTAGCAGTTTTTTTTAGAGCTGAACAGCTTTAGACGAGTCAGCTTCGCCTTTGACATGGCAAGGTGACATGGCTGTGGAGACATCCCTGATTCTCTTTCTAGAGGTGATCTACATCATTCTCCACAGCCATTGATAGTACGGACCCTGTGCTACTCGGATCGGCTTATCAATGGTCAGTACTCGGCACTAACTGCTAGTATAAACTCAATGTTTAATGATATGTCTTGACTCTCGGCTCTGGATTGATGTTTCCCTCTCATTTTCTCACACTCAGTGTTATTTGTTTATATAAGAGAGTACAGTAACATGAATCTGGCTCAATACTCCGATCCGTATCTTTAGGATATAGATATTTGCAATACCACTGTCGTTTTAGCTGCTTTCTCAGAATAGAACAACCGTCGTCCCAGCCTTGTCTAAGCCTAAGCCTAGTCAAAGACTAGCCGCAGAGCCAACCAACATAAAAACAACCCATTGGCTCACTATATTCGTTTAATCAACCCGAGAGGCTCATCCCATGCACACATTTCTTGGCCATCGGCCCAAGAGCCTTTTAAGCTCCACCGAAGCCCATGCGGCTGACATTTACTTTCGTCGAACAAAATGTCCTGATAACACAAAGCTCCGTGTTGCCCACGATGGAAACCAAGCAGACCGAGGAACCCAGGTCTCCCGAACAGCCTGGCCTTGAAGTGGTGATACCCGATGGGCTGATTCCGCAGTATGAGAGAGATGCACCCCTCTATTACGCCGGAGATGGATCCGAGGCCCCGATACCGGTCGATACAGAGGTTGGCCAAAGCCAAGAAGTCAAAAGTGTGGAGGATGCTCCGCGAACAATATGCGGGTTCCGGCGACGGTATTTCTGGATTGCAGTGCTGGTTGCTGTGGTTGTTATTGCTGCAGCGGCGGGTGTAGGGGGATCTTTTGCGATAAAGGACTCCGGGTGGGTAGAGAATGTATATGAAATGATTGAACAATGCCGATCGGGGTATCCAATGGAGCAGTACCCCCACCCCTACCTCAACCGCAAAAGCCGCCTCTACTTCGACTTCGGCTTCGTCTTCGGCAACCTCCAGCGCCTCAAGCTGTCCGACGAACGAGACGACAATCACCGTCCAGCAAAAGGACTATATCCGGTTATGCGACACGGATCTTTGCTCTGACACGGGTGGTTGTGCGAGCGTCACCATCTCCGACGACAATCTCGTAAACTTCAAGACCAGTTCCCTTGAACAGTGCATCCAGCGCTGTGTCAGTTATAATATCATCATCAAGGGAGCCCCATGCAAGGGAGTGAGCTGGGACGAAACAGCACCTTCATCCACCAACCGCACCCATCGCTGCTTCCTGAAGAATGAGACGAGTATCAGAAAGACGGCACCAAGTGGCTGGACCATTCTCAGTGCAGTCGCCAAGGAGTGAGTTGTTTCTTCTGTGGATGCACTTTTGCGATGTGATTGTTATAGACATATCAGAGGCTCTTCGTCAAATGAATGTGCCTGTACCAGGCAAGGTTGACCTAAACTGTGATTATTCACCGTCAAAGAGTTGTAGGACTCCAGAAGAGCCATGAATGGAGGGAAAAGAAAAGGGAAAAAAAGATTTCAATGCATCATCCGTGAATCGAACACGGGCCTCGTCGATGGCAACGACGAATTCTACCACTAGACCAATGATGCTGTTGCTTGGCGATTACCTCGCTATTTTGTTAAATATTCCACTCCACTCTGTATCAGGAAGGAAACAACATCTTTAGTTTATCCGTTGTCGATTGAGGTAATTAATGATTCATTGCATGGATTAGTTTTAGATTATTGTAAGGTAAAGTTTGTCATTGATCCATCTATAGCTGTACCTCCCCTTTGCATAAATCATGTGCATGCTCACCAGAACGACTGACTCAAGCATATAGTAGAACAACCTGTCTATAAGACAACCCACAAGAGGGCCTTGAATTCCCGCGCTGATGGCAAAGATGACAGTCTCATAGACTAGCCGTGAATGTCCCCTCAATTCTCTCAATCTGCGCTACGCCCCGTTTATAGCTCTCAATGGCCTGTAGCCGATCAGCATAGGCTGCTACTCCTGGATACTGACCCCGAAGGGATGCCAGTCTTGACAACGCCGCGATGACCGAGTAGCTCAGCTGAATATCAGCAGCTGTAATCTTATCTCCACAAAGATAAGGACCGCCCCCCGGCGCCGTCTTCAGCCGCTCTTCCAGGAAGCCAAGATGCGTGTGGATGTTGGGATTGATAAAGGCCCCTTCCACCTTGGACGCTATCATTCTAGTCACTGGCTTGATGAAGAATGGAACCGGCGCATTCCTCACACCTGAGAATTATCAGTACGTCGTCTACGATGAGAGATCTATTATGGAATATGGACATACCGTCGATAACCACCTTCATCACCAAAAACGGCGCTAGACTGCCCTCGGTATAGTGCATGAAATACTGGTATCGCATCCACGCGTCTGCCTCCCCGCCGATCTGGCCCTCTTTGCCTTCGGCATATCGCTGCGGGATGAGCTTCTGCCCGCCGAAGTGGGTGCAGAGATACTCGATGATCACTGCAGACTCGGCCAGAACTAGTGGCTCTGCGCAGTTGGGGGTGGTGATGGTGACGACGGGGGATTTACCCAGCGGGTGAATCTTTTTCAGCTCGTCGGGTGCTGTCATGTCGGCTTTGCGCTTGAAGGTCTTGATCTCGTAGGGGATGTTGAGCTCTTCCAGGAGCCAGACGATCCTCTGAGCACGGGACTTTTCCAGCCTGTTCCTGGTTAGTTATTTTCTGGCATTGCGCGCAGTAGAGTGCTGGGTTACCAGTATAGCGTGATTTTGGTATCTTGAGTATCTGTCATGGTGAGGAGCGGATAGTAGCTGGAGATCTGTTGACGAATGCGAGGTATAGTTATCACCGGTGAGTGCAATGAATTCAAGTCTCGTATAATTCTACATCGATTCACCTGCCAGACGGAAGGTTTGCTTATATATGTTGGGGAGTTAGCTGGAAATGAATATTGCGGAGGAATCCCGATCTCGGCTCAAACTTTCCTCCGTAACTTCATATTCAAGCCGTGCTATTCCCGCTCTTGGCAGATGGAGGCTCGTATTCGTTCTGCTCTGCATCTCTATTGGACCGCGAGGTTTTATATCGACTCGGATGACCCTGTCGGAGAAGAGTCAGTCCGCTTGGGATGAGTGGTACTGTGGTACTGCCCGCCACAGTTACCTGTAACTCAAACACAGCCCTGCTGTTGCTGTTGCCTGTCAACTAAGCTCCCTACTCCGAGGGAGCAAACAAATTTTTATTGATCTTCAATCAGTCTCCGATTTCCTGAATTAGAATTATCTTTATTTTTACTTCACATGCAGTATGTGGGCCAGTCCCTCCAGCATTGCTCAGCCATCTCCATCACTACTTCCATAGTTGTGGTACCCACTGGTGACAATATTGGGTCCACTCTTAATCACTACATCCTTTGCAGACCACCTGCCGAATCAATGGATCTTCTTCCCCAGAAGAATACAAGGATGCACAGCACACCCAAGGCATCCGTCCAGCCGGCAAAGTGCCAAAGGCGCCACCATATCCACGCGAGGCAAAAATGGGGCTGACAATAGCTCACTCCAAAGGAAATGATGCCCCTAAAGCGCAGATGATGACTAGCAACGATCCCGGTCAGGTAGGGTAGCTATCCAGCAGGTATATGATATCAACAATGTTTAAGCGTCGATTAACCTTAGAACCACGCGACCCGCCTGACTAGGCTGACGAGTCGTCATGTATTACTGTGAATGAGAGCTCAACTATTTGTGTTATGCTCAGACAATAGACTTCTACTCTTCAGGTTCGCTTTAAATTCATACATGACTCTCCTGAGGACATCGTGTATAACCCACGCTCTTATATCCCACTCCATCAATACAGATGAAACAGTGGACCGATCGGAGGATATTCTCTACTAGCTAGATTAGCAGGCAGCTCCCCCGCTGATTTCTAATATAAGGTTGATTAAGCTTACCTCTGGACTGACTTCGATAGGTACTGAGCTGGTGCTTTCGACCGAGTATAAGGCACATAGAATGGAGCACAGACTCCCGCAACCAAGGAAGTTCTCACGGCCGCTTTTAGGAGCATGGTTACTGTTTAGGATAGTTCATGGGGCTGGTGTTTGCACTGAGTCATGTTCATATTCTTTGTTCTGAGTATGGCAGGCTGTGAGCTTGTAGAACTATTAAGAAAGATGTACTCAGGCTGTGCAGCATTCCAGACATTTCAACTTGCTTCTGAAGGAATGCTTACAATTAGATGTGCACTGATTGGCTCTGAGCTGCATCAGGCCGCGAATGCAATGGTCATCTGAACCGGATGCGTGATTGCATGCAACAGAATCCAATGAGGAAGCCGATTCGCTCCGATGGAGGATTGGATCCATGCGGGGCCATCCCCACATGTACCCCGCGTTTGCCATTGTTGACACTTGGAGTTCCGGGGTATTGATTGAAGAATCGCCCTATATATGCTGGCTGCTGTGTCAATTGCAATTAGAGTGCGCCGGTCATAAGTTAATTATACCGTTTGAATTGACCCAAGTGCCGATGAGGCATGCCACACTGTAAAGCAACACCGCCAAAATGGACTGGCTGTCCGCTCTGAAGCAACCGCTGTCTGAGGGAAAACGTAAGACTGTGTCAACACGATGGGGACATTGTTTTAGTGGTTTAATGTGGAAGATCTATGGACTAGATGCTCTATTTCGATAATTCCCTTGGATATGGGTTGCATACAGGTCTGCCTTTGTTTATCTTGAACGTTTTCTACCCAAAATGGCATACACGTGCGATTATATTTCTCTGACAATACTGCCTGAACGGGCTATTCGTCGGATGCATTTCCCCCGGACCATGTTTCAGACCTTGTAGATCCCCCGTCCTTCGCCGCACCATATCTCCCTGCCGAACGCTGATTGTGGGGTTTTGTTTCTCCTGATGAATCTGCAGCGGCCGGCCGGCCGACAATATGTCCGGCTGCAGATAATATAGGCTAGATGCTCCGCAATTAAGCCCTGTTCCATACTCTGCCGACCCCGCTTTGGCTGTATATATACAATGGGTTAATGGCTTGCAGGATGGATTGCCCTATCTTGCATTATTGTAAAGAACTCTGGTGGAGTACGGGATTATCGCGATGTTGCTCATAAGTCGTCTGGTTGCTGCTCTGGCTCTGGCACGAGTAGCCATTGCTTCGCTGCAGATTGTTAGCCCCCCTAGGTGTTGAAGTGGGATATTTTGCTAATAATGACTAGATTCCCGGAGCTACATGGACCGCTAGCGGTACTAACCAGCACGTCCAAGCGCATGGTGGAGGTAAGCAGGCTTACTATTCCGGATGTTTAAGGTGATTAAAGACATGTGGCCACAGGAATCATCGAAATCGACTCGACCTACTACTGGATCGGTGAAAACAAGCTCAACGGGAGCGCGTTCCAGTCTATCAACTGTTACTCCAGCAAGGTACGTTCATACCATATACGTCCACCGGCCCAAGGTTAACGCCTGCAGAATCTGGTGGAATGGACATATGTAGGAGAACTCCTCTCTCGACAGAGCAGCGGTGATCTTGGTCCAAACCGCGTTGTCGAGCGGCCCAAGGTCCTTTACAACGAGGCCACCCGCAAATACGTCATGTGGATGCATATCGACGACAGTTCCTACAAGGAGGCGAAGACTGGAGTTGCGACTTCGTCGAGTGTTTGTGGGACGTACAGTTACCTGTAAGTCTGTGTGACTCCGCGATATGTGCAGTCAGCAGCTAGTGCCTAACTCGCTGGTTAGCGGCTCATTCCAGCCTTTGGGGCAGCAGTCGCGCGATATGGGCTTGTTCAAGGATGATGATGGGTCAGCGTATTTGCTCACTGAGGATGTAGGTCTACGCCATTCATCTATCTAGTGGACGGAGCTGACGTCAGTAGCGCCCGAATGGATTGAGGATTAACAGGTTGACGGACGACTATACCAATGTGACTTCTACTGTACACCTTTTTCCGGAGCATATCGAGTCACCTGCCATGTATAAGAAGAACGGGGTGTACTTTCTGTTTGGTTCTCAGTTAACTGGTACTATTCCCCCCAATCTCGCGATTTACTCTAACTAACTTCTGCAGGATGGTGTATGTGCCCCTTGTTTCGTTCTAGCACAGCTCTACTAAACGCCAGGTAGCAACCAACGACAACAGATATACCACATCCACGAGCCTCAGCGGTTCCTGGAGCTCATGGGCAAACTTTGCGCCCTCCGGCTCAAACACCTTCAACTCCCAGACCACCTTCATCCTCGGCGTCGGCGACACAGTAATGTAATACCCCTAACACTTCCTTTCCAGCAAAATAACGTACGAGTTTTTAAACTTCTGTCAGGTTCATGGGTGACCGATGGGTCCCCTCCAACCTCATGGCCTCAACCTACATCTGGCTCCCTCTAACCCTCAGCGGAACGACCGCCACACTGGTAACATCTCCCCCCCCCCCTTCCCGCTACCTCGTTACGACCACCACTAACAAAATGGCCACCCTAGCAAAACCAAGTAAACTGGATCCTCCCCTTGCAGGGAACCTGGACCCCCGGCCCCACAGAAACAACCCCCGAAGTCGAATCTTCCAGCAACGCCCTCTCCAACGGCGCCAAAATCGTCTCCTGCAGTGGCTGCTCCGGCACCCAAGCCGTCGGCTGGATCGGTGGACCTTCGGACGGGACGCTGCGGATTGTGGGGGTGGAGAGTAGCGCCTCGACGAGGAGTACGATCCGGGTTAAGTATGTGAATGGAGATTCGAGTCAGCGGTATGCGACTGTTAGTGTCAACGGGAAGACGCAGGTTTTGGCGTTTTTGCCGGCGGCGGGAACGCCCGCGAGTTCGACGTTGCATGTTGATCTGCTGAGTGGGAGTGGGAATACGGTTACCTTTAGTGCGTATGGACAGGGATATGGTAGGTTTCTTTCTTTTTTTTTTTCTCTCCCCCTCAGAGTTATTGATGCGGCTGCTGATGGATGTAGGACCGGATGTTGATCGGTTGATGGTTCCCCAGACGTAGGGGTTGGCTGGATAGGTTGATTTTTGGGTGATCGTGGTATATGCTTGAATCGGTCACTTCGGGTATTGATTGAGCAAGCTGAATACAATCGCTACAAGCAGTTCTGGAAGAGATGTTTTATGAATAAGTGTAGAACATGGTACGCAGTAGTATTCTTAGAGGTCGAGAGGACACCAGTCTGTTTGACTTCTGACGTTTCCGCTATATCGCCAGTTGGCTCGGCTTTAACATCTCTCCATAGCATCAATGGCGATATCTGACGTTTTCAATGCATGTTAGCGATATATTGATGTTCTAGAATGGCCTCTGGTTGACTATAGCCGAGCTCTACGAGACTCATCCGGGTCCATCCGGCAGACTAGATTGACGCAATTCGGAATGAACATCGAAAAGAGGCTACTTCAAGGCTTTTGGTCTGTTAATCGCTGTATATACAAACAGTCTATCGTCTAATAGGTGATCTATCAAGTCCAAGCCTCCCAGCTCAGTCCGTCCCGATAGACCAATCCATTCTGTGGTCCCTCCGAACTGATGATATACCCTCCTTCGCAGGCAGAGTACGAGACCTTGGGCTGCGCACGGTAGAAATGATCATACTTTGTGTTCAAAGCATCCCGCAGATCCTTGACCGAGCCATCCGGATGGATCACGTCCCACGGCTTGATGCAAGTATCGCCCTTGCATGATTTGAGAACCATCAGTAGTGCGTCCAGACGAGTGATGACGTTGGACAGATCGCGGCCGAGGAGACGGGGCGTTGTCGCATTGGCGTTGGTGTAGAGATTGTTGACTTGGTACGGGTCTCGGAGCATATCGTACAGCTCGTGGTCGTTGTTGCACCAGACCGAGTAGTACAGACTGTATCCGTTCCCAACGATGCGCGCGGATTTGTACGTGTTGTTGGGCATGGAGAACGAGCCACCAGGTGCTGCATATGGTCAGTTATGATTCGATAAGATGCTTTTTTGTTAACTCACCCAAGGCACCGTAGTCTCCCTCCAGGGGCGATTTACCCCAGAATTCGACAGCGACATGTTCGTGGGCGATAGCCTTTACCCCCTTTGCGACTGGCAGCGGAGTGCCGTCAAAGTCCTCTCGCAGAGGGATCCCCGCAAGCTGGAAGAAGGTCGGAGCTAGATCAATGTGTGTAGTGACCGAATCGTCGGTTTTCCCTTTGGGAATGCCGGGTCCGCGGATGTAGAACGGGACATGGATGTCCTCCTCGTAACCGGACGACTTACCAGGTGGCATCCGGTGCTGCCCAATGTGGAATCCATTGTCCGCCGTGTAGATAATATACGTGTTTTCGGCTTGACCACTTTCCTCTAGCCGCGTGATGAGAGTATCAACCATCTCATCCAGCGCCTGCAGCGAGCGCAATCGCTGACGGTAGAAGTGATCCTGGTAGTCAATGACGGTCTGATTAGCCAGCGGGAGGTGCTGCACCCAGCCGCCTCCGGTAGGCACCTTGGGGTTGAAATTCGCCGTCCGTGGCACCTTGGCATCTGGAAAGAGATCCTTGTGCCTCTCAGCGGGAATAGGAGCGGTCATCAGCGTGCCCTTTGCGCCCCGGTGCCCAGCCCACTAGGCTCAATGTTGGAATGCGGCGCAATAGGAGCGACAGCAAGGAAAAACGGCCCATCACTACTTAGAGCGTCGTTCAGAAAGCCCACGGCCTTTTCTGCGATGACGTCTGTCGTATATTGGCCCGCATAGCTCTTGGGTGGCTCACGATTCCGCTGGTAAGTGGAGTTGAGGTAGGAATATGTGTACGGATCAAGCAAAAAGTCCGATCCATTCCACCCTTTGGGGAAAGGGGAATTGTAGTTACTAGTCGTGTGGCCGTTCATGAGTTTGCCCGTGTAGTAGGTATTATAGCCGGCTTCCTGCAGCCACACAGGCAGCCAGGCCTCATTGAAACCCTGTGACACGAACTTGGAATACCCTCCTATTCTCCGTCAGCATCTACTCTTCCTGTTTCACAGCGAGAAGTCAGCTCACCCCATGGTGGAGAAACATCTGTAACCTGCGCATCGTCAGCAATCCTTTCGCCCTTGATGTCAAACGCCAATGCTTACATTGGTGTTGTGAGCCTGCCGTCCTGTCCACAAACTGACCCGCGACGGACAGCAGAGCGAAGTTGTCACAAAGTGATTGGTAAATTCAACGCCCTTGTCTCGGATATGTTTCTGGATATACGGTGTGAAGGCTGGGGAATTCAATTCCAGATCTTGATCGTCGGTCATGATAAACAGCACGTTCGGCTGCTTTGCCTGTTTCCTGGGCATGAGTAGGGTATCCTGGCCGAAGGATGCAGCCTCTGTGGCCGCTAGAAGCCCTGAAAGGGCTACCAAATCATGAATCCTCATGTTTCAAGAGAATTGAATAGCATAAGTGATAGAATGGATCATTTCACTGTGACTTCGTGACGGTGTTAGCAGCTTTTAAGAGACAGCAGTGTGATATAAAAAAAAAATATTGATTTTTAAGAAGCCGACAATTACCCAGACTTGTCGATGGGTCAGGATAGCCGGTCGGCAAAACAAGTCAATATTGATACTAGCTCGGAGACTAAAATCCCGAGCGACGACGATCAAGTCCATCCTTGGACGAGAAACGAATGTACACAACGGCCATAGGAGGAGGGCCGAGGGTGTGGAAAAAATTGCCGTTTTAGCGCTCTGTGGCACCATTTGCAGCCAATAATGCCGGCGCTTGGGCTAATCAGCTTTTGCAGCAAAATGCTTGTTTATATTGTCTAGACCAGGGATATGCAGATTATGTCGGCATAGATCCCCTGCAGTCTTACATCCATTTGGTCCATGCGAGTTTCCCCGAGTTTTCCGCTCAATTGTCGCGTATTAGTCCGTATATTCTTCATCGGATGAACAAGACGGCAGTTGAGCAAGTCCATAGATGATCATGTATACGGAGTATTCAAGTTTAGACAGTGAGGCCGCCAGTTGATTATACCAGGATCGAGTTAATCACTGTGGGTCAATGCAATTACGTGCTCCGCTTTAAGATGAGCTCATCTTGCAGCACAGTTATCAGCTTTAATCGACCCGGTATCTCTCCGCATGAAGTCTCTGCCAGTCATGACTGTCCTTGAGCCTTGACTCGTATGACTCTGATTGCCCGTAGCACCGTCCATATGTGTTACGGAGTAGAGTTGTCGCTTGAGAGTCGGCTGAAAAGCCTTCCTCTACCACAGACCCGCACTGGATTCCAATATGATGCAATTTAGTAGTACAAGATCGCGCACTTAACTTATATCACATAATCCAGCGATTGTTAGAACTCTTGCGTTAATTCCGTTAGATAGACCAGATGGCGCTAGGGAGGCGGGGTGTCGCTACGGTCTTAAAACATGTTCTAATCGAAGTTGAGGTCCAAGGATTGGGAACTTGCATGTAGCCTTCAGCTGTGCGATGGCATCGAAGAAGAAGCTTGGTGGAATAATTTTAAAAATCCTGCCAGTCATGCGAGGGCTACGGGACCAACTGTCGTGCAAGATGGATTATCGGCAAATCAACATTAATTCACTAATTCATCGCATTAAGCGGAGTCATAACTCATGTCGCAATTTATATACTAAACTAGATATGGAACGAATCCACATTCTCCAGAATAAAGTTGTACGTGTCATTGCGGAAATCATCGGCCAGCAAGGCCCCCTTATTGTTGAAGAACTGCATCAGCTGCTGGTCATCGTTCCACCGTGGCCATTCCATAAGACTACCCCGGCGAGAGTTCGGGTCGAGATCGTACACGAAGCTGAAATAGTAGGTGTGGAACGCGCGCGACGCGTAATTCGGCAGAATGCCATAAAATACCTGCAGGATATCACTGGCGTGGAAGGTACCCATAATGGGCGTCCCATAGTCATACGATGACAGGTATGACCAGCAGGGCAGGTCGGGTTTCAGCTGCGTCACGTACTTGAGATACGCTCGACGTGTCAGAGTGAAGGTGAGATCGCCAAGCAGGGCTGCCAATCGTTTGAACTGCGGATACCAGTTGTTGAAGATGCCCGTGCGGAAGGGTGAGCCGTCTGTGGTAACGTCCGGATAGGTGGCCACCAGCTCCTCGAGCTGGTCGCGCGTCGCCCCAAAGAAGTAATACTTGGCCAGGTAGTCCACCACCTGTTTGGTGGTGGTGATATTGGACTGGAAGAGCGCAAATAATGTCCCCTCATCCTCCTGGTCGCCGATAATGATTGGTACGGCCGCGTATTTGCCCGTTTTGACCAAAATGTCCGGGCTGGCAGTGATCGCCTTGCCGTCTGGTCGAGGCAGATATGACAAGGCCACTGAATGGTAGCTCAGGATGCCCGGCACCGCGTTGGCCGCATTCAGAAAGTCAGTATAGTCCAATCCGCGCAGACACTCCAGCGTGTCTGCCGCCGATGAGCAGCCGGCATAGTCCACAACCGCATCATACACCTGCTGCCCCTTGACCCCATCTACGGGATCAGCCGGGATCACGCTACCCGAGTTCATGATGCTGCCCCGGAACAGGGGCTTCCCCTTGTAGGTATTGTCGCCATCGTACAGGATCATGTGATCGAAGACCGAGATGGATCCTGCGGACTCACCCCAGATGGTCACCTTGTCCGGATCGCCGCCAAAGGCTGCGATGTTGTCCGCCACCCACTGCAGGGCCAGGCGTTGATCCAAGAGTCCCAGGTTGGCCGCGCCATCCGCGAGGATCTCCTTCCCGGGCATAAACCCAAATCCTCCCGTTCGATAGTTCATCGCGACAAAGACAATTGGCATGCCCAGGTCGATGGAGCTTGCCACCAGCGAAGTACCATCGTATGTGGCCGTGGAGCCCAGCTCGAAGCCGCCGCCGTAGATCCACACCAGGACGGGCAGCTTCGAGCCTGGCGTTGTGCCGGACGGACGGGCCACGTTCAGGGTCAGACAATCCTCTCCGGCATTCGTCACCGTCTGAAAGAGGGGAATGTTGGCCAAGAGGCCGGTGACGGACCCCGGAAACTCGCTGTTGTCCGTCGAGAAAAAGAACTGAGGACACGACTTGGCGCTCCCAGTGCCGTCAATAGTGCCCAGGGACTTCTGTATTGGCTGGGGAGGCTTCAGACGCAACGGACCCGTGGGTGGCTGGGCGAAGGGGATGGCATTGAACTTCTCTACCCTTCCGGACGACCCAACAATGGTGGCCGCAGGAGATGCGATCGTGACGGTAGGCGCAGATGGCTGGGCCGGAGCCGCCAGCACAGCGGGTGAAAGGGTCAGAAGCGGCAGAAGAACCCAGAGGAGGAGATGCATTTCGTCAGTCAGCCTGTTCAGCCTATAGGTCTGAAGACGACTGGAAACTGGGGCAGAGGGATATCCTTCTCAAGCAACACAGGGGGAAGACAAGGATCTATGCAGTATTTATCCTGCATTCATTTCCCAGCCATCACCCAATTCGGATCTGGATGCACATGGCTCCTCGGTCTGCACTTCTGCATTCTCGACATGTTTTCCATGGATGCCAGGGGCATACCCCGCCTGAAGGATTGTAAGAAGACCCATATTTACCGCTCGTCACTGACTTAAGCCCAGAAAACCAGAACTGACCCCTGTCAATCATCGCAGAGACGGAGACGAAGACCCGATTTGGCCGTAACCGAGGAAAGTCAGCCTGATATTTGGGCACACTGGGTCTCCGGTTACAAACTTAATCGCAAACAAAGAGCGAACATAGCGACAGGACCCAAAAATCAGCAATGGTAAACGCACATGAAGCTCAAAAGCCGAGGCTGGCATATCGTTCAATGGGCGGCGCGAGTCCCGGGGACGTCGTCGGAGGGTCAGCAGATCAGGTTCTGTGAGCTGACAATGATGGAATGGCGGTGGATGATTGAAGAAAATCGACGGGGATATTCCCCGCATTGCAAATCGCGGGGGTCGCCCGAGGCTGCTGATATCGCCGAGCAGGTATACAGCGATCCAATCTTGACCCAATCAACAAGTCGACTGGATCGTAAAATTGGCGCAATACCGGGAGACGATCGACCAGGACAAACCATAGGCCGCAGCCTCCCACCCGCAAGGCGATCCTTTCCTGATCACGCCCAACGCTCACATGGAACCAACAATGGTGATCGAATGAGAAGCGTTCGGAATATTCTAGTTTAGTAGTTAACTGCCTATCCTCACGAGACGTTGGCTAGTTGCTGACGCTAATAATGACTCGCTGTCACTTCCGGTATGCTGATCGTTGTGTCGGGTCGTCGCTTAAGTTAGTGCTCTCGTTTGGACGAGGTACATAGCAGCCTCTGCCCTGCCGAGAGGGAATTTACCGGCTCCCCTCGTATTTTCTATTTTCATATCCACCGTTTGAGTCTGGGACCCGTGGATCACAGGATGCACAGTTCCAGTCGGAGAAATCTCGCTTCCACCCGCCCCTCCATCTGGCAAGCAGCCTCATTAAGCCCTCCCACTGTCTTGAATGTCTAGATGCAAGCGACTCAAATGTTGGATCAGGTCACTATCTATGCTACTCAGGTCTAATAATAGACCAACATCCAACGCCTCCTGTAATAAGCGTAATCGGAAAGAGAATCCGGTGCAGAGGTGCTGCAAGACCGGCCAGCTACAACCTGCTTCCGTGCGCAGCCTCGATACGAGACACTGGTGATATTCATGCACGCAGCCGAGAAAACTCCGAATGGGCTGGGATCTAGTAGCTTGTTTTCACAGATCCGACGACAAGCAGCAGATTGAGGTTGGTGCAGAAGGTCATTGCAACTCTATCGGAGACTCGAGCGGCCAATGTAACAATGCTGGAAAAAAGCATGTGCGACGACGGTATAACAACTGATAGCGAACGAAAAACAAGCGGTAGACGATACGCATCCATTGTCCGTCATCATAAAAAGGCAAAGAGGCATCACAGCGGCCACCACCAGGGCACCAAAGACTTACTCACAATAACGGCACCGATGAAGCCGTAGAATGGCTGCTCGCATGAGCCATCCACCTGACAATAATCAGCTGGCAGATTTACGAGATCGGTGCCTGTTGCCGTCTCTTAGGTCGCATCGCGATAAAAAAACTGTAGCGAGTCCAAGGACCGTTTCGAGAGGATCTGTCGGGCCCATCTAGTTCGAGGAGCTTCGGCATCCTGGCAGCTCATCATCTGTTTTCGACCAAGTCACCCTGGGATGTTCAAATGTCCGACTATAGAGGGGCCACGTCCCGTTCATTTCTTTTTCGATTGTCAGCGAGCGCTCTGTGAACCACATTATGGAGATCCAAGAGGGCTCAAAGGAGTCTTTCTGAAAGCCACTAGCCAGAGGGACAACAGAGCCGAATACATTGAACTCAAAGCGTGTTTTGGTTGCATTTGACGCATTTGTCAAGCTGTGACTGAAGCAATAAGGGAGCCGCGCTGCGTATGTCCGCCAGGAATTATCTATGACAAGCGACTCAGACTTGACATTCACGCGTCTTCGGCAACCCTCGGGTTGTCATGCAGCGTCTTGCAATTGCGCCGGTAGCTCAGGTGAAGGAAAAGCAACCTTCTCAAGCGTATCCCGTTCATCTGGCCGTCTGCTGCCTGTCACCAGATATAGGCATGACATCTAGTAGGTCACTCATTGAGAAGACCGACATTGTCTGCATTTCAGCCAGGATGAAGATACGGCAGGTCAACCATAGCGAAAAAAAGGCAGACTACCTCGCTGAAGAAGTTCATCATCACATATGTCGGAACTATGCAATGCGGATGCGAGGTATTGTGGAACGGGATCGGCAGGGCGCAACGCCATTACCTTTCACTTGACAATTGACTCAAGCTGCAAAGCGGCTGATACTTTGAGCTGGGTACCAGCTCCCGTCTACATCCATGGTTCTGATGAAACCAATTCCCCTGGATTTGCACCGTCGATAAAATAGAAAGCTGGTCAAACGGAGAGCTCAACCGATGAATGGGCTATTGCAGTTGAATATTTCCAAGTCAGAATTCCATTGAACAAGGAATGACATGACTTCTGTTATGTTTTGAAGCGTTGAGAATACTTCAGTCGGTAGAATGGCACTTCCTGGAGCCAAATGTCGCTAGGAGAAAGGGGACATGACCAGCGACCGACCAGTGGCCCCAGGAGATCATGAGAATGTGTCAGCCGTCTGGGTATGTCAGCCAATGACAGCTCCGGACCTCAGACTGAAATAATCCACGATTTGCCTTGTTTGTGACGAGCAACTTCAGCCACTGTATACACATTGGTTCAATCGTCATATCTTCGTATTCGGCGGCTTGGTGTAGGTGAAACATCCGACTGCATCCTTCATGGACGAGTCATCGTTGACGATACGGCCTTAAATTTTACTCGTCATGGGTTTCTTGGAGGTTTTCCAGCTTTACAGGAAGCAATTTATCACTAAGGAGATTCCTTTGCATGATCTCGATGAAAGTGGCCCTTCGGTGGAGGCGCGAACAGTTGGGTAGTTAGAAGGTTTCAACCTGAGGCATCTAAGAGTTCGTGTTGACAGTGGCTAAGATAGGTACCACGTAAGTCAATTGGATGATCTACAATGAACTCTGGTAGATGCTTGTGGGAAAGTCTGCTTTGATGATTGAAACTGTATACACACACATAGATATACATGAATTGATCTACCGCAATATCTGAATTTGCTTGTTTTGTCAGATGTCGTATACCCACAGGATGATGGATTCCAGTTCACGTTGTTTCTGTCAGTGGTCGATTGGGTGCCATTGAGCGGTCCACTCATATTAAGCATGGCCAAGCTATCTCAATACGAGAGTGGTCCACTATGGGATTTTGGAGGAGAGTACTGATGGGTATCAATTAGGCTGGGTATCAACTTCACATAGATATACTTTCAAAAAAGAAGCGCAGTGGATCATGAAGGTGGGGAGGGTAATAGGGTATCTCCTGCTTACTGGAATAACCAGAGCGAAAGTAGAACAAATATCGCGCCATTCACATGGGCAGGAAATAATGAGGGTGATGGTCAGACATTGTGAGACAAGGCCAGTCACACGGCGCCGTGTTATCGAGCTCAGGTCCCTCGATTTTTCTAACCCCCTTTGTGAAACATCAACTTCGTTCAAACATGGCAATCGATTGATAAAGATGCCTTTGATAACCGAGTCAACCCCGGATTCGCGCGCAAGGTACACTGTATGTTTAATTTCCCATCCATTGAGTCTCTCCTCACTTGACCACACACTCCCAGCCAGCCTAAGAAGGTCGATGGCTGAAAGTGGCAGGTCCATAAACCAGAGAGACCGAATACATTCGATTAGAGTGAAACCTCCTCGTATCTATTAGTCAAGGTTTGCTCTGGCATAGAGTTTATCCCCCCTCATCCCGTCCGGGGTAAACTGGGACCATGCACATCCAGGGCCACTAGTTTATTATCACTATCATTGACTATCATTAATTCATGTTCATTGGCACGCTGGGAGAGCCCTGATAGCCTGATAACCTGTACCTCGGCTCATTGGTCTATTTTCTCTCAGCCAAGCCGTGAGGTTGCACTCCAGCCTACCAGCCAAGCCCCAGCCGAGCAACCGCCGTAATTCCGCCACCAGCCCTTGGTCCATCACGGCCAATATCATCGCTGCTGCGACGGTCAGACGCTTTTCCAAGACTCTCTAATCAAGCCGCCAAGGATTTCGCCATCGCTGCTCCGGTCTTCCAGAGCTTCAATGGAATCGCAAACACATGGAATGCCCCGGCACCTATGGCCAATTTCTCCCACTTATCTTCGCCTCAATCAGTTCACGTCTAGCATGCCCATGTCGGCATCACCCGCTCCCAAGCGCTGCTCCAAGCGATATTTACGCGTAGAAAGGATCATGGAATCAAAGCAACGCCATGTCTGGACCCTGGCGAACTCAGCCGAGAGTCTTGGTCCGCCGGCTACCAACGGTTCTAGACTGATACTGTCGACGAATTCAGCTAATCCCCCGCGGCCTCGGCCGTGCAGCAAATCATGCCCGTCTGGAGACAGACCCTCGATAAAATTGATTAATTGTATCATTGCTGCCAACCGATTATTGGTTTATCTGGCGTGCCACGCGATAACCTGTCTGGATTGCAGGGTGGCCATTTTTTGTACCCTTGTCCGTCTCTCTTATTAAAGCTGGACCCTTTTCCTGATCCACGGGGCTCTTCCTTTCCTAACTCCTCTTCTCCTCCACAGTCCAGTGTCTGTGGGACAATTTTGCTGTATCTGTCCGAGTCTCCTTGGTTTGTCTGCTTTTTATCTTTGTCGCCATGAACGTCTCGGACCCCCTCGAGGTGGCGGAAATTGCCCGAGCCAGGGCTGCTGCTCATGATGTTGAAATAAACGAGAAGATGGACCACAAATTGTCTCTCACGCCTAGCATTGAGGAGGTTCCTCCCGCGTCAAAGGAAGTGGGAGTCTCGTCTGCGGTTTACGAGGACGACCATGCCCATCTGCAGAGGCAATTCCCCTCCGATGACGAGTTTAAGCACCTCCGTCGGGTAGCGGGCGATATTCCTTGGACTGCGTACACGGTGGCGTTTGTCGAGCTGTGCGAGCGTTTCTCCTACTACGGCACAACTGCAGTTTGTACGTTTTTTCTGATCTTCACTGAAATACGGAGCTAATCGGCCTAGTCGTCAACTTCATCCAGCGTCCTCTTCCCGAGGGCTCGACCACTGGTGCGGGATATGACCACTCGAATCCCGGTGCGCTGGGTATGGGCCAGCAGGCGTCCACTGGTCTGACATTGTGTGAGTTTCTCAGGTCGAGTTGATATTAGAGGAAGGTCGCTGACCCTGCAGTCAACGCGTTCTGGTCTTACATGATGCCCCTGGCCGGTGCCTACATGGCTGACCAGTACTGGGGTCGATTCCGGACCATCATGTTCTCCATTGCCGCTGCACTTCTGGGCCATATCATCTTGATCGTCTCGGCCTTGCCTCCGGTTATTGCGAGCCCTAATGGTGCCATTGCCTGCTTCTCTATCGGTTTGCTGATCATGGGCGTGGGTACCGGTGGTTTCAAGTATGCCTCCCCTCTTTTGACTGTTGTATCAAATACTGACTGATTAGGTCTAATATCTCTCCCCTGATCGCCGAACAATACCGCGAAGAAGTCCCCTATATCAAGACTCTCAAGAACGGCGACCGCGTGATTGTTGATCCCGCCGCCACCATCTCCCGCATCTACCTGTACTTCTACATGATGATCAACATTGGCTCGATCCTGGGCCAGGTCAGCATGGTGTATGCGGAGAAATACGTCGGTTTCTGGCTGTCCTACTTCCTGCCCACCATCATGTACCTGGGCTGCCCGGCTGTGCTGTTCTTCTGCCGCAACAGGTATCACCTCGTCAAGCCCACCGGCTCGGTCTACAGCCAGGCCATCCGTCTGTGGAGACTGGCGATGAAAGGACGTTGGTCGCTCAACCCTGCCAGAATGTATTGTCCCCTTTTCTTTGCGTCTGTTCGCGGCGTTTTTACTGACCCTCACGCAGCTGGAAGAAGAACCCGAAGCCCTTCTGGGACTCGGTCAAGCCCTCTGCTCTGGGTCCCGACCGTCCCCAGTGGATGACCTTTGACGACGAATGGGTCGACGAGGTCAGCCGTGGTCTCAAGGCCTGCAAGGTCTTCCTCTGGTACCCACTGTACTGTACGTTTACCCTCTCTCTTCAGTCTCATATGCAGCCAACTGATTTGACGCGTAGGGCTCGCCTACAACCAAATGATCAACAACCTCACCTCGCAAGCGGCGACCATGCGTCTGGGCGGCGTTCCCAACGACGTCATCAACAACCTCAACCCCCTCTCCCTCATCATCTTCATCCCCATCATGGACAAGTTCGTCTACCCGGGCCTGCGCCGCATGGGCATCAAGTTCACCCCGCTCAAGCGCATCACCGCGGGCTTCTTCTTCGCCGGCAGCGGCATGATCTGCGCCACTGTCACCCAGTACTATATCTACAAGATCGGCCCCTGCGGCAAGGAAGCCAACTACTGCCTCGACGAGCTGAACAAGCACTCCGACATCTCCGTCTGGGTGCAGACCCTCACCTACGTGCTCGGCGGTGTCTCGGAGATTTTTGCTTCGGTGACTTCCCTCGAGTACGCCTTTACCAAGGCGCCCAAGAACATGCGCTCGCTCGTGCAGGCTGTCGCGCTGTTCATGAATGCGTTCTCGTCTGCGCTGGGCCAGGCGCTCGTCGGTCTGTCCGAGGATCCGCTGCTCGTCTGGAACTATACCGTTGTGGCGATCCTGGCGTTCGTCGGCGGCACTGGCTTCTGGTTGACCAACTACAAGTTGGATAAGCAGGAGGATGCGCTGAATCATTTGCCGCCCAGTCGCTATGGTGGCAACAATCCTGATCCTAAGCTGGATGAGGAGACCGCGCGGCAGTAGTTTGTCACGTTGATGGTGATGTTTAGTTTATGCTAGGCATGCTAGTCATGCATGATATGGACCCCAATATAATTATGAAATCAATCACACTTGTTCTAGTTATTCTCATAAGCAGTAACTGCATCTATGGGGTCAATCTATCCCGTAAGTCTATCTATGCTCAAGTTTCTTGTGAAGCCACATGCTTGGCCAGATCCAGCAGCCGATTCGAGTATCCCCATTCATTATCATACCACGCTATGATCTTGAAGAACTGCACAAACTTAGCATGCTAGATGACTATATCAGACAACAACTCACCTGAGGATTCAACTCCAAACAAGCCGGCGCATCAATAACAGCACTATGCGGGTTCCCAAGATAATCACTACTGACGAGCTCCTCATCACTCACAGCCAACACCCCGGCGAGCTCCGACTTTGCCGCGCGGCGGAACACAGCCAGGATCTCAGCCAGCGAGGTGGGCTTTTCCATACTGACGGTCAAGTCGATCATGGAGACGTTAGGCCTTCAGCAAGTTAGTTAGTCTACACCCCATGTGTGTCATTACAAGAAAGGAAGAAATCTTACGTCGGCACCCGGATCGACACTCCGGTAACCTTCCCACTCAACTCGGGCAACACCGTCGCAATAGCCTTGGCTGCACCTGTCGTCGTCGGGATAATATTATCAAAGACACTCCGACCTACACACACCTCTTCAATCATCTTCCTTTGTCAAAAAAAAAAAAGGGGGAGACCTACCCAGTCGGCGATTCTTCCGACTATACCCATCCAACACCTGCTGCGACCTCGTCGCCGCATGCACAGTCGTCAGGAACCCCTGCGCAATCCCAAACTGCCCCTGCAGGACCTTCAGCACGGGCGTCACGCAGTTGGTCGTGCAGCTCGCGCAGGAGATCACACGCCGCCCCTCATCGGCGGTGTACTTGTCGCTATTAACGCCATACACAAACGTCGGGGCATCCGCGCTCGGCGCCGAGATGATAACCCGTTTCGCGTGCGCGAGGGTAATATGTTCAACGGCCTGCGCGTACTTCGTGAACTTCCCCGTACATTCGATTACGTACTCTGCGCCTAGGGCGGCCCAGTTGAGGTTCTGCAGGGTGCGTTCGGAGGTGAGTGCGATTTTGTGGCCGTTGATGCTGAGCAGGGTGTCGGAGAGGGCGTGGATGGGGATGGTGGGGGCAGGTTGCCCATGGACGAGTCGTAGCGGATGAGGTGGATGAGGTCGTCAATGGTGGTGCAGGTGTGGTTTATGGCGACGATTTGGAGGTCCGGTCTGCGCAGGGCGGCGCGGAGGACGTTGCGGCCTGGAGGTTCGTTGGTTAGTTATCACTTTGGTCTATTGGGTCGGGTCTTGGATGGTAGCAGGGGTTGACGGTTACCTATGCGGCCGAAGCCATTGATGCCTATCTTGCAGACGGGGGATTGAGGCGAGGGGGTGGAGTGAGGGAAGTCGCTGATGGAGGGTGCCATTGCAGTGATTTACTATAGTATGATGGACAAGGTATGATAGGATGAGTGGACAGTGGTGATAAGTAGTCTACCAGATTGCATGTTTATCTATTCTAGAACTACATGAGGTATACCATAGCCTCCTTATATTCTCCTGCTTTCATGATGCAAATACCCTGATGCTATACTATACTTCCTCTACTTCTCCGAAAACTCCCGCCGAGTCGTCGTCGCTTCAGTATCGGGCCCCCACGGCCCGCGGGACCCCCGATGACCGGACCTTTCATCGGCTTCAGTCTTGACTGTTTCTCAACCCTTTAGACACTAAATAGCAGGATTGACAGAATTAGGCATGTTGTTAGGATCCAGGATTGCCGATTGAAATGCCGGTTATTTGATTGGTCGGAATCGGATACTAGGACTAGGATAATGAGCATATTGAACGTTCTACAGGTAGTTTCGAGAATTGCTCGCTCTGGGATATCCTCAACGCATACACTTTATATTTTACCGCTGTCAAGCAGATTACCTATTAAACCATCATTATTGATTCAAAAACGGAATTGAGGTATTTTCATCGGGATGGTCGACTCGGACAAGAGTTTTGACTCGAAATGTCCGATTTCCGGCACTTTCCATCAATGATGTATGTATACTGAAATATCTACCAGGATGAATCTATATCCAGTTCTCGTCATTGAGGCATTTGTCGATCCTGATTCGCTATTAATATTACTTAATAGTCAAATTGGACACATACTCAGGAAGGAAACATCCTCCGTAGCATGGCTGGTGGGTTTCTTTGATCAGGCTTTTTATTTAATCGCATTGACGGGAATATGCAACTCGTTTAATTTCTAGTTATTGTTGCGAGTATATCGCTCAAGTGTCGTGACATCATTGCAGAGTACAAGATATGCCCCTCTCTCATGGCCGGAGCGGCATCGTCAGGATCGATTCGATCTATTCATCCACCGCAAACATCATAGACCAAAGATGGTCGCTATTGCTGCTTCTTCCATTCTCCATCAACCCATTCCAGTCCTTCGTCGAGCCGCCCATACTTGGCAAACATCAGATCCGACAGGTAATTGTCGCGCGGCTGCCAGGGCCCCTGATCGGCCGCTTTGGGGAGATCCTTCTCCGCCGCTGTCACGTACGTTGAGTTCAGATTGAGCAGCCGCCGGGGCTGCATCTGCCTGGCCAGCACCGGGTTCAGTCGCGGGGTCGCCGCGACCTTGTGGTGTCGCTCCATCCACTTCAGCAACCGGCAGACAAAGAGCGCCGTCGCGTCGGCCCCCAGCGTCCAGGACGCATTGGTGTAGCCGATCACAAAGGATGCGTTCGGCAGGTCCTGCAGCATCACTCCGTTCCAGAGGTACTTGTCGGACACTCGCTGTTTTTCGCCATCCACCGTGATCGAGGTGCCTCCTGCGATCTGCAGCTTGAGCCCCGTTGCTGTCACGATGATGTCGGCGTCGAGGACGTCTCCCGAGTTCAGCTCGACGCTGTTGGCTGTGACTTGCCGGATGGTGTCTGTCTTGACGTCCGCGTGGCCGGTATGCAGACTCTTGAAGAAGTCGCCATCGGGACAGATACACAGACGCTGATCCCAGGGGTTGTACCGCGGTTTGAAGTGCGGATTGTAAGGCATATTTTTGGGGAGCTGCCGCACGACACTGAGCTTAAGGAGAAGCCGCGCCATCCAGGGGAAGGTCTGGCAGAAAAGAAAGAAAAGTCGGGAAGTGAAGATCCATCGGAGGCGTTGTAGTTTGCGGTTGACTGTGTTCGGGAGGATCCAGCTCAACAGCGAGCTCTGGCGGTTGGGTAAGGAGAGGATGTATGTTGGACTGCGCTGAAGCATGGTGACTTTGGCCGCTTTCTCAGCCATCTTGGGGAGGAGCGTTACCGCCGTCGCGCCACTGCCGATGATGACCACTTTCTTGTCGGTGTAGTCAAGATCCTCGGGCCAGAACTGCGGATGGATGACCTGGCCCTGGAATTGACTGAGGCCGGGAACGTCAGCGGCCAGTGGCTCATGGTAGTTGTAGTATCCTGTGCCGAAGATGACGAAGCGCGCAGTGTAAGTCTTGGGCTCGCCCTCATGGTCGACTGCCAGTTTCCACACATTGTCGGTGGACGACCAGTCGGCCGCTAGTAAGCGATGCTGGAAATGGATGTGCTTGTCGATGCCGTACTGTGCAGCTGTATCGCGCATATACTTGGAAATGGAGGCGCCCTCGGCGATCGGGTTGTCCTGATTCCAGGGGTTCCACGAGAACCCAAATGTAAACAGATCCGAGTCGGATCGAATGCCAGGATATTTGAAGAGATCCCACGTGCCGCCAATGGCATTGCGGGCTTCTAGAATGGCGTACCGGTGGTTGGGGAGTTGGCTTTGGATGCGGTAGGCAGCGTTGATGCCGGAGATACCAGCGCCAACAATGATAATATCGTAATCCATTCTGGCATGAACTTTGGAGGCGAGATGTATGCTTCAGTGCAACCAGTGACTTTGGATTTATATAAGTCGAATCTCAACATGGAAATTATGAATAATTAAAAGAGTTCACATGTTCCTCGGTGAGGCCATGTGGAGGGCAGTGATCGTTTGCCCAAAAGGGAAATCGTCGCGAATCACGGACTTAATAGTGCTGTGCCAGGTGCCACTCTAATGAGTTGTTGGGCTAAGCTTGCATCTCTGGGACTCGATTTTAGTCCAGTCGATCTTTGAAAGGATCATCAAGGAGGATTCAGCTATTGAGAAGAATTGGACTAGGGGAGATAACAAAGAGGTATTAATAGAGAACATAGGTTGCTATCGAGGGGCAGGAGATTGTCAGTTATCCGAGAAAGCAAGGAGATCTAAAGTATGTCTCGAATACTCGAATAATAGTCTAACGCGATTGGTCATTCTTAATGTTCCACAAGATCTTAACCTTAGAATTTGTGTCATCTGCAAGATGTCTGTAAAGCACAGATCAGGTGTATCATATCTGTCTAGATAACGAAACCAACATAATGAAGACAACGTCCCAACCGTTTAGATCGAAATTAATTAATCGTATTCTCGTCATGCGCCATGTCAAAATAACTGCGTCAAGCTAACCGAGGCGACCTCGGCTGATCGGAGATAAGCATCAATATTTCCCAATCAGGCAATCCTTGCGACCCTCGCCGCGATGCTTCCCTACCATAACATGGATGTCTCCAGCATCACCATACTAATGATCATGCCATATGAACATTTGTATACTGTTTTTGCCCCGTAGACATCAATCTTTCACTCAAAAAACCCGTCATACAACTCAATCAACGGATCGATGGCGTTCAACAAAGCAATCAAGTTAACCCTGTGGGAGAAACTCGATTTCTTCCCTGCTCTAGTATCCATCTGGATTACTGCTATATGGGCCATCTTGACTGGGTTACGGCGAGAGTCCAACCAGCCCAAGACCCTGTTCCTTCATATTGGCTATGCGGTGTTCCGTAAGGCCACCACACGCTTGTCTATCAAGCAGATGCAGTACGTATTTCGCAATATTCCTATGAAGAAACTAAATACTAAAGATATGTAGATATGCCCTACCACCAACCAACAAGATGTACGAGACATATATCAAGAAAACCAAGCGATTGTCTCACACCATCGACCTGGGAAAAGGCTCCTACGGCCACTGGATCGGAGACGCCAAAGCAGATAACGTCCTGATCTGGTACCACGGTTAGCACCACTGGAGCTCCCCTTTATATGTAATCAATCTCACAAGGAAAAATAGGAGGAGGTTTCGCCCTCCCGGCGAACATGGGCTACTTCAAATTCTTCGCGAACCTAGTCGACCACGCCGCGCGAAACGACAAATCCCTGGCCATCTTCAGCCTCACCTACACCCTCGCCCCGCAGGCGACATATCCAACACAGCTCCGCCAGGCAGTCGAGTGCCTCCGCTACATGCTCGCCAACACCCCGCACCAGCCCAGCCGCATCTTCCTCGGCGGCGACTCAGCAGGAGGTAACCTCGTCGGCGGCGTGCTGTCGCACCTGGCGCATCCGCACCCGCAGATTGAGCCACTGTCGGTAACCAAGAACCTAGCGGGCGCGGTCATGATCGCCCCCTGGACGCTCATGGACACGGACTTCTCGGACCGCAAGATCGATTCTAGTGGGGATCTGATCACGCCTGCGGTGGCGGGTCCGTGGGCGGGGGCGTACCTGGGGACAGCGACGAGAGATGTCTATACGGATTTGTCGAATGCGGAGTCTGACTGGTATGCTACGTTTCCGGTGGACAGTGTGTTGATTTGCGCGGGAGGGAATGAGATTCTCTTGCCGATTATACAGGACTTTGCGGAGAAATTTAAGGTATGTACATGCTTGACTTTTTGCGGAGTGAGTGGCTGCTGACAGGACAGGCTGGCTTCCCCTCATCGGAACTGTTTGTTGGACATCGCGAGGGTCATGTTGCCCCTATTTATAATCTGGAACTGGGCGATACGACGGAGACGGAGCAGGGGAAAAGGGTCAAGGAGTGGTTGACGAAACGGTTGTTCTGATGTATATATGCGTGAAGCGGGATATGTTATATGTCTATAATCATGAATCTTTTTGTACACGGCTAATCTAAACCATTTCTCAGTTTGTATCACTGATAAACGGGCTCTTACAGTATTTAGGCCAGATAGATTTGTATACATCATTATCACATTAACATGGTCATATACGGCATTTCAACATTCGCGGGATGAATAGATAGACTGTCTATATACCAAGTAATTACAACTTCTGAGCAGCTTGGCACTCTCGAAGTCTCCTCAATGATCCCGAGGCAATCCCGCGGACGCTCTCTTGGAGCCACTGAGGAAATGCTCGCACCATACTGGCAGCAGAATGAGAAGTCGGGAGAATCACTTGGCCGCTGCTCTGCGTGAGGATCTGCTTGACCACTGCATCCGACACCACCTGGGGTGTCATCACGGGCTGTTTGAACTGGTTTCCCGCGTCGGTCAACTGTTGAATCATAGGAGTACGAACCCACAGTGGGTGAATGACACTTGAATTCGGTCAGTACAACGCTGGTCAAGTCGAATGTAGCCTCATACCTGGTTCGAACTTTCTTTGCCTGATACCAGTACCGCAACTCTTGCGTCAATCCCTCGTGGAAGGCCAGCGCACTGGCCTTGGAGCAGCAATAATCCACCATCTCGCCCAATGCGACAAAGCTGGCCATACTGGCAATTGTGATAACATGGCCATGGTTCTGGCGGATCATGCTAGGCAGAAACTCCCGCACCATCAGGAAATGCGAGATGGTGTTGACCTCGAAAGTCTGCCGGATCTTGGCCTCGGGCTCCTCGAGAATGGTGCCGTCGTGGCCCACGCCTGCGTTGTTGACCAGCACAGTGGGATCGCCTAGTTTCTGGCGAATCTGCTCCGCTACGGCTTTGATACTCTGCGAGTTGGTGATGTCGGCCTTGAAGAAGTGTACATTGCGGGCTTTGTTTGGTTAGTCTATGGCGCATGCTGAGGGTAGTGATGGTCTCTTACGTAGCTGGAAGTTGGGCTCGTTGATATCCAAAATGACCACCCGGATTCCTTTACTGGCCAAATCCTCCATGATCTGCTTCCCGATGCCGCTGCACCCTCCGGAAACCAGAACGAGCTCGCGATCGCCCTGCCATGGATGCGCGCTCTGCCAGTTGTTCATCGACCATCGCGACAATGCGCGGTTGGCTTGCCGCAGAGCACCGTAGACCAACGCAGCTGTGAGTGCCTTTTGGACGAGAGGATTCAGGAGGACATTCTGCGCGGGTTCAGGTAGCTGCGCGAGGCTCGACTGGGCGTATTGCCGTGCGATGTTGAGAGCGTTTTCTAATGACATGTTGCAATTAAACTGGTTGAAGCTATTCAAGACAAATAAGAATGACAGAAATTAGAATGGATGGCCGATGCTATATGTATGTGCATCTTTGCAGCGTCTAAGGATCATGTCAGTATCATATACAAGTTGTTCCTACATAGTACCGAGGCACATGCGTGGCTTGATGCAGATCAATTGTTCCACGAGGTTATCTACAAGATAATGCCCCTGGAGACATCGCCTCGAGAACATAAGGGAGGGCGTTGCGAGGCCGATGATGCAGCATTCTTCTGCTTGTCCAGATTAGGAAATAGTTGCGATGCTCTCCATACACCGTTTGGTGGATCTCTGGAGCAATCTAGTAATATCCCAGTTCGCTAAATATCCGGCTAACGTGGGGTTCTGTAGCTTGACCCATGAATATGCCCCAGCTCTAGCCTATCAATAAACGACCCCGCAAAGCTATCCGATCTCAGAAATAGGGGCCTGTTGTAAAATGTTGGGATTCACATGGGTGCGAAGATGATCTTCTGATCCTCAACGTTCTGGCTTTTTTTTGAACCTCTCTGACGTGGATTGACAGGCAGCCAGGCTGCAGGCAGATATATTCTGGTCCGTTCAAAGGTATCGTCTCATGTAAAAATGTTCGAAACATCATATGAACGCTCAGGCCGAGGCCGCATAGCCGCTTCGAGTCTGCCGATCCCCGTGGGGTCATGTTAATGCTAGTTCATCTTGGCCGATCGCTTGCATATAAAATTACTGATGTAGTAAAAGCAGACGATGGAGGGAGATCTCTTCAATGCCGGTCCCAAATTAGCCGATTGCAGTTCTTACCTTCAGGCAGTTTGTGTGCTCGTGCTCTTACTTGAGTTTGACCATTCTTCTTCTTCCGAGTGTTTATTCCCCTAGAGTGCTAGCAAAATGGCCGACACGTTGCTGGCTATTGCCTCTGTCTCCCTGGCTGAGGGGTACTTTTTGCAGCGCTCCGTCTTGAATGAACATTCTTTCCATTCCGTCTGCCTTGGGGCAGTGGGTGTCAATTTAGCCCTGAAAATATTCTGGGATTTCATTATATATCCTTTCTTCATCACGGCAAATCGTCATTTGCCAACCGTCAAGGTATGCTCAAGACCCTCCGTGTCGCAATCCTCAATAACATTGAGTAGGGCACCTTTGTAAATGGGAAAATCATCTTTGACAACCCGCGGGGCCGGCTTCCCTTGCAATGGATGAAAACAATCCCCAACGAAGGCCTGATTCATTTCCGAGATGTGTTCAATCGCAGCCATCTATTGCCTACCACTCACCAGGCTCTTTTGGATATCATGAGCACCAATACTTACGACTTTGAGAAACCATGGCGTGCTCGCGAGTTCCTCGCTCGGATCATTGGCTTCGGCCTGATCCTGTCTGAGGGCGCCGCGCATAAGAAGCAGCGCAAGGCCTTGACTCCCGCCTTCAACATCAAGAACATTCGCTCACTGTACTCCCTGATGTGGGAGAAGACTGGCCTCTTTCTTGATGAACTGGAGAAGGAGATCCGGCAGAATCCAATGGAAGGAACAACTCCGGAGGAGGGCGTGGGTAAGGTCGAAATGAGCGTGTGGGCGAGGTAAGCTCACTATTTCCACCTTGCTTCTCTTATAGTCGCTAAAGCTACCCAGCCGTCTCACTCTCGATATCATCGGTCCGGCGGCCATGGGTAGAGACTTTCGCTCTCTGCACAACCCAGAAAACAAAGTTGCCGATAGCTTTCTTGCTATTCTGGAACCAACCAAGGAGAAGATGGCCTTCCTCGCCATCAACTTCATTCTTCCACAATGGTTTGCACGGCGACTACCCTGGCGTCTGAACAAGGTGATTGACACCGAAACCGGTTTCCTGCGTGATTTATGTAAGGACATTGTTCGTGAGAAGAGGAAGACCATTGTTTCCAGCAACATGACCGCCAAGGAGCTGGAGGCAGATATCCTGGGAACCATGATGGTGGGCGGGGATTTTACGGATGACGAACTGGTGGATCAAATGCTGACCTTCCTGGCGGCTGGTGTATGTTCCGTTTAGCCTGCCTAGACTCACTTTGAAGAATCATTCAGCTAAAGTGAACAGCATGAGACGACCGCCAGCGCACTCACCTGGGCCTGCTACCTTCTTACCCTCCACCCCGATGTTCAAGAGCGTCTGCACGCGGAGATTCGTGAGCATATCCCGTCTGGCGACCACCCTATCACCTGGAGCGATCTCGAATCAATGCCTCTGCTCAACGGCGTTTGCCAGGAAGTCCTGCGTCTATATCCCACCGTCCCCATCACAATCCGCGAAGCCGTCCGCGATACGACCATAGCGGGCAAGCACGTTCCCAAAGGCACTCGTATCCTCATTTGCCCGTACGCCATCAACCGCAGTCCTGAATTCTGGGGGACAATGGGGAGGAGTTTGTGCCAGAACGCTGGATCGACACTGACAAGAATGGCCAGAAGGTCGTCAACCACAATGGTGGGGCGTCGACAAACTATGCGCAAATCACGTTCTTGCATGGTCAGCGGTCCTGTATTGGGAAGGACTTTGCTCGCGCCGAATTGCGCTGTGCGGTTGCTGGTGTTGTGGGGCGCTTCAAGTTTGAGATGCAGGATCCTAAGCAGGAAATTCATATTGCTGGCGCTGTGACGACCAAGCCTGTTGAGGGAATGCATTTGAAAATGACCCGGGTGGATGGATGGTGATTCTGAAGATTTTTGAATAATAATGAGATATGAATTTGACGAAACTTTTGCCTAGGGCTAATTTTTTAATGACAAGTCGTCCAGTTACTGCAGTTATTTGTGGGAGTGGGAGTGGGAGTGGGAGTGGGAGTGGGCATGTCCCAGATACTCGCTGGTGTGGTGTTTGTGCTTCTTCTTCCCTCCCTCCTTGTTGTCTTCCTCGTCTTCATCCACAATGCCAAACTCAGGCCATGCCTCCCAGCCATCTTCCCATAGCTTTCCCAACCTCTCCTCTTTTTGCCGGTAAGACAGTCTCTCGTTGTTCATGATCTTTGCCCACCGGCCCATGTCATCGTCATCCACGAGACACTCATCCAGCAATTTTGTTATCATTTCAGTGTTGATTCCCTCGCCGATGAATACGATTTCTTGTCTTCGGTCTCCCCATGGTTCTTGGAAATCATTCTCAATGGATTTCCGGACGTCTGGATCCTCAGGCCACGCCTCGTCTGGCACTTCTGCGAACCATGGCCCGCCGCACCCAATCGTCAGCATGCCACCCGCTTGGCTCCATTCTCCGAATTGGAAAGGTCTTGTCGCCAGCCAGAAGAAGCCTTTGGAGCGAAGAACGGAGCCGAACGCGGGATGGTTGCGCTTGTTCTTCAGGATCTCGGACGGGTCTGGCTGGTCAAAGTCGGAGATACTTTCGTCATCATCATCATCGTCTTCGTCTACTTCCATATTGTCGTCTTCTTCTTCCTCTTCTTCTCCTTCGTCTGCATCTTCTTTCTCATCCCCTTCCTCATCCCCTTCCTCATCATCTTCCTCGGCTTCATTGTTTTGCAGCAGGATAAACTTATCATGAAGAAGGGTGAAGAGTCGACGAGGATGAAAGGGACGACGAGCGGTATATACAAAGTTGTTGATCCCATATCTGTTCAAGTCAGTGTGCATTTCTTTGACGTTGGATGAAGGACAGGGAAGACAAACTCCAAGGTCTCCGGCTTCGGAGCCATTCTCTGCCCATTTCCAGTATTCTGGATTGCCATTTCATGCAGGCTGCGCAACCAACCGGCCCCGAAGCAGCCTTTATGAAATCGAACCTCCCCGTGTCCAGGATCTCTTTCACATCGACACGGGAGTAGCTCGTTTCCAGAACTTTGGCTTCGGGATTGAGCGTCTTTAACAATCTCCTGATCCTTGCTCGGGTATTCTCGTCCACAGTCTCGATCTTGTTGATGATGAGAACATCTGCGAATTCAATCTGGTCCACCATGAGGTCGGAGATGGTACGCTCATCCTCTGGGATAATTTCTTTGGATCCGTATCTATCTGACAAGAACTCGGCGGTGTCAAAGTTGGAAAGAAGATTGAATGCATCGACAACAGTCACCGTGGTGTCGAGTCTCGCCAGTGTGTGAAGGCCTCCTAGATTGACACTATTGGCTGTCAGATCCGAAAACCGGAAGGACAAGCATTGGTAAAGTGGCTGGGCTTACATCTCTGTCAGGACCTTGCGGCTGTCCTCATCCACCATCATCTCCTGATCCGCCTGCAGCATTGCAGTGCTGAACTCGGCCGTGAATGTTTCTGCTACTTGCATCGGCTCACTAATGCCCGTGCTCTCAATGACAACGTACTGCACTTCCTTTTGGCGCGCGAGATGAGCAAGCTCTGAGAGCAGGTCCCCACGCAGTGTGCAGCAGATACATCCATTTTGGAGCTGGATAAGCTTTTCCTTCGTCTGAGACACCTTGTGATGAGTGATCAAAGCAGCATCAATGTTCAGCCTGTATTGCTAGTAAGCATCAATGTTTCCCGATACTGATAGTGAGGCCCCCATACTTGCTCATATCATTGACCACAACGGCAATGCGCAGTCCATGGTCTGGAGACTGAAGGATATGCTCGAGAAGTGTTGTCTTGCCGCTACCCTGCTCTCTCTTAACTGGATGCCGTTGCAATCTCGAGGGCGATACTTACCAGGAATCCTGAAAGGAGCGTCACTGGGATCTGCCTTGTCGGCTTCTCCTCAGCTCGCGGCTGGGCAGGAGCGGGATACGAGAGAGAGTCAGTTCCTGAGTTAATGACCATCTTGTTGGAAGTCAACAATGTCCCTTGAACGAGAGTCTGGGATAAAATTTGACGACGCACTCAGCATGGTGGGAAAGCCACATTTTATATCATGAGCAAGCGACATGCTTGCAATTAACCCCCAAGGTTCGTCTTTGGTGGGCTCAAATAATCCTTCATCATTAATCGGAGAGCTCTTACTGGCTGCGTGGGTGAATCTATAGCATGAGTCTATTTCACCCGTGAACTCCCAAGGTACCTGGGCTGGGCCCAAGGTCCTCACGCACAGTGAAATGCAAATTGACTGCACTCTGATTCGGCGATCTATACATCAATAAGATCATCGTTTTGTAGATCCCTGAGTGCTTTAGAATTGTTGAGTATCTCTGGCATGCACATTTTGATTGGCTGTACACTTGTTCAACATTGTATTAATGTATGGAATCCCGCCTTTATTCTTAGCATGCACCTCCAGATGAAATCGAGATTCTCGCACTATCCTTTGCTTGATTTATTTTTCCGGTTACTCAGGCAGAATACTCCTGTCCAGAAATGTATTGGTCATAAGGTGCAAGTGAAAATGGTTAGGTTGGACTTGGAGCCCAGTTCCGAGGCGACAAAATATGGTTTGATAGGAATGACGGTCTCCTCTCACAGGTTAACCTGACCTTCTTCTGCTTTGTCGATTTGAGCTACGTCGCTCTACAGAAACAGCTCTTACTGCTGCAAAGTACTGGTGTATCAATCCAGTTATGAACCATCCATCCCACAGTGGCGCACGGAATCATTAGATGCACTACTCATCACAGCCTCGATAAGAGTCGAGGAGATAACGTGAGTCAAGTCTTCCTGTTCACTATTTACGTCTGCAAGCACTCATGCCTTGTATTTCAAGTTTCCGGCCACACCAACCGAGCGCTTAGTCGTCGAATTCGTCGACGACTGGCATTCAACTCCAATGTCCCCCTGAATTCCATCACAGACAATGACTGGCGGGCTACCCGAAGGACTGGTGAGGTGGATGTTCTTAAGACTGATCCCAGAACACACGGCACTAGGCGAGCAGGTCAGATCAGCCACGACGTTGCCGTGTTTTCCAGACGAGGTTCCATAGATATTCTCAAAGACAATGTTTGTGAAATTCACGCGGGAAGGGTAGGCAGCACACTGCGTAGCGTTTATGTTGAAGTAGCACTGATCCAGGACAATAGGATTGTCGGTGTTCTCGACGTGGATGTTCTTGTAAGTGACGTTGTTGATGCGGCCATAGCCCACATTGGGACCGGCCCATGCCTTGAGACGAGCACCGTTCTGATAGAATTAGACGTGGACCTCGAGAATAGGGGGAGGGTATTGCTTACTTCACCGTTTAGCAGGGTTACGTTCTCAATCCAAACATTCTCGATGATATCCATGACTCCGGGATACTGGCCGATACTCCCCATCGACGTTCCATGTGTGCCATTACACCAGAGATTCTGCACAAAGACATTGGTAGTGTTGGGCTTCGGCGAGAGGCAGTCGTCACCAATATCGACCCGAGTGTTGGTGACAGTCAATCCATCGACGTTGAGCGTGTCGAAGCCATCGGTGTTCTTGGGGAGAGCCTATTTAACCACCGTTAGTTTATTCTCAGCTTCCATATGTGAACGTCAACCTACCGATGCATTGGTCGAGAAGGCATGAATGAAAACGTTGTCGAACGAGATGTCTTTGGTGCGGACGAAGAAGTTGGTCCAGCAGGGAGAGTTGAGCTGCGTAATGCCTTCGACCGAGACCCGGGTGGCGTTCTCAGTTACGAAGAGGATGGGCCGATAGTACTTGTTGTTGGGATCCTAAACTCGTCAGTTCAACACTTGCGCAGATGCACTGAAAAGCTCCCAGGAATACCCACCAAAATCTCTTGTCCAGCAAACTCGTTGTACCAGCGCTGTCCGTTGCCGTTCAGTGTCCCCGAACCAAAGATCTTGATGTCCTCGCCACCCCAGCGCCAGAAGCTAATTGACTTCTGGAAGTCATAATAGAAATTGTTTGCTTGCCAGTAGGGCACGTCATTGGTGAACTTTCCCACAGTATTAGCACCAGCTAGGACTGGGTCTCGAATCATGGGCTAAAGTACCTTTAGTTCTCCGTCCAATTGAACCTCGATATCCTTCAAGAAGGTCAGATCAAGCTTCTTGCCGATGACATACTTCTTCCCCTTTTGCAGCAACAGCCTTCCCCGCGGTTGGCCTTCTTGATACCCCACAGGAAGTCGGCAGAGACATCGTCCTTATCATTGCAAGAGGGGCGGATGATCACTGTGCGACGGTGGGGATGCTTGTGATGGTCAGCCCCAACCTTCTTCAGGGCTACCACGTCGTTAGCAGGGATGACCCTTGCGCCAGGAATGAGGCCATCAACTGCAATTGAGCTGACTGTGCTCGCGAAGAGCGCTGCAAGAGCGAGAAACTTCATGGTGAGCTCGGTGTCTCGCTACAGGATGCGTACAACTAGAGACAGCCAATTCAGCCGGCACACGGCATTCCAATGCCCCATGCTGACCCTCTTATAGTGAGGACTTCTACCGAGTTGCCAGCGCTCAGACCTTCTGCCATTTTTCCCCAGTGCTTGGCTTTCCCCGGATCATGAGCTAGAGGGACTGCCTGTCAGACGCAAGAAAAGAGTTTATCCGCCTATAGAATCCGTCCATTTCGACGGCCAGAGAGAAGTCTTTTGATGCTTCTCCACAATATGCGGGGAGATTTGGGGGATACGGACTCAGGCACAAGCTAATTTCTTCAAGCATCGAGCGCTCGTGTTTTGCGCGATATTTCCTCCGTTGGGGTACAAGGATCAGCAAAGAAGTTCCACCAATGAAGGTGCACATGTGCATGAAACAAGCATTGTACGTTGATGATTATATCATCTCTTGAATCATGATATTCTTGTCAGGGACTCGTTAGTGCGCATCCGGAGGGCAGAGAATGCCATCGAATGACGTCGCAATAGCTCTAGCTGCTGGAACCGCGGCGGCTGCGATAGCATGGTCAAGAATCAGACACCAAATGCCTTTCTGCTGGGATATTATTCAACTCTGGTATGTACAACTTTTCATCATTTATGATGAAGGCTTTTTGTGGTGGATTTACGACATAGTCCGAGGGCCCTGGCTAGACAATGACTATATTGAATGCAATATATGCAGAACTCGATGGTGTAAAAATGCTGCTGGAGCCTATGATTGCCCGACCTTTATACTCGGTATCGGCGCACGTATGGCTTCCCTTGCCGAGATGACGACTGGTTGCTATCAGAGGCGAAGAAGGCTCTGTTTCATTTATCATGGGACCTAACCAAGAGGTCTTTGTGCATTAAGCTAGTTGGAGATTTGCCAGTCGAGGATCGCAACCATATCTTCATGAACGCCTTCCTTCATGCACGCTAGTTGCTTAAAGCCCTGAGAAGAAATCGTTATTCCAAATTTCCGAAGCTCCATAGTCGGCCATGTCGAAGAGGGTTCCAAAATCAAACGGCTAGTTTGTCAGCTTCTAGGTCGATACAATCATCTGCCACAGAGACTTACGGAAATGTCCTCCATGGAGCTAGGGACGAAAGGCATAGGATCAAAGGGCAGATCGAGCGGCGTACCTGCAGTGAGCCCGGGCGTTGAAATACTGGCCTAGCTGTGAATTAGTGAATAGCCGCTGCGTTGCAAATCTGCAAACACTCACTCCCTTTGCGCTGTTTTCGTCTTGCTTGCGTACGTCGGCCCAAGGCACCCCGCTCATCAGTAAATGGCAGTCTCTGATGGCGTTTGTACCAGCTTGATCCATAGTCATGAAGGGATCCTCCCCTTTCAAGCGCGCCTTGACAGATGCAAGTGTGAGACTTAGGAAGAGGTACGGCTTACAGCCCCTCCCACTTGGTGCAATGCGACTGCCGAAGACATTAAGGGTGTTTTCAACTGCACGTACCATGACGGCTTGCTGGGATTCCGCCATGTCGTTGAGAGAACTTAAGACGCTACCTTGGCCTGGGAGCATGGACTTTGACCGCGAACACTCGTCAGCCTGCAGAACTAGCTCCACGCACACCATTATGGCCGCATGGAATAGCTCCTCACGGAACATTCCGCCGGTCAAATGTCCAAGGTGAGGATGGGGCTGTGTTTCGGCAACCTCAAGAGGGGGCCCCAGCAAGGAGAGCATATCCAGAGCCGAGTCGAGGCAGATCTTTCGTGAGTAGGAGAATTTAGGAGTTCGCATGATACTGAGGCAAAAAGGGCGATGGAGGGCTAGCAAATGCCTTCGTATTAGGAAAATGAAATACGACTTCATGAATGCGGGATTCTCAACGCCGGGTATATGCGACGGATATCTGTCACTCGGAAACAGATCCAAAGCATCATTCAGAGACTGCATAAGGTTGTCACTCAAGCGCAGAGCCTCGTCATACGAGATTGTGAATCTTAGGCGATTGACGAGCTTTGCGATGTGTACTCGCACAGGCAATGAACGCGAAAGTAGAACCTGAAAGCTGCTCCGAGTGAGGGCGCCGGGATCTTTGGGAGGGGGATCTTCTGTCATACTTTCGATCAGATCTGCGTCCTCATAGTTGGACGGTGGATCGCAATCGTACTCCTCCAGGTCAATCGTTGGTGGCATCCCTCCATCCATCGACGATTGTAGGTCTAACTCCAGTATGGTAGCCCACAGACGGCGGCGCATTTCTGCCCAGAATCTGGACAGCTTCTGAAAGCGTAATGGGTTACGGTGTAAGCCCATGGTCATGGCGGATCGTATCAGCGAGCCAGATGATATCCAAATGGTATCCCCATCAAAAGCGATTGCCTGGCGCGCAATCAACAACAGACAATGGACTTGCAACATATCAAAGTTGGTGTTCCGAGTCGCAAATGACGTTGCGCTCCATGTCTGGACAGCTTCAATCCAATGTATTGCAGTATTAGCAAGTGAATCTTTGCCGTTGATCTTTGTTGTTGGGCTGTAAAAACAACTGCTAGCGGCCATTAAAACCAAAAGCTTGGCCAAGAAAACCATATCGGGGTTCCGAGGTGAAGTCCAGTAATCTTCGTAGTGCTTGAGAAAGGTTGGTATATGCAGGATGCGATATGTGGTCTCAAAATTGGACAAGTACAACTGGACTAGTTCATCAGCAACTCGGCGAGGAGGAAGCAGGTCCACAAAAGAAGCAGCCTGCTCCAGACGCACACGTTGCTGCTGTTCTTGTCTTTGCTTGAGCCACATTTCTTTCTGAAATTGTTTCAATGCTCCAAACTCGGAATCTTTCTTATGTTTGGATTTGCGCTGCCTCAAGAAATCACCCACATCCCGGAACTACAAGAACTTAGCCCGGAGGAATACACCAACCGACAGGATGCTAGCAACTTACGAATGAAAGGGCCAAGACAGAGTGCGAGCGACCACAGTACGTAGTGTTAGACTTTTTCCCCCGAAAGGACGCCCATGGGAGAGACCGAATGTCTTCGCTGAGATAGAGTTCGTCTCCCGTTGTACGGAGTCCCGATTCTGAGACGATCGAAGGCACAGTCCCCAGGGTCTCTGGAGTTTGAATCGAGCTGGCCTTTGCCAGTGCGTTTTCTAATGTCAGGACTCGGTTACGCAGCTCCTGCATCTCATCAGAGCGACTTTTAGGCTTTGTAACCCTCGTCGGAAAAGGTTGGTGCTTGGAGTCGAAGACATAGACACCACTATAAACAGGACTGCCGCGATCTGCGGACGCCCGAGCACGGTCATTGACAGTTGTGTCTCGACCTTCAGCGCGTCGGACGCTTGGCAGCGAGCCAGCCTGAGGTCCTACATAGATGCACTGATCTGGAGTCTTGGACTTGATGCATTGGCTGCATGGCAATGCTCGATCACATTTGAGCTTTCGCCGTCTGCACACGGTGCATGACAGCGGTGGTCTGCGCCGACGTGCTGCGGATTTGGGCGATGACCTTGAGTGCTCCATATGAGATGACGACTCCTCGTCGTCGCCCATCTTTGAATTGCGAAGAAATCAGTGCTTCAATGACCTATGACCCCGCAGGCGTGGTTTTCACGGTTGGTGCTCAGCTCAGGGCCATTCAACGGTCGCCGAAGTTAGAATAACTGGTAATGGTCCAACAGTCATGTAGACTAGACCCACCAAGGGCTTATCTGATCGACTCTGTACCCCTAAAGATGACTCAGTCTGATCGGACTTTGAACTGTCCTAAGGTCGTTGCCTGTAATGCTTGACTGCAAAGGAAATCGGCGATTATTGTCGCTGCGTCTCGGGGTTACTAGAAACAGTAGATTCCGGGAATCGGCATTGCCTTCGGACATGCCGATCACAGTAATAAAGTCCGCCTTCGGACGTTCAGGGTCGGCACTGTCGGCGCTGAATGGATACTTGCATTATTGCATAGCAGTTATAAATTAGGATGACATTGTTTGTCCTGAGTGCGAGATTGTTCTTTCTTTGACCAGTCAACCCTATTTAATACATTATACAAACGATCCAGTTACAGGTCTCCAGCTGGGCTTTTACTCCTCACCCTATGAACAGGCAGCGCGAGTGAGTTCAGTATCACTTTCAGGACAATGTTCCATAGATATACTGTGTTGGCTTACAATGCTATATTCAAAACGAAAAATCCAGGAAAGAGTCCATTCTGACAAGTGCCCTCGCAGGAGCGAGTCAGTCGGGAATAATCCTATTGACAGAAGACAGTGGACACCCTCCGCTGTCAACGCCACAAGGGCTTCATAACCGAGCGCACATAAACCAGTACATAGACCATGAGGTAATTTGAGATGACAAATGCCGCGAATATACCAAAATAAGGCCAGATTTTGGACTCGTCTAGACCGATCTCCGAGAGATACTGGTGGAGTTAGCAACCTTTCCTTAAATTCCGGACCAAATAAGACTCACATCATCACCTCGACTATACTTGCAGTATCCGCAGCGGCCACGACCATCTGGGTTTGAGAGATAACCGCTGCCCGTACTGGACAACCAGGGCATCGCATACTCGCCGCACGTCATGTTGAGCGGGCTCTCGAAAACAACTAATTCATCTTGACTGCAGACAACGGGCATACCACGTAGAACAGACGTTAATACACCACCTATCCAGTAAGTGAACGGTGTGACATAGTACATCGTGTACTTCCAGAACACAGGCATGTTCTTGTGTGGCTGCAAGATGCCATTGAACAGCTCGCACATGATGATGAAAAATGGCATAAGAGTAGCAGCCACCATTGAATCCGCGCTAGATAGTTGTCAGACGGCCCGTACCTCTTTTGTCTCCCACAAAACTGGATCCGAGACACTCACCTTAAAGCAGCGATCCATTGACCCCAGGACGTAGCGAAAAGGAAAAAAAGGAAGAACATCAAGAACGTATAAGCAGCTGCGAACCCCAGAGGAAGACCAACGAGGAAGTAATACAACACGTAGAATACCACTCCGCTGATTATCGCGTACGGTATTTCCGAGATTATCTGCGCGGTGCAAAATGCAACCCAGGAATACACTCCACTGGGTCCTTCCCGGGTCTTCCAGATATCACGGTTTGAAATGAATCGCATGGAAATTGCATTGATGAACTCCGGCACCAGCATCAGAACGAGAAAACATGAGAATGCTTTCGATTGCAGGTCTGTAGAGCTGTTTCCGATTCGCAAATATGTCAATCCGTTAATCAATGCATGGAAAAACGATGCGTAAAGCCGCGAATAGGGGTATTCAGGGCTCCGCCAGTACTGCCGAAGCGTGCGCTGCGTCAAAAGGCTGATCTGACAATACAGGGGCGGCATAGAATGAGTCTGCTTCGTGCTGTCAGATGATTCAGTATTTTGTGACCTCGCCCTGTGGATGTTGGAGATCTCTTTTTTGAGGGAGTCAGCCTCAGCGGATCGATTCCATATGTCTGCCCAGTCCACCTTATAGCCGGTATCCCTCATGCCCCCGACAACGACTTCAATCAAGTAGTCTGCTGCGTTGGCGATTTGCTTGGGCTGGTCGCCGTACTTCGTGAAATAATCAAATATGCAACGTCCGGATCTCCCGACTTCACCGAAATAGTAAGTTCGTCCGCCGGGGCTGAGGGCCAGGACTCTGTCAAACTATTGAAGTTAGCAACCCACCGATCATCACAAGCGACATGGATTGTTGAAACTCACTTGTTCGAATTGCTCTTGGTTTGCTTGATGGATGGTGCAAAGGATGGCTAATCCTTGGTCGGCCAGGTGCCGCAGAAGAGACACAATGCTCGATGCGCCTTGACTTCCCAGGCCACTGGTGGGTTCATCTAAAAAGAGCAGCAGCTCAGGTTTCGCACAGAGCTCCACTCCGATAGTGACCCTCTTTTTCTTCTCCATATCCAAAGATCCGATGATGGCGTTCTGGAAGTCAACCAGTTCAAGGGTATGCAAGACGGTATCCACGTAAGAGAGCTTATCTTGTTTCCGGACACATACAGGCTGACGAAGCAGTGCGGAAAACTCAAGAGCTTCTCGAACAGTGCTAGTCTCGTCATGAACATCCATCTGCTGACAATATCCGATATTGCGTTTGAAAGATTCGTCAACGGGACGTCCATCCACGTTCATGTTGCCAGACAATGTCCCTGATGCTTGTCTTTGCGTGAGAACAGTCAATACTTCAATAGTGTCAGCAATTCGGTAAACATGGGTGGCAAAGCAGGTTCGCGGTATCTTACAAGTTGATTTACCCGCCCCAGAGGCTCCTACAAGAGCCGTCAGCGTCCCGGGTCTGCAGTAGCCATTCACTTCATCCAACAGCTTCCGAGTCTCTTTCCCACATTGGACTTCGAGTTCAAGGTTCTTCCACGTAAACGTTGAAGAAGTACCTTTGACAGCTTGAACTGGCTGTTGGCAAGAAGGCTGGGTTGGGGGCGGGGCACTTCCAAGACCCTGTACAGGGCCGTTCTCTTCGTCCTGGCTAGTCTTGAAATTGCGCTGGCTGCGTTTGGCGCGCTTTTGGTATTGGATTGGCCCGGTACTGCCGGGCTCCCAGTCAAGAGCTTCACTCAGCCAGCATGTAGCGGTAATGTAAACAAGCGTAAAAAGGCATAGGATCCCAAAGTTGCGCCAGACATTCCGGTAATAAAAACCGTAATGCGCGGCTAAATAATGATCGCCATCAACCGTAGTTGTCCCTGGCTGACTACCAGAAATACCACAAGTTTGATAAGCAACATTATTGTAGGCGTACCCTGAAGGTACAACTGCGCCCGATGCACATGAGAATTTGGTGTTATGAAACTCTGCCGCCATCATTGCTTCGTATGTATATAGCGCCGGCGTAGTGTACTAGTTTTCATTAGACCTTCGTTATCGCCTTAAAAGGTTATTCCGGATGGTGCTTACCGCTATCCACCCTACCCAAGGAACGTTATTCATCATCTTGTCCACAGAAAGCACATAGCCGCCAAAGACGATGCAAAACAGCACAGAGACCCCGCTGTAGCGCAATGCGACTTCGAAGTTCGATGATGCAGCAGCAAACAGCCGGAACTGGGCAGTCAGACAGAATGTGCACAGGTAAACGCAGAGAAAATCAATCCAAAAGGATCCCGCCTAGAGATTCAGGTCTTAGTGGACTGTGCAGCAAGCCCGCATGGAACACATACACTTGCTTTCAACCCTGCCAGAAAGTAGACAACAATCAGAAACAGAAGCACGAGAACGAAGACCAGGACAAGGTCCGCAAGAACCCTAGCCAGGCATACGGCACTTGGTCGTACGAAGGCAAACTTCTTTTGGCGACTGAGTATATCCCGGCCTTGCATTGCTTCTTCTAGCTCGGACATTTGAAGCCAAGCAAGCAAAATAGAGGAGTAGAATATCACCCCTCCACGCGAGTACATGCCATCGGTGTTCTCTGGTAGCTCATAGAACATTGAGCCAATCAGCAGACCATAAACCACACATGAAATGAGCTTGACCAACAATGGCGAAATATGGCCTTTCACCTGCCACATCTGCCGCTTTCCACACAGAACCACTTGCCGAAACAGGGAGATGGTATATGGAGACTTGGGGGAGACAAAACGAGACTTTTCGGTTTGTATCGTGCTCTTGAACTCCTTCAGGCTCCCACGATCGCGATCCGATTGCGATGTTCTCAATCCTTGAACACCAGCCTGCTTTTCCTCATAGTTCCGAATGTCTTCCAGTATTCGATGGAAAGCCGCACTTTTTCGAAACGTATCCTCTAGTTCAATCGCTCCCTTTGGGGCGCGGTTGTCCCAGCCAGGCCGGAACCTCCGTCGCTCAGGGATTGTAATGCTGGTCAGAAAATCGGATACGGTTTGCATTTCCGCACATTGGTAGCCCAGATTCTCAAAGTACCCTTTCGCTTCATACGCTGGACCTTGATAGAGCATTCGCCCTTCGTCAATGAGCAAAACCTTATCAACCAAATCAAAAATGGTGTCAGACGCTTGGTACAAGGTCAATAGGGTCGCCTTTCCGCATGTGTCGGTCATAATCCGAAGACTGCGGACGTAGTCCAGCGCCGACGAGGCATCTAGGCCTCTAGTAGAATTATCCCAGCACACGACTGAGGAATCGGTTGCAAGTGATTCGATTATAGATATTCGTTTTCTTTCTCCTCCAGACACACCACGAATATACTCGTTCCCCACGAGGGTCTTCATGGTATGGGCCATACCGAAAACCCTGCCGTAGATCTCGAGATATCGCGGGATTCGCTCTCGATACCTTTTGGGCGTCTTACTCTGAAGAGCAAATTCCAGTGTTTGCTGGACGTTGAGAGTGGGAAAATGCGCATCTTCCTCTGGCACATAGATCACCTGGCCGCGGTAGTACTTCGTGACATCCTCCAAAGTCAGGCCTGAGTAATCGATATGCCCGGTCACCCCTAGGAAAGAAGAATGGTAGCCAGCAACCGTTCGAAGAAACGTTGAACACCCGGCTCCCGGTCTGCCTAGAACTCTAAGGGGAATTAGGCTATCCTTTCAATCTTCCTAAGACATATGCGAGCAACAAAGGGTATAAATGCTTACAGCATGATTTCTCCGGTCTTAGCCACGCCAGAAAAATCTCGAATAAGAGGGCGTCCATCTTGGGGCTTTCTAGGCGAGAACAGGGGCTGTATTGTCCATTCATAGACATCTTGTAGTGTTAGGGTACGCCACAGAGCTGTTCCTAGTGTCTTCACAGTCGTATGAGCTTCACCAGCTCCCCATGTTGTTATTGACTGGAAGCAGACACCAAGACTCGACTTTCTCCTTCCAGCTCGAAGTTCTGCTTCCAAGAAGTTGTCGAACGAGGTATGAGGCTCGGGATGTTGATCAACTCCCTGGTGACTCCGTCCTGTCAGGGTGCGATGAATCTCAGCAATGGCATCCTCATCCTCTCGTGATGAAAGAACATGAGATCTTGAAGCCACCTCCGCTTGAGTTCCGACTTCATGAGAGGTGTCAATCAGTGTACCACCAAGGTGTTGGGGAAGGTGGGCTGGCATGCCGGACGATCTTTTGGAGCGCAACAGCCTTGTCGGTACAAAAAGACCTTCGTGTCTGACCGGCAAGAAAAGCCATTTTCAAGATCAGGAAAACATCATTTATATTCATCGTATGTCATCGAGAAAATTGCAAGAAGCACTCATATTGCCCTCTTCCTACAAAAGAGGAAGCCAAGCCTCGATATACTAGAGGCGTATATTTCATCATTATGGATTCAACAACAGATTGACGCCTTGGCGTATAGTGGAGTGGTAGCTGGGCCTTTTGCAAGGCAACCAAGTCCTCTATTTGCTAGATCATGGAGAACAAGACAGAGACAGTCCCGATATTGTACCATGGTGTCCATTTTTGGCAGCTCGGACGAGAAAAAATCTGAGATAAGCCTAACTGCCGGATAGACTAGCTCGATTCCACCAAATTGCACTCCAAATGACTGCTTATACAGAGGAAAGTATGTTAGAGATGTGGATAACAATGTGAACTGCTGATGGTCATGACTTTCCAAAAAGGCAGCCAAGACGAGAGGTGGACGATTATTCGACTCGCAGCACTCACAGCACTTGCGCCACGCGTTGTTCCCCACTGTCCCGTACTCCCGTTCAAATCAGGACTCGAGTCTCCGAGACTCGCGCCTTAGGGCTAAGGCTGCAACATTCGGGATCAGAAGACCCATACTGATGAATGACACTTCATGGTAATTTTTCTTGATTTCAAGAACACATCCAACGGGCGGGACATTCGGATACCGGAAGTCTTGGAGTCGGGCAATTCGTTCGCCGGACCCCGCGGAACCCGCCATGATGTATGTTTACAGCGTCCGACAAGAGGACAATCATTAGACTCGATCAATTTCCATATATTCTACTCGCTTTTGCAACAAATTTTGAAGAGGCACCATTGTAACTAAGATGAGATCCCTTCCCGTCCTAGGGCCAGTTCAGCCTGCTTAAACAACCTACAAAGCAAATGTCAACATTGAATTTTCACGCAAAAGCACAAAATCAACAACCCGCAATATCTTTGCGCTGCTTTCGCGCTTGTTGAAAAGTGCAATTTGTCCTCGTGTTTGTTTCAGCCGTAAGATCACTTCATAGATCCACTCAAAGGAGACCTTCCTCAAATAAAACCCATTCTTCGCACCGTATATCAAAGTCGAAGCATGCCTCGCGAACTATTTTCCTTACTCGCTTGCAGGCTCGTCTGAATGCGAACCGATACAGGATGTTTGAATGTACATCTTCATCACTGTCGAATCTTTCCGAGAGACCGAACATTCCATTAGGTGGTGATGACTGAGGCTGTAAGACGACCAACGCGAGAGAATCTAGGCTGTCGAAGCTGCGTTTTGCCAAATTTGTCAACAATCTTGCCACAGGATGTTCACAGGCACGAATGACCAGATGCCTCAGTGAGTCGGGTAATTCTGGGTTGTCGGTCAAGAGGCACTGTTCGATCTCTAGGTGCTGGAGGTTGGTGAACAAGGCGAAGGACTCAATCTTCGGATAGTCGTCCCAGTGTAGCCCCCACTCCCACAGACCAAGATCAACAATGATAGATTCAAGGGTTTCACTTTGTGAATTGAGGATGGCAGCGAGGTCTGAAGGTTCAACAAGATTTGGAGTGTCAGAATCAATCTCGTAGATCAATGTTTTGAGACCCTTGCATGCGTATATGAGAGTTGTCAGAATGTCCGTATCTATACACATCCGAGTAAGGGAGACTGAAGCAATGTTGAGGGACTGCGATGAGTGCATGAAGCCTGAGTCACCAGCGCCTTGTACATCAAGGAGGGAAAGGGAAAAATATTCGAGGCACGAGGAACTTAAGAAGAGGGATAAGGTGTCTGCCTGAATGATATTCATCTGGCCCCAAGTTCCTCCAATATGGAGGCTCCTCAACTTAGACAGATACGGAGAAGCCAGGCCCTTTTGTATCGAAGGCATATATGGAGGTCTCAGATCCTTCCAGTCTTCTTCTCCTAGCGTCAGATGAAGATGTTCAAGATTTGGTGTGTGAGTACAAAGTAGTACAATCAAAGGAGACACTTTCGCCCTCACTATAGATGAGAGGAACACCGCCTTGTTGTTCACGCAAAGACCTTGGACCGCATCAGCTAGTAGAGCTATGGTCTCTGGTGTGAGAATCTTCGACCATATTTGAGGCGCCCGGGATTCCCAGGCCGAGGTGTTTATGATTATCTGACGAACGCATGATGCAAGGTCGGATCGAGAAAGAAGAGTTTGAGTGAAGCCTAGTAGAGAACACAAACCATCTCTGCTGTTGCTGGTCTTGTGACAACAATGACAGTGAAGTCCATTCAGGTATGTTTTGAAAAGTATCCGCTGAGTCGCTGCGTACAGCTGGCGGGAGGTTAGGCAAAGGGAGAGAAGGACTGGCCAGTCTTCAGCTGACTCAAAGAATCCGATGATGAAGAGGAGAATTTCCGCGGGCAAATTGAGAAGACTTCCCATTGTGAAAAGGAAGACGAATGAATAGAGGGAGTAGGATCAGATATGGAAACAAGTGGGCGTTGCTGATGAGAAGATGGATGTCGGGGCCTGGGGATGCGCATGTGTTTTGTTGCATCCTGGTCCCGGCCAGACACTCCACGCCCTGCGTCATGCCTCGACAGTACTTGAGTCGGTAGGTCAATCCGTACAGCTTTCGCATGTCTTCCATTGGAATCTTCTTCTTCTGAAACCGTCTTCTCCTCTTATGTACGCATATTACAGCACAACATAGCCTTTTCAGATGCAGGACACTCTATGATCATCCATCCCTCAAGTGTGATAGAATTGTCATGGTGCAATCGGGGTGACCAGCAGGTTCTGACGTCTCAGAATAAGCAATCTTTCACCGTTTTCCCTCCTATCCCCGTCATTCCCTTCTCTGGCTCCTCAGGTTTCTGCTTGGATGGCCCTCTCAAAGAGATAAGCGGCTTGCATACACGATGCTCGAAAAAGCAGGGTTGACTTTACCTTCCATAATAGATGTATCTGAGGCCGTTCGCATCGAATCTGTGGGCACAACAATCGGTATCCTGTGTTGCACGCCGAGCTTCTCTCATTGGAGCCTTTTGAAATCACTGTATCTGTTACAACGAAGGTTGAGCGATAGTTTGCCTTGCTTGTCAATCGTTATTACTGCAGGCCTGGTACTGATATCATCTCGTGTTATGCCGTCGGACTCTGAATGTTAACACATGAACCTTCTATAGCAGCAGGTGGCGCTGAAACCTGATCAGACCCAGCAAAAATGAACGACCTCAGCTACTTCGTACGCTGTTGAAGAGTTTCAGTATTCCACGCATCCGTATCAACATGATCAGGGCAAAGGAAATCTAAACAATGATATAGTCTGGGCCATTCTAGGGCGGATCGTTACTGGTCCAATGCCTATTGTGCCTACTCTTAGCACCGAGCCCAAGGCTTGCCCATCCAACTTGCTCTGACAACTGATGCCGGACCTTCTGGAGGCTCTGGAGCTGAGCAACCGCCGCAGTGACCATCAGCTTGGACATAGTCCATCCCAGTTCCCACATTGGTCTCCTTTTGGAACTTGCTGTATCATCTAGATAGCCCCAGATGAGCACGTCGAACAAGAGCCGTAGTATACAGCAGATGTCTGTTCATGACTAACGTTGGTTAATAGAATGACACTCGGTGCGCAGAATAATACTGAAGATGTGCGTAAGAATCCTAAATTAGGATGGAAAGTAAATATAGGCTCTTACTTCCTAATAGGAGGGGCTATCCTATTGGTAGGGGGCACAGGTACCGCAATTTTCAAAAGGTTCAGGAGGCCACAGCAGATGCTGCACCTATCTAAAGGCTCTCTAGCATCCACCTTCTTCAAAACATCATTGCGACTCATGTTAATCAGGAGCTCACGCAAGGACTCATTGCCGTCAATCACCTCATCACTGCGCTTCGCGTTTCAGTAGCAATCGCAAATTGGTGCTCTCTGGACAGCCAAATGTTTTGGCGGCAGCGGCCGCCCCGGTAATCTTTGTCCAAGCAATCTCGCAGTCGCTATACTTGTCCGTGGGACAGCAGCTGCGGGTATTGCACTGGGCGGAGGCTAGGGTGGCGCTCAGCAGGATGGTAGCGAGTATGCTGGCGCACGCATTGTATTCTTTACAATGTTAGTCTGGTAGTCAAGGTGCACCTTGATTGCTTCCGAGAGGTAGACTCGGTAGACTATTTTTCGCTGCTTATCTTTATCAGAAGGTGAAGAATGCCCTGGTTGCGGACTTGAGGTACTGCCTTTTTATACACCTCCACATCCCCTCAACTGTCGGCAAGCGTTGAATTAGAATTTGAAGGATTCAGTACTTCCTTGCTTTGACAGAATCCTACATGTCATTGTTTTGTAACTTTTGTTATGACCACCAAGCCACTAACCGATTGGAATCCTTGCGAATAGCTTCATGTTTGTGTGCCACATCGAGGGTATAAAGACAGGCTAGATAGCCACTCATTGGAAAAGAATCAGACGTTCATCAGAATCTGTATTCCATATGGCAATCCTTAAGGTATCTGCTGCCAGTCTGTCTCAGTGAAAGGCCCCGGTACACAAACAGTCGCAGAAAAAGGGAGCTCAAATTAAGAGTTTTGTAGATATTAATATCACCAGGCCAAAAAAGGCGCCCGACGACGTACTGGTCAGTCTAGGCTTACATATCCATAATCTTATTATGGTACCTTTTAACAATGGAAGATTATGCATTTCCCAGTCCAAGCATCTTGGCAAATTGACAAGCGGCGTGACACACTCCTCTCTTATGAATGGCCAGTTTTCTAGGCTGCCAAGGGACCAATATCATGCGGGGTGTAAAAATAGGTATGGCGTGCTTAAAAGGAGGAGAGACTGCGGCGATATCAGTATTTTTATTCATGCTCTACTACCAACTGAATACTCGTACATCGCTGGTTTGGATAGAACAAGGATGCAGCTGCCGCCGCCATTCTCGCGCTACCTTTCTTCACTCCGCGCATTGAACCAGCGCGTACAAGAGAGGGCGGCTTCAAAGCAACGTAACAAACGCCTTTCTAGCCGATTGGCCGATGTATTCTTACGAACATGGCATCTGGGGTTAACATCTTTTGGAGGACCGCCGGTTCATTTCCAGATCTTTCACGAGAAGTTTGTGGAAGGCAAAGGAGGACAGGAGAAATGGGCGGATGAGCAAACAGTTAGTGCTGAAACCAGTGAAGATGGGTACGATAGGCTGATCGGAACGACACTTGTAGTATCAAGAACTCTTTGCCATCTGTCAAGCTCTTCCCGGCCCCGCAAGCACGAAGATGCTTTTCTGCTTGACTTTATTGCATGCAGGCTTCATTCCAGCCGTATTTGCTTTCCTTATATGGAGGTGAGCTCTCGACATTTTCCTATGTTCCATGCATCATTCGAGGCGACATACAACGAACGGCGCAGCTAATCTCTAGTCTAGTCTTCCCGGGGCAGTTGGCATGTACGCACTCTCCCTCGGTGTACAAAATATGAATGACGTTCTGCCGGAAATTGCATATGCATTCCTTTCTGGCCTCAATGCTTCAACCGTGGGAATCATTGCTCTGGCAGCCGTCCAGCTAGCGGAAAAGGCAATAAAGGATAAGCTCACCCGCATTCTAGTCATCTTCGGCGCTTGTGCCGGCCTGTGCTACAATGCTCTTTGGTACTTTCCGCTTCTCATAGCTCTTGGTGGTCTGTCAGTGGTTGTGTGGGACGGTTGGATGAGCCAGTGCATCCGTAAAACCAGTGCTAAATGGAGACGACGAAACAGCCACCCCGAAGAGGCAAGACAGGAAGATGGCGCTCCCAATGAAGTGGAGCTTCAAGAGCAACAAGACAGCCAGATGCACAGCACGCCCTCTAATCAAGGCACCGTCCGGTCACGGAAAACTGGACAGGCAGCACCCCTTCCAGAGACTGCTTCCGATGCGCAAACCGAGTCATTAGACGTCAGCGCTTCTCATGATCATATCATCCGCATCCGTGTCGGTATCACGGTCTGCGTCGTCTTCTTTGGTATGTTCCTTCCTTTCGCTCATCCTCCAGCTTTCATATCCTAGCCATGAACCATGCTGACACTAAATCAGCCTCCTTTATTGCAATCCTGGTGGCAAGAGGGGTCATCAACTCCCCACCACTTCCCCTGGACTTGTTCGCTAACATGTATCTGGCCGGAACAATCATCTTCGGAGGAGGTCCCGTAGTGATCCCTCTTCTACGTTCTTACGTTGTTGATCCTGGCTGGGTATCCGGCAGAGATTTCCTGATCGGTCTGGCTCTTATTCAAGCATTCCCTGGTCCCAATTTCAATTTTGCGGTCTTTCTTGGAGCTCTCGCGCTCCAAAAATCCCAGTTCCCGACTGTATTCGGCGCTTTCCTTGGCTACATCGGCATCTTCCTGCCTGGTATCACTTTGGCCGTTGCTGTGCAGAGTTTCTGGAGAGTGCTTCGTAAGAGAAAGTGGGTTGCCGACTGGCTTAGAGGAGTCAATGCTGCTGCCGTGGGTCTGGTCTTCACTGCTGTATACAGGCTGTGGGAGATTGGATATTTGACACCCAAAGCTAGTAATGGTCAGAGTCTTGCTCTTGAGCCGTGGTGGGTTGTTGTTGCAACGGTTACTTATGCAGAGCATGCGTGGTTCAAGGTGCCTCCAGCGATCGCGATCATCATTGGAGGTATTCTGGGTCTCTGCTGGTATGGTGCTGTTGGTCGTTAGCTCATCTATGCCTGAAATTCAAAATGGAATATAGTAGTATAACGTGAATATGAATACGAAGAAAGTCGAGAGGGGGCAATAAAAGTTGTCATCGCATATTCTTTGTATTCTCTATTTGACATACAAGGTGGATCATTCCAGTGTGATATTACTCTACGTAATTGAGTATCCTTGGCCACAGCTCACAAGCCTTTTGAATTCGCTCTCTGCTCTAGTTTTTGAGACATGGTAATGCATAAGGAATCGCAGCAACCAAGGTGAAGCAACGGCTTCAAGGCGTTCAATTGACCTTGACCTTCGTCCCGCTCGTGTCTCACATCTTCAGGCATTGGCCTACGTCAGCGAATGTATTCCGGACGAGGCATCGACATAGTGCCATCTAACAGTGTCCTGCCTCCTTCGATGCGAGTTTTGTTCCCTCATGGTGTGTCTGAAGCGCGAGTCCCCGCTGATCTTCTTCGACACAGCCCTGATTCCTTCCTCGATGGTATCAGGATCATTCATAGACATCCACGGGATGCAGCCATTATTATGACGTAATTCTGCGTCGAGGTGGTATAGGCCAAGTCCGGGCTGCTTTGACACCCGGGTCACTTGTTGTAGGAGATCGCCCATGTTCTTTAAATGCTTCGCATGTTTCCTCAAGAAGCGCGACTCAATCGCGTTTACTATGGCGGTATCTTGGCATTTATCAGCCAAAGTACACAGCTTTTCCAAGTCCACGAAAAGCTTTCTTTGCACATTGAAGGCATCCCGACAAGGGCCAACAGGCTCGACGGGTGAATCAGGCCATTCAGATTTCGGTGCCTCGATGTTTGTTGGCTTACACCGACCTCCGCGGATGATCAGATATTTCTCTAGCCATTCCATATCGATCAAGCACTCCTTAGCGCTCCTGTGCCACAGCCTGATTGGCGGGATGCAGTCAATAAACCAGTGTTGCAGGCCACGCTTCCAACCTAGGGAGGAGCTATTAGGTGACATACATGGCAAATCCGTGCAGAGCAACGTTGGCTCGCGAACAGTCTGCTGCGAGCTTACGATAAAACATCCAGCTCGTCAATTCTTCGTGAATATGGCCTCTAATAGACTGTGAAATATAAGCCTTGGGTTTTCAAAAAGGAAATGCAATGATAGCTATCCAGGATCTCTCAATGGACACGGGTTTACCTCTTCTAGCTCATTCGTAAATGTAGATGGCCGTAGCCATTGATCAAGGTCATGGCCCGAGACTTCAGAGATGATTGCCCTAGCTTGTTCAGACATGATTGCTGTAGGTGAAGAAGTTCGTCGGTTCTATTTTAGATGCAATGCTTCGAGAGTGCCCAAAAGCCTGAATATGTTCAGTTCCAGAAGGGAAATGTGGGAAGCATTGCAGCCTTGATATAGGCCTCGCCACGGAAACGCACCCCGAATAATCATCATGACATACAGTCCACGTATCATGAGTATATGGTACATCATCTACAATACTTGCCGGCCATCATTGTTAGGGAGCGCGAAGAGGCTCTGGTGTGGATGGCTCACAATGAATAGAGTCATCACAATAACGTAACCATTCCGTGAGAATGGCTGGCCCAAACCCGCTCAATTCGACACCATTCTTTTCCAAACGGAAGAATGGAGATTATCTCCATTTGTAGAGAGCAGCAACAGAAGGACATGTCGGAATTCGACTCCGGTGTTCCGTTCCAGTGATGCAATAGGTGCGCTTAAGCATTCGAAACAAGATATACCAAGGCTTGCGGAGGAGTATGCATTGTAATCGCTGGTCTGAATTGACCCCTTTCTCTATATTTAGCTTTCTTTATGTGCTGCAATCGAGCCTCTTTTCTGTTCAGGATCAAGCATATAAGATCCCATAGGGCGAACTCCTTTCAAACCTGACCTATGAATATCCTTTAAATGTACTCTTTGTCCGCTCATTCTTAGGTTTATGGTACATTATGTCCTGAGGCGACTTACTACCTGGGTCCAGCAATTCAAAGTCAACTCGGTATATTCAATCTAGCTGGACGTCTCCCCTTCGCCTTCGGTCACCAAGTTTGACGCCATCATGCAGACCAGATATCCCGCCCAATGTCAGCAACTGCCATGGTAGAGATGTAGCAGTCAATAATGAGCAGTTGTGTCTGAGTCCTGCTACGGGTTAGTCCATATGATGTTGGAAACTTGTCGCTCCTACTACGCTAGAAATGGTTTAGTTTAGTTTACCCTTATCGTTTGATATATGACGCCATAGCTCCATGGAGTTGGAATAATGGCGGTGAAATATGGCAGTATCAAACAAACAACCCTGAGCCTTTTCTAACCATGATGTTTTGGAAAGCCCAAGGTTCCCTCCGTGTACTTAATATCTGTTACACTTCCTTGTCCCCAGCGGCACCACCGCTTACTTACCTCTAATTGATGATCTTCAACGGCAAGATGCTCTACAATGCCCTTATCCGGACCCATCACATCACATCTCGTAAAAAAGTGTCTGCCTTGAAACGAGCAGCTGGCACGCACAACTGTTTCGTACTTCTCCGCTCTGGCGGATGTCCAGGGATCATGTATGTTGAATCACGGGATATGAACTCTGTGGAGTCGTGGGTCGATGTCGTGCGGAACCTGCGCTACAAGGATTTCCAGCTTGTTAGCCGACCAGGCGCGGTAATAAGAGATGATCAACCCGGAGAGTCGAAGCCAGACAGACGTCCTCAGAGCTCAGATATTCCAACTTTACCGCACGTAGGACTTTCTGAAGTTGAGTCCGTCAAGGAATTTGGGAGTATCATGGAGCAGCGAGGTCTTTGGCAGTGGTGGAGGAAGGGAATGGGTTACCTGAGCTGAGTATTGATGATTGAGCTGAGTGCTAGATCTTCCGCCCTCGAGGCGCACAGCTCTCAATTGTTGTTGGATTGCTGTCATGTGCCACCTGATTCTTGCAGCCGCATTCTTGTGGCGAGTAGTCACGAATACTCCTGCTCTCAAAGCCTTATAACTGCCCTGACATGCACGACAATTTGGCAGCAGTGAGGCTCACGGGTCGATTCTAACAAACCGCTAGAAACTGTCGAGTCTGCTTGCCATGGAGGGACCTCATCGACACGCTCCGCTTCAAATCAGCAAGTCGGCCGCGATATCCCTTCCTTTCAGGCAGTGTACATGCTTTGCCTGATACAAATGGTTTCGACAATACCCCACCCTGGCCCTGCCTGCAGAGCCAGTGACTGTGGCTTTTAGCACACTTTTTAGGGACTGTCTGCCACAAGATAGTAAAAAGAGCTTATGGCCTCCGCAACTGATATCTCCATGATACTCAAGGCATAATATACTAAAGTGTATGAATCCGCATATTACCATGTGCTATCCGATTCTTGAGTAAATAGCATTTGCATTCATCTCGGTGGTTTACCTTTGTTTTGGTCCTTAACTCCCATTACCTGGTAATATACATTGGATGATGATCCATCTATGTAACCAGCAAATTGGCATTGCACATGCCTGACCTTGAACACCGTTCCATTTGCCGCGGGTGGAAATATTATGGCTAGAAAAGTATCCGTAAAAGCTGAGGAGATGGTCCTAGTGAGGCTTCTCTATTGGAGGCCAATCGGGAGCAGGGTAACTAAGTAGTTTACAAATGTCCTATATAAACCAGATTAGCGAAATTCTGTACGAATCATGGGAATCTTTTGCGCAAACCTTTCGTCTTCGACGGAAGTCTTCGTAGAGAGACTTCCATACCTCCCGATCACGACACCCCCTTTCTTGCATTGTGCCGGGTTTATAGTCACACTTGGGTAGAATCTCAGCAAGTAGCTTCTGGTTTGAAAGCACCCAGGGTTTTGGTAAAGGCCAGTCAGAGAAGTGCACAAGTTTGGCTTCTGCCAGGACCTTGTCAGGATCCCAAGTCTCATAGTCATTTCCAAAGAAATTGCGGTGATCTTTTTTCCGGAACTCGCCGGTAACTAGGCCGTATTGCCGATGCGGAAGAACCAAGGCCGAATCTGCAAAGCGATTATTCAACAGCTCCATATCATACCTCTGTGTCTCATTCGAATCAACTTCCACTTGGCCGTGGAGAGCTGGCTGAGCACTCTCCATGAGGGCTTTGAATTCGCGATAAGAGGGTTCAATCACGATCAGCAGGGACGAAAGTTGCTTTGTATCCGGGAGCGCCCAGTAAGCGCGAGGCATAGCGGCTTTGGCTGGTGGGAGGAAGAAGAGTTCATCCATACTCTGGAGAACGGTAACGTCGGAATCAATGTGTATCACGCGATCGTATTCTGTCTCGCCGAATGCGAGCAATTTCGCAATACTCTTATCCCAAGGTTCGCCAGAGCCTGTGTCGAATCGTTATCAGAGTTAGCGCCAGCTCTGCTTTTGACGAAAAGCCGAATTGTGACTCTGAGCCCGGACTCACGTACCTCCCCCAGCCTTGATCATTTCCGCACTAATAGGTACCAGCAACGCCTTGTACTTCTCCTTGGCGAGCTCTAGCAACTGGCTGTCCCTGTCATGATCATCTGCAACGAACAGATCCCAGTCTTCCGGATAGAAAAGAACTCTATCCGCTCGGCTACCTAATCGCTCCAGAGCTTCGAACACCATCACGGCGTTACACAGATATGCGCTCGACGTCGCATACTGACTGTAGGCGTAACGCGACCAATCGACCTTATTATAGTCGATATGCGAAACAGGAGCAGGCGAAGGGGCTTCACGGCGAAACCAAAGTATCAGAATGATGAAGACTGCGAAGAAAATCCAGGTCCGAACGCGTCTTAGTTGCCGCTTCGCAACCGCAAGACATGGCTCGTCGGGGATATCAAAGAAATCCGCCTCTGAAGACCCAGAGCCCCTGCGGTAGGGAAGAAGGGTCGCCTTTTTATTCCCCATGATCATGAATTACCGAATAGTGAGACCCAGGGAACCATTCTGGCGCTGTCGACGCACATGGCTCAATTTCAGACAGGCAATCACTCGTCATGGCCTTAAAGAGATCGGCGGACTGGACCATTACCGATCCCATGCACGTGACGACATCCAACAGTATTAGTGCAGCCGTGCGTGTCAAGATGTTATACTTTGTTTATCTCTGTCTCAGATGTCGGTCGGAATTTTGCTCTGGAGTTCTATACATCATGCATATAACAGGTCTTCAACTTGCAAGTTCAAATGAGGGACTACCACTGCCCAGGTGCCTTTCTCACGTACTGTGGTGGATAGTTGAATAAATAGCTTCAAACATCCACTTTACTAAATCAGGCAGTCTGTCGGATCGTAACATAGGTGATGTACTTGCACTCTATGCCAAATGGGACTCTTCTCTATTATCTGAAGAATAATATATTGTTAAGTATAGCCTAGTCTTGCTCAGATCTCCTTCTCATCGAGACAACCGTTCTCCCCGACATAGTTCTGAAGAGCCTCAAGGGTCATCAATCGGCGAGGTGCCTTCCGTCCTGTTAAGAGCTCGAACTGTGCGACCGCTTGTTCTGAGACTAACTCCAGCCCTCCGACCAGTATCCACGGCCTTCCAGTTTCACTTCGGAACCGGCGCATTTGCCGCAGCAGGGGCGTATCCAAGGGTTTGTATGCGAACTGCATCAATGAAAATTGATCAGCCAGGTTCTTCAAATCAAATGCAATGAAAGTTGCTCACCTCTAAAATCACGCCGCCCGTTGGACTTCCGAGCCACTGTGTCGGCATTTCGAAGTTGGCTGGAGGTTCATCTCTGTCAGGATCTGCTGGCACACACGAGGCAATTAAGCATGGCGGGCAGGTATCCAATGGCCATTCATCTTGAAGAGACGTCAACACCCGTACTACTTGGGTTGAGCCCACCTGCGATGCAGCCCAGGAATTGAAATGGCGTGCGACACCCTCCGCACGCGATAAGGTTCGGTTGTAAATGAAAATTTTTCGGCAACCTAGCCGAAGCATAGCATAAATCGCAGCCCGAGCCATGCCACCGGCTCCAATAACCAGGCCTGTTGATTTCAAGGGACTGATCGTATTGCGGGGAGACAGGTGACGACTGATACAAGTCATGATACTCACCCAGTCTGTGTTTTCTCCGTACCATCCCAAAACAGGCCCCGCCTGGTTGCGGCGGCTGGCTTGCTCTTGTAAGGGAAACATCGTCCCATCAGCGCGTGCACGCAGGGGCATGATGGTATTGACGGCCCCAATAGCTTCAGCATGTCTGCTTTTAGATGCGAGTTTCTGAAAGACCTGCACTCTCCACGGCTGCACAATACTCGCACCCCCAAAATGCGGATCCCGGCCCAGCCGATCAAGCGCCGCAAGAGAAGGAGATTCGGGAATGCTATACGTGTGCCTCATGCCGCAGTGCCGAAAAGCAGCATTGTGCATGGCAGGTGATAGGCTGTACGCCACGTTCCCTCCAAGGATATAGAATTGCAAGGGGTCTAGCGTATAGCTCTGGAACAAGGCTTCAATGGCGTCTCGTGAAGTAATGATGGGATCCCTGCCATTGTCTGTGCGACGTTTGATAGCCGGATGGGTCACGGAGGTCAATATCGAATTGAACACCTGCGAGGTCCTCCCAAGACTGCCAACGTTGTAGGCAATCACCGGGGGGTGTGAACCAGGTAAGGATTGGATTTTGTTGATAAATTTGCCCACAGCTGCGTTATCCTCGCGCTCAGTGGCCACTCGAAGAATACGCACAATTTGGCAACCAAGCTTTTCTGCTTCGAGATACAGGGAAAGGCATTCCTCGTCCTCCCACGTCACGCAAGAAGACGGTTCGAAAAGATAGTGGCCGATAATCTTGGTTCTACCTCTGTTGCGAATCACCTGGTTCAACAAAGATTGATTTTGGCCCAGATCGACTGCTAAATACTCCACCGCCAGCCTTAAGCCATGCTCTATGATGTTGAAATACAGCTCTGAGATCTGCGCCGATATGAGGTCACCGCTACCGATTCCGGATGCTGTCGTGTCAACCGAGAGTATGATGGGTGTCCGGGCATTCCTCCGAAGCAAAGAAACTTGCTTGCTGATGGTGCTCGCCATGCTCGAACCCCAGCAGTCGACGCAGAGCTCAATAGCATCTCCACCAGATTCAAGCTCTGCCAAGTCGACGACCCCTTCAATTAAATCAGAGGAGCGAACAAAGATTGCATGAGTAAATGATCGAAGTTCCGGGGGTGTCTCCAACAGTACGAAAGGTGAGTCGTAGCCAGGTTGGTCCACATCCGCACCGGTGACAAAACGGACGAAGCGGGTGAAGTCCTCCTTCGCCTCTCTGAGTTTGAAGGAGTAATTAACAGATCGGCGATCAGATGTCTGTCCATCGGTTTGAGCCTCCACATTGGAACGATCTTCTATGTTATAATACTCGAAATTTGAGCAAGTTCTGTGCAGAGGGTCCCCCTCACACAGCATCTTAACAGCCTCATGCTCTAAACCTAGCAAACTTTGGATCCGATCCATGTCACGAACAAGGTACACGATTGGGTTCTTCGCCAAATACAAACGAAGGTGCTCCTGAATTGGCCGAGTGAGGCTACCAAGGCCGCACTCAATGACACACTGTGATTGATGGTTGTCGAGCATCTTCTTGAGAACATCGATATCACGACGTTGAAATTCTTGACTGCCATGGCGCTTGAGGTACTCATGCCGCGTAAGTCCAGTAACTTCCTTGAAGTAATGATCCTCTGTTATGAAACGGCGTTTGAGAGCGGTGGCAGCAACGAAGCCGAGAGAGCGCTTTCCGCATCCCCGAATGCCAACCAGCACTAAGGAGGCATCGTGATCGAATCTCCGGGGAGTATCGACGCTCGAACTTGGGGGCATCATCGCTGCGGACGGCGGTATATCTACTGTTTTGGAAGCGATATCAAGAGTCCTTGTGCCAATTTAACCAAAGTTGTTTACTTTTGGGGGCGCCATCTCTCGATAAGTCGAATTGTCAGTGACCTGCACTGGTGAAAACTTAATATTCCACGTATAACAAGGTGAAAGATAACAGTGCGTGGTCGGAGTTAAGGAATCAGGAGGTTCTCCAGAGACTATCAACAATGCTAATCTCAGTCACAGTTAACATGCCGCGAATAGAAGTCTCACAACTTCACAGCCGGGGAACGTGTGGAGATTTAAAAGGAAGGAGAAGGAGGTAGAGTAAGGAACATATTAGTGGCTTAATAATAGCTCAGACTGCGAGGTGCCTCAGTAAGAGATCGCTGTCTCGAGTCAAATGTGGGCATGCATCTGGGATGGACCATTTGCCGTTCATTTTTCCCCAGATGGTCAATCTGCCGCACCTCACCGCCTTTGGGGAACAGACGGCGGCAAAGGTTTTAGCCGAGTGTGGGGGGAAGGATATATCTAGTACTATGCGAAAGTCCGATGTTATCATCAATATTACAAGAAATGGTTGGAAGATAAGGGTACTCTATGTGTCTATTTTGAATTAAAGGCTTACATATATGGCATATTCAACTTGAACTGTTACATGAGGTCAAAGATCTCTGCGGTTGATGTATGGGTCCACCAGTCTGTGAGGGTTATAAATACTTATTTAGACTTCTGTGCAGTGTTAGTGATTGTTACAATAGTACATCATGCTCTTTGTCACTCATCTTCAGCCTATTGAATTATTATTCCCTTATTATATAGACTGTCGAACACATATTGCACTACTATTTCTACTTTGCTAGAAATGGTTGTCTAGACACCTTAGTCAAGTGGTTTTAGTAGTCGTCGACACAGGCTATACATATATATATGTATACGTATCTCTATCAATGGTGGTCAGCAGTGTAACAATCTCTGCCTGTTGTCGATCTGTGCCGGGACCCACCTACAGAATATTCTCCAGACCACAAGAGGTATATTTCAAACAATACTCAGATTGTTCCTGGCATATTGCCTGAACGTACCTCTGACTTCCAGCCGTAGCTAGCAACATTGGATAAGTATAACAGCAAGTAGTGGTCTCCGAGAATAGGCTGTGACTGGGATCATCCTGCTGTACGGGAGAGTGCAGGGTTACAGAATAAGGTTTAGAGTCATAACTGGGAGACGAGAGGTCATTAGGCATTGAGTGAAGCACCAGCGGGTGTGCCAAATGTATCAGATCAATGATCTCGTTTGTTAGCAGCTACCTATACGGGGAATGATTTGATCCCGGAGCAGCAGAAGCAACAGATGTGATCCAATACTGCGCGAGAAGTCACTTGCGACGTTTCCGAATCCACATTCTATCTGGCCATTTGCTGGTTCCCAGACTTCTTATAACAGATAAATTGAAGGAACGCGGCTGGTTGCCATTATCTGTATCTTCCCAGATGACCCTAAGACTGCTGACGCTAAGATGATCCGGTATGCCAACCTCAGAAGCCTGAACCAGCTTCATCAAAAAATACCCTGAACCACTTTCTGGTGGCCTGATGTGGACACTTCGAGCGAGTCTTGATACCTGAAGCTAGTATTTCTGGGGAATTTTCTTTGAACCTCCAAATCGTTTCCACGCACAAAGTCCGAGTTTCTTCATCATACCAGAATGAAGTTTCGATTTGGGCCTCCATGAAAGGATGATGAGTGAAGGTGCAGTCATGCCAGAGCCCGTCCTGATGCTCCTTAGAGCCCACGTAAAACAGAGCATTATTGAAGTAATATCGAGGCCCATCATGCACTTGCTTGCTAGTATGCTTGCATGCTTCTATCAAGGCAAGCTTATCAAGGAATGAGATTGCGAAGCAGGGATAGATTTCGACCTCGCCAGCATAAGCCTTGCACTCATTTTGGCCATGGAGTGACTGACATTCAGAACAACATAGCTTTCGGTAAGAGCGCCACGTCCATCGTGGATTTTACCATGCTGAATGAGGGTGCAGACTCACCATGCACCGCAGTACTTCTAACGGCTATTCTCCAGTTGGTGCAGTAGTTGGATTCGAGGCCGCTTTCTGACGTTGGGACACAGCTTCTGTCGTTTTCCGGGCGGCAGAAGCTGAGCAAAGCTGTAGATCGTGGGCCTGGAGAAAGGAATGAAAACAAGCAAAGAGATATTTGCAACTCAGCGAGAAGCAAACTTGGTCTGGCGCCGTAAGATATGTGAATACGTCACCCACTACCTCGGGTGGCTGTTTCTGCACATTGAGGAATTGCGGCGGATGCTGTCGAAGGACAGCTTGGAGCAGAGGGCAGAGTTTTGCCCCGGCGTGTGAGAGAGTCATATTGGGTGTTTTGAAGTTGTTGCGAGATAGTAATAGTCGACAGCTGAGAAAATAACAGCGGAAAGTACACGAAGAGATTTTATTCTCAATTCTATACATTTGTTACGTTGTTCCGTGTCATCAACTAGGCAGCGTCCACGGCTTGACGGTATAACGCGTCCATTTGGTTCTCATGGACCAACACTACACGGATAGAACTGAGCAGGAAATAGAAATACTTTAGTACTCTCATCTGCATGATCGTATATGGTACCACCCCAGCTATGACGGCATTAACGGACCTCATGCCAAGCCAACATCACTGGGTCTTTAAAGACTCTATCCCCCTTTGACGAGGTCGAGGACCAACTTCCTGGACGTTGCCTGAGATATGCGACTGTCGATGTAAGGGATCGCTCAGAGTGGACGAATCCTTTGTTGGTTGGGTCTCTGGTACCGACTCGGGATGCCGGGGGAGCTCGGCCCATGGTTACTGAAACGGAGAGTTGTACTCGTAGTCGCGCCCAGGGTGACTAGAAAGTGAAAAGACTAAGCAGCATCCAGCTCCTGCCTCTTATCGGCAGCTCAATAATGGCAATTTCTCAAGTCTCGATTGTCGACTAACTTGAGAGTGCCACTTTCTTTTGGTCGGCCTGAGTCTGTCGGACTCCCTCCGTATTCGAGTATGTACGAAATCGGTTGCCCTTTAGGTCCCACGTAATGGCAGACACCAGATCAAAGCACCGATTTTCGGCAGTTCAACAATCAACCTTCATCAGGGAAGTCATGATTGGTGGAATCATCTCTCCTAGTTTTGTCATGCTGCTCCTCGCTTTTATCTGCTCGGAAATGAGCATGAATTCGGAGCTGGCGAGAGTACTAGGCGCGTAGTAATGCATGAGGATCGAGACTTCGGGGTGTCGTACTCCGTTGAGGACTTGATCCAGATCGTTCAGTGATTCTGGATCATCATATGTATCTGCAGAGTATGTGAGAATGCACTGTGATTGATTAATAATTAATTGGGAGTAGATTGATTAGTACTCGAGAGATGGACTACACTGCACCGTTGATGCAGCCCTTAGTTCCCTTCAATAGTTAGGACCAAGCCCTCGTGAGAGGCTGGAGAGCAGATATCTGTAGGATTCAAACCAATAATAATGGAATCGGTGTAATGATAATACTGATCATAACATGGGTTTCTTCTTCCCACATCCCGCCGTGGAGAACCGTGGAGAGCCAAATGTGGGGAGAAGCCGACGGACACCAGCGTTCTCGTTTCCTCACTTCCTGAGCCACTTGCCGAGCTCTTCCCGAACGCTTTCTCACTAAAACCCGTCCGCCTCTTCCTCGGAATGGGTCTCGCTCCAGTGATCAGAGCCTTATCCTTGATCTGGAATTGTCGATGCGGTGATAAGGTCATTGCAAGTGGCTATGGAAAACTGTGGTCGGCCCCTGTCCATGCTTTCCCCCGTGATACACAGTTTTTAACCCTCCGATTGCGCCTAAGAAATTCGTTCCTCTACTAACTATATTGAACGAACATTGAGTGTTAGTCACGACGAGGAGGGACAGACACGTTTGACCGCTTGCGCCGTGCCTATTTGTCCCTAGGTTGATTCCTACTGCTTCCCTCTCAATTTCCGTCCGCCGACCTCTTCGTTCGTCTGGTCGTCTGGTCGTCTGGTCTTCTGCTTCCAACGCTCTGTATCACTTGTCCATTCCTCCGCCCCATATATGGCGTGCAAATCTGCCCGTCATTGATTCCTCCTAGATGGACGAAAGTCCAGATCCAAAGGTCCCTCGACGGAAGAGGGTTTCACGGGCTTGCGATAGGTGTCGGAGCAAAAAGGTTAGCTCATTTTCCGTTCCAGTTCTGGTCCCTCTACGCATCAGCTGTTCCTGTCCCCCGATCTTTCATCTTCCTACATAGTCAAACGCGGGGGCTGTAACTGACCCCGTTTTTGGCATATAGGACAAATGCGATGGCCTTCGACCGTCTTGTTCCGCCTGCCGAGCCTCTGGCCAGACATGTTCGTACGATCCACATGCCAAGAAACGTGGTCTACCGGAGGGCTACGTTCGTGGTCTTGAGAAGCTTTGGGCTCTATCGATCTGCAATATAGATGGCTTCGAAGATACTATGCTGGCCCTTTTGGGCACAACACCTGACTCTGCTGGCCGGAGGGATAAACTTTTGAGCTTGTGGATGGACGATAGTGCTTCGGAAACGTTGCACGAGTCCTGGAAAACCAGTCGCCTCTACGGCACGTTGGAGAAAATGTTGTCGCACTCCGATATGTCTTCATCGCATGGTTCGAGCAAAAGGCCACGGGACGAAAGTGATACCGGCTCGTTAGATTCGACGAGCGGATGGGGTTTCAGACTTGATTGCAGTTCTACACCTTTGGCGCATGATGCGCCACGGGTGGTAGGACTTTCCTCTTCCCAAAATGTCAAGAGACGTCGATTGTCACAGTCGGGTGACGGCGTGTCGGTACCGCAAACCACTGGCAGAGTGCAGCCTCTGAAACTTCCTCCGCAAACATCGCAGCTGTTGGACACATATTTCGCCGTCACTCACTCCTGGTTCCCGATCGTGGCGAAGCATAATATTCTTCGAGCATCCTATCTTTACGCAAGCGCCCCTCTGTCTGTTGAGAGCATGTCACCTGGATCCGGTGACCACGCCGCACTGTGGGCAGTTCTTAGCTACACCGTTTCTCACTCGCAAACCAATGCACGGGATGGGGCTCTCGAGGCTCTCGCCACGACAAAGGAGTATTACACCATCGCTCGAGGCCTGATACCTTCCGAAACGGCGCGTTACGAGCTTGGGCATGTGCAGGCGCTTCTGTTGCTGACGTTGGTGAACATCGGGCTTGAAGATTGGACGGCCGCTTGGCTGCTAAGCGGTCAAGCGGTGCGCATGGCTATTTGCATGAATCTAGGTACACTTGCAGACATAAGGCGCTCCGACGAGCTGCGGCAAGGGAAAGCTGTTTTCCTCGGCTGCTTCGTCGTCGATTCTTTACTTTCCTTTCGAATAGCACGGAGACCTTGCATGCACCCTCGAGATCTGACTAGTGTCGGGTTGCTGGAAGAAGACGGCCTGGAAGAATGGAATTCGTGGGCTGACGTTCTGCCCTCCAAAGGAACAGCTCAGGGAAGGACACCTCGACGCGGCCCCCTTCTTGCCCTTAGCTGCTTCAACCGGTTGGTGGAGCTGGCTAGTGTTTTGAACAAAATAGCCCGTGACGCAGTCGGCGGGCCTAATGTTCATACGTTTGCGCAACAACTGGTGCTCGAACTGAAACAATGGGACGATCGTCTGCCCCTTGGATGCCGTCTCATTGGACCTGAGAGTATCTATCCTGAACGCCACTCGTCTCTACTCCCTCATCAGAGCTATCTAGGGTTGACGTATGTTGCTACACTATTATGGTTGTATTTGCGTATTGCTCCCCAGGAGCTCGATTTGCATCGCTCGCAGCGGCCAGCCATCGAAGGTGCGAAGAAACTTCTATTCCGCGCCCTGCCTATGATTACGCAACATCTGGAAAATTTTCCTACGTGCAGCCTTCCCCCTATCTTTGAGCTTTCTTTACGCACCATCGCCGAGCAAGCATCTGTTTTGCAGAGCAAGATGGAGTCTGACACGTTTCCTTTCACGCGATGGGCGGAAGCGTTAATTCAACGAACTGAGGAACTCGGTTCTGCATGGCCCCTCTACCGTTCACTGAACACAGCTATTGGAAAGTCGTATCGCCTCAGAAACGTGCCAGGACCTTCATTATCTTTCCAGCCGTCCTGTGAGGACAGTTTTTCAAGACACAGACATGCCTTGTCAAACACTGTATCCAAAATTGCCACTACAATGGGTGCAGGCCCAGGAACCGGAAATCCGCCAGACGGCAGCCGAACATACTCCAACATCCGAGGATTCCAGCCTGGTGCAGGCGATTCCGACTATACCTCCACTATACTCGGCATAAGCATCCCTGTAGACGCCCAATACATGACTCCCAAGGATACGACAATGGATACTAGCGACCTTTCCATGCTGGATATATCCTTTCAGCAACAAACGGGGGGCGACTCTTCGGTTTTTAGCAAGTCCAATTCAGCAAATGAGCTAGAAGCGACGCTGCTTCCAGCAGCTCAAAGTCAGCCTCACCCACCAACTCCGGATTCTTCGAGCTCTAACCCAACCATACATGGCAATGCCAACTTCAGTGACCGGTCCCAACAAGCAGGGCCAAATTCAATGAGGGACCTTGGTACATCTATCACCGATGGTCAGACCGCACCCAGTGATATTGACGCTATTTTCAAAGACCTTGCATATCTGGACACGACTGATTGGGCTACAAGTCGTGAGGCAGGCTTGAAGGATTTTGGGTTTCTAGACGACAGTACATTCCAGGCATTTTGTCATGATCCAGATCGTTTGGTCGGACCTCAGCCGCTGATTCACCCGCCGTCTATTGCCGACATCTGGCCTCCTCCGGGATTTTTCCCGGAGACCTTCCAAGAATCTACCGACGACATGGAAAGTTGAAGTTCACCAAGATTCCTCCTTCAATAAGCAACGGCGCCGCTCTGGGAGTTTGCGCATCAATCTTGAACGAAGTTACACATTACGAGGCTCCTTTCCTTGACTCCGCTGCCTTGGTGTTATCATGCCGGGGGAATGCCCGACGCGCATGAGAATCCTTGAAGTTGGAAGCGATTCGTGTTTACGTGATACCCAAATGTGAGCAACAATGCTACGATATTTCCTAAGTCTTCATAAGGAGCTAATCGATTGATTGTATAGTTGAATCCTCCGAACATTTATACATAGTCATCAGATAAACGCTCTCTCTGTGACGGCTACAACGTGACGTCTCATTTCATATATCAGGGGGTGTCAATATTTTGCTAGTACGCTTAGTCAAGGAAACCCGGTTGACTATGTATGATGCTTTCATGAATCTTGAATGGTCTGTTCCAAGAAGGCAAAAACCAGCGATGACATCAATATACGACGGCAAATAACCTTTAGCAGCAGCAACCCCTGCAGCCGACAGCTCAACAGCTCAATGTTCTTCCGCAGCGGACTGACGGGCTTGTTCAACGTTGGCACAATATTGGACTCGGAGAAGCGCCTCCCTTGTATACTTGACAGTAAAGACCTCAGAAAGTGTCCTCCCAACGAGAATCGAGACTTACGTTTCATGAGCGTACGGCTGTAGAAGACAATTTTCGATCCAGATCATCCAATGTGATATCGCGATATCTGTTAGTCGTTGATTACTGAAGCTCGTCTGATGCTATGTATGACTGGTAGCTCGGCCCTGGAACTGTAATGGAATTGTAAATAGAATGGCTACAAGATGTTGGTCAGCCAAACCATCATGGAAGACTTCGGCCAAAACCCCCGCCCTCCAATGATGGCTGTGGAGGATCGAGGCATTTGTGCATGGGTGGCACATTTCCCCGTTGATATGGCTCAGATGTCTTGGGACTCTCATTCGAATAAGCGGTATTAGAGATGTAAGCATGATTCTCTCTATCTTCAAGACGAGGGGAAATCACAAAGACATTATACTATCGTTATCATGTTCGTATTCGTCGTGAGTTAACGTAGACACAAAGAGCCACCAGAAGCCCTCTCACACCGCAGTCTTTCGATATTCAAAGCAAAACATCCAGGTATATAATAAATGATGAAACCAACCAGAAGTATGGAAAAATGCCTCCGAACGCCACAAAGAATGCAAAGCTCTATTGACATATATGCTGGGTATAAGTAATTCGGGTCAGTATCTGACGATGCCCATGCAGCTGAATGGGCTCAAGGCATGCTCCAGTATGCCCATGCTAGAATGTCACCTTCGCCATCCAACGTTCCATATCACATGGGCAATGTCTCTGGCTGTGTTAACAGTATCAACAACCTTATCAAATATGCTGACATTCGAGGTCTCTTCTTCATCCAGAAATTTACTCAAACTGGAGTTCGAACGCTGGTGTCGGTGATCTTCTTCTTCATCTTCAGGATTCACAAACCAAGGCTGATTCCCGTCTGTGACGCCTTGGCTCTGGCTCGGCTGCCAGCAGAAATCCAGTTGGTCATCTTCGCCGTCCAAAAAGAAACTGAACGCCGGATCAGACGGTACGGAAGATGTAGACGCGACAGTCGATTTCGAAAAGTATCCTGTCCATCGCCCTATCATCGAGCCTGATGGCGGTTCTGGCGTGTCTCCTCGACACTTGAGGGTTGTTGGGGGAGCGGAGCGATTATTTTGTTCTCGCTACTGAAGCTGCCACGCGGCGTACTTTTATGGCTCCCAGACTCTTGTGGCGGGAGCTGTCCCATCATGACGATACCCTCGTCCGACAAAACATCGTCTTGTGAACCTACCGGCCACTCCTGCTCCTCCTCCTCCTCCTCCTCGTCGTCGTCGTCGTCGTCACCATCGGCACCCTTGGCGTCGATAGCTATGCATTGCACTACCTCATTATTGAAATGAATACGGCGCCTCCCGCTAGGAGAGGCCACCCCAGACGACTCTTTGGTAGAGGCATAACTGAGCGGAACATCTGGAAGGTTGGCTGACGACGTATTCAGACGAGGTTCAAGTTCGGGTCTTGAGACAGAAGGCCGAGTCCGATAAGAAGCAGCCTCTTGCGCCTTTAGGATAGCGCCTGCGTGTTGCAGGAGGGTGTGCTGAGACAGCGATCGTTGCAAGATAGTCTCCGACACCGTCCTTTTCTTCAAGATCGGCTTCCTGTCCGCATACAACGAGGGGGTTTCGAGGCAGCTCGGCGGCGGGGAGATACTCGGCGACGCTTTTGTAAACTTGGTGCAGGACTTCAACGGACCATACAGCCATGTTACATCGCAATCTTTCAACCTGGTGAAACATGTTAGAATACATAGACACAACTTTAATGTCAGATTTTGCCGGGGTTATGGAATGCGAGACCATGCAGCACTGACCAATTGAGGGTCTCGGGCGACACCGTTCCCAAGTTATTCTTCAGTTTCGCCCAAGTCCGCCAAGAGGCATTCTCTAATCTCGCGCCATTGCTGTAAACGTCTCTGCGGCAAACGACATATTTCCAAGAAGCCCAAATATCTTCCTCTTTCCACTCATGGGAGAGATAATCGACATGCCTGGTCGGCTCCTCTTCAACCGAAGTATCATCAGCGGCCGGTGTATGTACATGCAAACAAGGGGGGTCCGTGAGAAATGACTCCGATGCCTGATCCGAGGCAACAATTGATACAGGCTCGTCCAAGTCGTTGAAGTGGCTCGAATCATATGAAGGTAGTATGATCTCGTCGTCGCTATCGTTGCTCGCGGAGAGAGACAAACTGCTAAGAGTTGCTGGAGTAGGAGGTAGCTGCTCCTCGGTTGTCGGTGCGAAGTGAGGTGAGGGAGGAACCGAGGACGGGGCAGACGAAGTGATCGGACTGGGACAATCTCGCTGAGAGTAATGGTGTAGGGGATTTTTGAACATGGCGATATCAGGTGAATCCAGGTAATAAGTTTGGGCCATGGCGCGTCGCTGGAGGTTCAGAGGAGACTGAGAGAGCTTTTCCCGCGAGACAGGTAGCACAGCAATCATCGTACTGAGGGTGGAGAGATCACAGTCGTCAAAGGACTCTGGAAATGAAGACAAACTTGTGGAAGTGGGATGACAACTTTATTAAGTGATTCGATACAACTGAACAAGAGAGAAAGTCTGGTAGGGAAAAAGTAAAAATGTAGAAAGGCAAAGAGAAAAGAGAAAAGAGAAAATTATTCAATTGTGGACGATCCGAGGAAGCAACTCAGATTTGAAGCATATGCGAAGGAGGAACTTATAGATCGGAGAGGATGATCGATCATGAGATTATGAGAGTTTCTGTAAACTCGAGGGACAACTAAGATGGGGAGATACTTTGAGTGTTTTGATGTTAACAGCGTCAAAGTCCTTAGGTTCTCATCCTTCTATCCTTCGTGCCTCGCCTTCTTCAAACGAGAGCCTGGAATCCATCAGTGGGCACCGGGCAGGGGTCAAAGACGGATGAGTTTAGTTAGTACGGAGTACAAGAGTAAGGTAAGGTAGTTATCGATAGGAAGTGGCGGTTTTCTTTTTTCGAAAAAGACAAAACAAGGAAGAGGTCATGGCGGAGGAAGTGGAGATGCTAATGTCTATTTGCAGTTTGCATGGTCCTTAGTCCCCTCTTTTCTATCTGTTTTGAGTTCGGTTTCGGAGTCTCGGACAATAATTAAGAGTTTTGATTTCAGCTTGAGTACCGAGTGTAGATACGACGGGTGGGGTACTAGAAGGAGGTTGATACCAGAGATAGATAGTTGATGGAACTGCTGAGCGGGTCGCCTTGACTCTCTTGAGACAATAACTAACGAGGACAAAGGTACCCGAAGGTAGATGGATGTGTACGTCAGGATGGCAGTACCATGGGTAAGAGACGCGACTACGCCATGAGCCTTTGATACTAAGGTACGGAGTGCGTACATCTGTTATCTACCTAGTTTGCACGATAATAACATTATGTCAATAGCACTCCGGCGCTGGAATCTACCTTAGGCAGGCTGAACGTTTAACAAAAGCCACCACCATACCTCCATAACCAGTCAAGTCTCATCATGATAGGTACCTACCTTAGTTAAGTGGGGAAAGGCCGGCAGGTTTCATGATCTCATTGGGCGACCGTTGTCTTTCTTAGGTAATCTTGGTGGCTTGCCAGAACTTTCATCTACTGCGTATGTCCAAGTGGGGTTGTCCATCAGTTCGTAAGAGCTCCAGACCCAAGGAGTCAAGCACTGGCGGGTCGAGATTCATGATAGCCATGGAGGCGGCCGCTGGGCAAGTCCTATTCTAGATAACAGATTACTATTTGGCGCTAAGTGAACTTAGAAGTGAATCTAAAGGTACCCAGGTGGATAGTCCGTAGTGGCTCGCTGTTGGTCAACAAACTGCTCTGTGTACTCCGTAAAATATAACACGGACCCCCCCATGGGGAGCGAAGGTAAAACAATGCGCAAAACGGTTCTGGAGAAGGGCCTTATTATCTATGATCTATCTACCTACTCTTGACTCCTGGAGTGGACGCTGAATCCCATTGTCGCTGATGAAATTAGATAGTCCGATCTAGCCGGGGTGCAGCCTTGAAGTAATGCTACCTAGGTTTAGATCTAAGTGTGAATAACAACAGAGGGGTTGTCACAGCAGTCATGATGATATTGATCCACTACACAACGGTTTCTAGTTTCCTGACGTGCTAGTACAGTTATCGTAGCTCCGGACGTCAAAGTGAAGCCGAAAATGGTGTCGATCGGCGAAAGTAGACGCACTTCCATCTGTGATCGGCTACCAAAGTTACGGCTTGAGTAGCGTCTGTACTCTGTACTTTGTAGTGCACAGAGTAAATACGATGATTCGCCGGAATGGTGCTGCCGGAGTATGACGGGACATTTCCCGCGAGACGCCAAGGAGATAGATACTCTCATACAAATAGACGTAGTAGTAGTAGGTCCTTATACTTACTTAGACATTGTTAACTTTGCCTCTATATAGAAGGGTACTGATTCGTCTAGGGATGAATGGCCATGGAGGTACGGCACAGGCAAGTGGACTCTGGAACTAAAGTCGAAATGAAATACCTTCGGAGACTGAGCGACAGATAACGCAACTTGAACCATATCTGCTGCATGAAATTAGACCGGAAATCCTAGCTATCCAATGGTCGGTTTGCATTGGAGAGCATGGTGGGAAGCCCTGCAGGAGGTCTATCTGTCTTTGTACGAAGTCAGTAGACTGGAATCTCCTCCCTACGCAATATGCAAATGTCACTTCATCTCCTCTCCCCTGTCTGGTCTATCGGATTCTATCGGAGCCATCAAATGCTGTTTCCCGCGCCTTTCTAGAGAAAGTTTGCTGAATCGTGAGTTATGCCGTTAACAGGCACCTTGCACATCTCTTCCATCCTCAATGGGCTGTCATGTCCTATGTTGTCTGTCTTGTCCAACTGTCCGTAGCGCGGCGCCACTAGTTTGGTGATCGGGGCTTTCTTGTGCCACACCCGGGTAGAAGGATCTGTGCACACCCTCGGCCACGATGCAGCATGCCATAGATGCGTCTCGGTGCAATAATGATAGCATCACAACAGACGGAAGCATTTGATACGGCGGATTGCAGCTCCAAGCTATGCGCAGCTAGATTCTGTCAGGCTGTCAGTTCCCGATTGCCAAAGTCTAAACAGAGGACGATTGGCCCTATTACATCTAGCCTACCAATTGGCTTGGTTATTGGCAGGTCAGCAATTATTGATTATTTACGAGAACCTTAAAGAATTGGGGTAGTTGAAAGGGGAGCCCGGTGACAGCAGGCCAATCTGTTTTGTCGTACCTATATCTGAGATGTCTAGATGGAGATCCGGCCTTCCATCGAGAATCGTCTAGATCTCTTATCAGCACTGCAATGGCAATTTTGGATGTGTATTATTATTGGGAATTCTATATCAGTTCTAGAGCTTTTGGTTGTCTTCTGAGCGCTATCTTAGCACCGTGGTAAAGGAGTAACGCGCATGGATACCATGAAGCGATTCGTCAATCATCACCTCCATTGCGTTGGCGGAGACGTCATGACTATCTTAGTTTCACAACTTGCGCCTCGCCGTAATCATCCCTGTTCTATTTCGCTAGACTCAATTCAGGCCTGATGAAAATAATTTTTCAGGAATCAGAGTACCACAGAGCAGCAACTCATTATTATCCTTATCTGACCTGCTCTTGTTCTAGCTCCTTGCGAGAAAAGTCTTCAATGGGTAAATTAAACCATTAGTTAAGGTAGTCTGCTTATTCGTCCCGAATTACTATGGTAGGAATTTTTATCTTTACGATTTACCATGGGTGCTGTAGCAGAACTCCGTATATGATTCAACGAAGCAACTCAATGCATACCAACCTACTTACCATGACTCCAGGAGTGAGCGCCTGTGCTCCTGCATAACATCCAGACCAACTTCCGCCCACAATTGTTGCGTGCGTGGGGTCGTCCATTGGTTGTTATGCTGCCATATCTGCCTATGGAGTACCTTCCTATCCGAAAAGTAACGCCAGCGTTGGTCACTGCAAGGGTTCAAGCGTGCGTGCGTGGGGTCGTCCATTGGTTGTTATGCTGCCATATCTACCTATGGAGTACCTTCCTATCCGAAAAGTAACGCCAGCGTTGGTCACTGCAAGGGTTCAGGCGCGCGGGGGTACATTACTAGATTACTGTGGCAATGGACACTGCAGACTCCTCACTTGATGAACTTACAGAATTGCACAGGGGGGGGTGGACATATAGACTGAAATCCTGGAAGTAGCAGAACAGCAACAAGACCTGCAATAGACTCGGGTCTCATATGTTGAATTAGTCGAATACTCCGATGCGCGAATCACTTCGTCGGCTAGATAGTACTTGTCCCAGAGCAGACTATTATATTGGTGTCACATGACCATAGCTCAGGCAAGTGTCTAGCTACTAGCGGTTAGGCTCGATGGCCCCGCGCTTCGTTGTATCAATATCAGGTTGTTCTGTACACCTATCGCCTCAGCTTAGATATCAGAAACTTATATCAAGATGGCTGAAGTAGCGCAAAATTCTCCTGCCGAGGTTCAGGCCAAACAAGTTGTTTATTGTGGTGGTAAGTCCCATGGCCCTCAATCCGATGCGAATATCCCTGCTCGGTACATTTCCTATAATTGCAAAACTAAATCTCGCAATTCCAGTCTGCACACTTCCTCCAGAGGTACGGGCATTTAGCCTTCCTGTTAGCACGTCCACCCGAATTTCCTTCGTTCGCCGTATCGAAGCAGGGCGCGGGCAGCAGTAATCAAGATAATTGCAGCGTATTAACTCGAAAGTGTTCCAGTACTGTGAATTCGGCGGTACCGCAAAGAAGTGCGAAGAATGGTTGAAGGATAATCATGCAGATTTATATCAGCGGCTGTACTCGGAAGGTATGCTTGCCCATCTTTTTCGCCTATCTCCAGCAGTGAGATGCCAACTGAGATTCTTGGTGTAGAAGCCCTTAGCTCCAATCTGTCCGAGCTGTCAGTATCCGTTCGGGAGCGTGCAGCCAAAGATGCCGCCAAGAAGGAAGCGAAAGCTGCTGCTGCTGAAGCACGCGACGCCGAGCGGAAGGCAGCGGCCAAGGTTCAGATCAAGCGTGTTGAGCGCAACAAACGCAAACATGTCACCGTTATCACAGGGCTGGAAGTACATGGTTTGGAAAACAAGAAAGTCGCAAAGGAACTGGGAAAGAAATTCGCTACTGGTTCCTCGGTAACGAAGTCACCCGCAGGGGTCGAGGAAATCACAGTGCAAGGTGACGTTAGTGAGGACGTTCAAGAGTGGCTTCTGGAAGTATATGGGAAGGAAATTCCTGAATCCAACATCGAGCTTGTCGAGGATAAGAAGAAGAAGACAAGTGGCTGAAACGATGACCTTGCGAAGCCGCACGTTCAATTCTGGGAGCTTTTCTCCCCACATGTTGAGTATCCTGACAATATGAATTCAAAACGACAATATGAGAGTGTGACGCATGATGACCCCGAGCAAGAACATCTGTCGCTGGCTGGCATGATCTTCCATCAAAGTTCATCAAGTTTTCTTAGGGGATCCGAGCTAGCACGAGTTGTCATTGCATTGAATGTTGGAGAGGTCGGTGTAGGGGCCGAATGGGACTTCCGATAACATCCCGGACGAGACTCGCTACCGGAGTGATATCGAGACCATACTTCGCCAGAAGCTGGCTCCGGTAGTTGGATGGATAGTGCAGAAGCGCGTCTGTCCCCCATTTCAACGGGTACAGGACTTTCAAATCCTGGAACACAGATTGCCGAGGATTTCTGGCTGATGAGAACGACCAAGAAAACCAGTACGCTAAGAGCAACAACAACCCAGAAGATTCGAAGCCGTCGACCAACTCGTTTCTGCCATTCCACCTCCCTTTTCTCCCAGAGATCGATTTGGTTACGGATTGCTTCTAGTCTCTTCCCAAGTGCGTCGGCTTTCTTTTTCCCTGATCGCATACGCTCTTCTAGCCTTTCTACTTTTCGCATCTGGGGCTGAAAATCCTTCAGGTCTCCAATTTGTCTCCGAATATCTCCATCCAACACAGATGTCTCCCGCTCAAAGTCATCAAATATGGTTGATGCGGAATCGGAGAGTTCCTGAAAAGATGCAAATGTTGAAGTGAGAGCAGCGATCTTCTCAAGCAGACTGTAGTATGTATAATCCAATCTGCGTGTAATATCTGTTGCGAGAGTGCCGATCGTAGACAGGGCGGATCGTAAGTGCCTAAGCCATTTGCTGGAGTCAGATAGTTTGTCGATAGACGTTGGGAACGACCTTACTCCTCTCCTTGTTGTCTTCTAGACTTCACGAGCTCTAGATCGTTCAATGAGCGTACATCGTGTGCCATCAGGAAATCAGTCCTCTGGTTGTTATGTTTCCCATCAAGTAAAGTGCCTTTTCCATTTCCAAACACCAAGCCCGTGGTGGAGTCTGATCCCCAACGCGATCGAATTGTCTCGCGCGTCCTCGGCTTGAGCAGTTTATCATCAGCCTCGCATAACCCTTGCTCTCCTGTCCACATTGGCAACGAGCCTTTGGCATCAGCAGGAGTGACGGAGCGATTCATTGTTGGCAGGAAAGCGCTGTCATGAGACTAAGGTAGCTGTATTTGTCTTTATCGCTATTTCAGCCGGCTGATGGGTCTCGACGGCTGGACGATCGTGCGCGCGATTACCTCGAAACTCATTGAACCAGTAGACCATAAAAATTGGGCCAAGTTCATTGTACTTTGGAAGCCCTTCTGTACTGACAACTGTCTTATGTCCGCTGCAGCGAAGCAGATGTTGTCACCGAGTAGGTGGGTCTTGAACCCGCGTCTGTCGGACGGAGAGTACCAGACATCCATTTTGTTTGGGTAAGCCGCGACGGCCCCATCTGTACAGATCAATGGGCACCCTTCGTCGAACCTATTACTCTTCTTTGAAACATAGCCGCACATCCTTCAGGTTCCCAGAATCAGAATATTTAGATTTGCGCTGTATACTCTCTAGGGCTTAATAACCACACCTCCTCAATGACATAGCTGCACCATGCGAGATCTGGTCCTGATCAATATCTTCAGCTCTAATCGAGCAAGTGTCTTGAGAAGCCATCAAAAAGATGGAATTGTGGATTATGAGAATGTCATTTTGATCCATGAACTATATTCACCGAGATATTCTTCCGTCGAAACATTGCATGTCATACAAATCAAGTCAGGAAGAGACTGAAACAATCAAAAACCAACCCAACTCCTGCATCGCCGCCAATTTCTCGAGTAATGCAATAACTGAAGAACTGAAGGACCGAGGGAAAAGAAAAGAACCTGGTATCTGCCGCGAATGTGAATGGGTACAGCGGTGCATCGGGATGCGGACACTGCGTGTAGGAGGAAGATAATTCATGACAGGCACTGAAGCAACAGCGGAGAGAGATTCTTCTGCTGTCACGAGTGGAGTAACTTATTACGCTTCTCCCTTCGCTTCAGCCGCTCAACACGTTTGCGATGCATTTTCTCTGCCATTTTCTCGTAGCGTTCCTTTTCTTCCTTGGCAGCTCTCCGATCCTTGATCTTTTGTATTTGGGCCTGACCAGTATCGTCAGCAACGGAGAAAGTCCATGAAGAGCTTTTGCGTCTTCTCCCTACCTTCCGCTCAGCCTCTTTTTCGTCCCTCAGCTCACGTTCGTGTTCCTTAACTGCGTCCTGACGCTTGCGTGTTTCCAACCTTTTCTCATAGCTTGTCAGGCCCGAAGTGGGACGAAATGGTTTCTTGGAATCGTGCCAGTTTTTGCCTGTGGAAACGGATAGTCTATCAGCTGGAGCAGCTCGAGACGAAGCAGAACAGCTGAAAACTCCTCAAAGGCAGTACAGTAATGTAAGAGACGAAGGGGATAAGATTGTACCATTTTTTCTGATACCCTTGACGGGGTTGACAGATGAGGTTGGGATTGCCGACGACATTGTCAGCAGAATTATGAAGAAACTATGGAAGGACGGGTTTGCAACAAAATGAGGAGAATACCTGGCCCTGTTCTGAGAAGGAAAATGGGCTACGGCAGTACGGAGCAGAGTACGAAACAGTTGTAGTGGTGGCACTACCTTAATAAAACTACGATCTCTCAGTGACCAATTTTTATTAGCGGCTCGCAAATTTTTAGGAAAAAGTTATCTTAGACGGATCAGATAACCGGATCTCGGCTGAAGTGGTGGTCCGATCCCCTCCATTGGCGCCCGAAAAAGAAATGCCTCAATCAAACCTCCCTCATTCCACCTCCCGTTCGCGAGATTTACGGTCGCAATAGAGCGCCACAGGCACAAGTCTCCACCACAGTCTCTGAATCAATCATGTGCATTGGCCTTTGAGGCCTATTCCCACTCATAAGCGATGCGCACCTAGCGGCTTCACCGAGTGTTGATCGGGCACAGAAGATAATTCGAAATCAATCCAATCCTTATACACCGCCCCTCCCGTTCCTTCTCCTCTGGAAAATCGGACTTATACAATGCTTCACCAATAGGTCTTACACCGCATCCCTTCGCTTTTTCTATCTCTTTCGCGGCTTGTTGTCTTCCATCACCTGCACTTCAGAGCTCAACAGCTCGTTCCCTGAACCTTAATGGCGGCCGCAGAACATGTGCTTGCAATCAATAATGAGAAATCAATGGAGCTGCCTGTCCTGCCGCCTAACCAAGGTTTCGAGGCGTTCAAAGACATAATATTTGGATCTGTAAGCGCTTGGCTTCTTCACGTCTAACCGATTATCGCTCACACTCGAATTCATCTAGGCAGCTGGAATGGCTGGCAAGGTCATTGAATATCCTTTCGACACTGTGAAAGTGCGACTTCAATCACAACCAGCTCATATTCCACTTCGGTACCAAGGCCCTTTGGACTGCTTCCGCCAATCAATTCAGGCGGATGGTCTACGAGGGCTCTACCGAGGCATTAGTGCTCCAATGGCAGGTGCTGCCATAGAGAATAGCTGCCTCTTTTTCAGCTACCGCATCATTCAGGATATTCTAAGGTCCACCTGCTACCCTACCGCGGACTCTATGCCTTTCTCAGCTCTTTTGTTCAGTGGTGCTGCTTCCGGGTCTATCACCTCGCTTGCACTTACCCCGATTGAGCTCGTCAAATGCAAAATGCAGGTACCACTTGAAGCTTCTAGCAGCAAGATGCCCGGGCCATTGACTCTCGTCGCCGTTATATTTCGTCAGGACGGTATTCTTGGTTTTTGGAGGGGCCAGATGGGAACGTTGATTCGTGAGACCGGAGGAGGAGCTGCCTGGTTTGGAGGTTATGAAGGAGTATCGGCTTTCTTTCGAAAATACCATTCAACAGCGTCGCCTCGCGACTCTGAATCACTTCCAATCTATCAACAAATGATCGCAGGGGCCGCAGCGGGTATAAGCTACAATTTCCTGTTCTATCCGGCTGATACAGTCAAATCACGGATGCAAACCGAGGACATCAATGGTCCCGGAAATCGTGGTCAAAGGCAAACATTCTGGAGTGTTGGTAGAGCTTTATGGAAGCAGCAGGGGCTGAGGGCATTGTATCGAGGCTGCGGTATTACATGTGCTCGTTCTGCGCCCAGCTCAGCGTTCATCTTCACCATATACGAAGGGCTGCGGAATTATTTCTCATGAGCATAATTGTTTATTACTTGCCGGTGTCTTCCCATTGACTCTCGCTTCCTCTCCCCCGGCCCCCACCTCCTTCCTCTAGCTTGCTCGCGTTTATGATACCTCACTTGATGTATAGATCTTCTGTCTTCTTCTGCTTTACGGCAGTCAAACAACTGGGCCAATCTGGTATTGGCATCTTTACAAAAGGAATCTTGTTTTTCATTCTGAATTGTGGCACAAATACCCACGATGTTAAACTCAGGGCTGGGAAACCATATACATAGATCAAAGCATAGAAAGGAATATCATTGTGTAGATTGGTTAACTGCTCTTGAGCTTCTCCGTGGATACGCTTATGCAAATTTTGGTCAATATAACGGTTTACCTTGTTTCCCCTTCCTATAGGACTTTCCTCCTTTTTTCAGAAGGCGGGGTAGAAATTGGGAACAGCTCGCTGCGGAACCGCCACTGGAGACCTTGCACCTCACTTGCGACTACAATCTAGATAGCGTGTCCATCAAAGCTCTTTTGTTCCTCTATAAGTGCGCTTGCCTACTTTATTAACCATGGCAACACTGTCAGGTCTTACAATGCAAGAACTAGAGACACTCTCGTCCAAGGCCATCGCTGCAAAGGCCAATGCTTATTGTATGTTCCACAACAAACATCATTCCTCAATCACATGGAGGGGAACCCTTTCTTTACCACCTGCGTATGGGGACAAGTTTTGAAATTGAGCAGGTCCATATTCCAAATTCCGCGTTGGCGCATGTGTTCTCACTAAGACAGGCGAGTATATTGCTGGTGCCAATGTCGAGAATGTCGCATATCCTGTTGGGACCTGTGCGGAAAGGGTAGCTTTTGGTACCGCGGTCGTAAGTACTTGATATGATGTCTCCTTGTCCACATGTCTTCTTAGGGTCAATGCGTGCGGTTGCCCTCGAAACTTCGTGAGAAGAGCAGTCTCATATGGACCGATGTTATACAGGCCGCCGGACACCAAGACTTCAAGGCTGTTGCAGTCGCTACTGATATCACACCTGGCGCATCGCCATGTGGTATGTGCAGGCAATTGTAAGTGCTACCGGACCAGACCTAGATCTAAATTTATGGATTTGGCCTTCACCTCGGCCTGGTTCTATTAGTGGCATTGATCTAAATATGCATTCTTTTCATATTTGGTTGGCCTTAGTCGGTTTTCGAAGGCAATTCAATGCAACCCGCTAATCTTCTTACTTTCCTATCTTAGCATGCGCGAATTTACACCCCCATCGTTTCCTGTTTTCATGTATGACGGGCAGGGAAACTATGCTGTGAGGACAATGGGAGAGGTAAGCAGTTCTTTCATTGCCGACTCTTTCTTCCACATTGCTGCTTGTTTGCGTATAGTTGGGAACTGTTCTGATTGACCCTGTCACTTTAGCTTCTGCCAGACTCATTCGGACCAGATGACTTGCCTCGCTAGGCCTGTGGGACTTGCCAAGCAATGCATATCAGTCAGATATCTAGATGCATTTTTGTCTCCCATGAATGGGGCTCATGGCAATGGTCTGACATAACTAAACCTTCATTCAAAATACAAATATTGGGTTGGGTCTCATTACGCGAAGGCATTCGCCGCACCATACAAATTAATCAACAATGATCAGCAGCCTATATCATAGCACTGAGAAACTCCCAGACAAGACCTTCAATAGAATACAGTATTCAGGTGAAGCAACATTTCATTCTATTCAATTACCAATATGTCGATATCTTGAAGACTCTTGAAAATTGTAACAAGGGCTTAAACCGGCATAGGGTACATGTCAAGGAAACATCAGAGTAATCTCACAACCTCATCACCTTCGGCAGTAGCAAACACAAGCTTGATTAGAGCTCGTCGTCTTCATCAATCTCGGCGTCATCCACGCCCAAAAGCTCATCTTCATCTTCGACGACACTGGTATAGTCGCCTCTTCGGGCCGCAAACGAGCCCCTCGATGCGTAAGGCCTTGAATAAGCCCTGCTGCGCCCAAGGCGCACATAACCGCTGGCGCTGCGCCACAAACTCATGGCAAGAAGAGGAAGTGCTCTGACAACAGCCACAATACCCGCAATAACCGCGATTGGCACAGTGACTATAGGTGACTCTCGCGAGAGTAAGCCCTCGTAGGTACCAGCATTCTCTCCAAGGCGAATCTGGCCAAATTTGCCATCCCACTTGGCGTACACGTAATACCCAACACCAGCTGCTGCCACAATGGGTATCATTATCGCAAAGAATAAGCCAGTTCCACTTATACCATGCTTCTTCTCATACTCCTTTTCTTTGCTTGGACATGGCTTTGAAACAACATGGTCTAAAATCAACCCGCCCGCGCACGTCGTTTGTGGAATCCGTCTGTACGCTGTGGGCTCCCAGTATTCGACCCTATCAGGATCTTCCCTACACACGGCTAATGCGTCAGGTTTGGGAAGGCCGGGTACTAGTGCACAACTACCATCATTCTGGGGCTCATAGTTGTAATTACTGTAATAGCGGTCAGATATGCCAATAACAAAATCAAGAGAAGAAGCTCACCATTCATAGTCAGCTCTTGTGCAGGTGCAGTTCTTTCCGATACTGTGGACATGAGGTTCGCGCCAATTGTTCCAGCACTGAGAGGACGGCTTCTTGCGGTGGTACTGTTCTACATGGCCGAATAGACAATTATCTTCCTGGAAGGGGTGCTTGGGTTCCCAGAGGTAATAATCGTCACTTTCTTGACGATTTTCGACCAAGTTGCATGACTTCTTCCGGAGACCACTGAAGTCAACGTTAATCGTGGCAAGTCTATTGGATTCCACTTCTTTTCCCCAGAGAAGAAAATTCTTGGAAGTGTCGGAGGGAACGGTAGACAGTCGAAAAATATGCATCTCGACTTCCGAAAATTCATAGGGTTCCCAATTGTCGCCCTCATCAAGACTATAATAGAGGACTTTTGTTGATCGCAACTCGGGAACAATCACAATCACTGAGCCGGAGTCGCCATACTCCCACATATATCGCCCTTTTTTTACGGACTTCCAGGTTATCCCGCCATCCCGAGTCATGAATGTGTCCGCTTCGTCCTTGCCAGACAGATGAGCACCAACGTTGCCTATCCCCATCATGAGGCCGATGGCAGACCCTGAAGAGAATGTGTCGCGCGGATCTCGGCGTTCGGTGTAGCCATGCAGATGAAGCGAGCATTGATCACTGCCTTTCCCATCTTTGACTGAACAACCAAAGTTTTTGCCATCGGCGTCTTTTGCTGGAGGAGGGAGTAACATCCATTGGCCACCATCATTGTGAGTGATCATCGTTTTTAACTTCTTTGCGGTTGGTCCCTTCTTCAATACGGTCTCCACATTGCTGATGATGTTCACAACCGCTACTCCTTCTAGACCTTGCATCTTCTCAAAGTCAACGTAGCCCCATTCATTCCTGCTCGCCGCGTTGAGGCTAAGGACATAGGATGTCCCATTACTGTTGCTCTTGATAATTGAGCCATACTCAGCTCCTTTGACGTCACTCACGGTGACATGCAGAAAAACGGCATGAGTCGAGCTATCCAGAACAGTAAAAGCCGTTTTGACGGGTACATCAACATTTGGAGGAAACTCAGCTCGCGCAAATGTCCTGCCATCGATGCTGATGCTGGCAATTAATGAACCAGGATTGTGGGGGTCCCGTGAGGCTACAATTATGTATTCAGACATTGTAGCGTACCGGATCGCATCGTTGAAATGAAGGTGGCTGTCAGAGAAGAGGTTTTCGCTAGAGAGCAGCTGTAGGTGGTTTTTCTTGTTCTCACTCTCATATTGCTGGCAAAATATAAGCTTTTCACTGCCCGGTCTGTTCTCGCGGCTCTCGAATTCACATTTTCCAACGTAGCGGAGGAGAAGATCCCAATTCTCCCCCCGATTCTTGCTAAAGTAAGCATCGGAGTGGCAATCGCCGTGACCGCAGTCAACTGCGCCGGTCCAAATCAACCAGTCCTTGTACTGGGGGTGAAAAGAAAGGACCGGCAGGCCTTCCTGATTGGGTGGGATCGGTGCTTCGAAGGATTTGAAGGTATAGGCACGATCGACGGTCCAGAAAGCCTGTTTGTCGCGAGTAAGAAGAAACGCCCCATCACTGTAGTATGGATGAGGGACAATGGCGGCAATCTTCACGCCCTTAAGAGGTTGTTCCCAATTTTTTCCGTGATCATGAGAAACCCAAAATTCACCCTCGCTAGTAAGCATTATGACGGTCTCATCATCTCCACTGCTGCTTGCTTGACGTTCAAGGTAATAATATTGCTCACTAAATTGTCTCGCGTCATTAAACACCTGCTTCTGTGCCATCAGTTTGTCGTGTGAAGGCGCGCCAACTACATCCTTGCAAGGCCGCTCGACGTCTTTATCGAGGTTCTCACCGCCCTCCCGAGTGCAAGTGTTTCCTGGAATAAGCCTCCAGCCTGACGGTCCGATGAACGTATCGGTCTGCTTCTGGCACTTGCCTACGGGGGCACTAGCGGGGCTGCAGGGACACAGCTCTTTCCATCTTCACTGCGCACAAAGTTGAAGTCGCACTCGAAATCTTCAAAGGAGCATTTGCATGGTTCGAAAATGGGCTGCGGATCTTTGAATTCCTCATCCACAAAACAGTCAGCGTTGGCCTTCCTTCGGTTGAAAAATTGCTGGTGTCCCATCAAGCAGTCGGGTTCACCGTTTTCGTTCAACCTTGCCGCCCACTTTTCGAAATCGTCTTTCTCACACTTTCTTTCATGAAGACCGCTGAAGTCGATGGAGTAAACAACATGTTTTGTTCCCGAACTTTCCTCTGAGCCAACAAGAAGGAAAGTCAAGCTGGTAGAATCGGGCGTCGTTGTCAGCAATTTGGGGTAAATCTTATGATGAAGTTTGGTAGAATGCCACTCCTTCCCATGATCAATCGAGAACTGAATTTCGTCTGTAGTTCCCTTGTCACTGACAGCCATTATCACCGAACCCTGATCACCGAACTCGTACTTGAATGGACCGTCAAGCGCATGGCGCCAAGTCACACCAGCATCATCTGAGACATAAAGGCTACCTTCCGAGTATTTTTTGAGGTGGTCGCCTGTGTTACCAACACCCATCACCAGGCCCGGAGCGGGACTTGAGAAAACACGGCCTGTGTTGGCGAAAGTGGTCACGGAATGGAGATGCAACTGCTTGTCGCCAACTTTGAGGGACTGGAAAGTCCGTCCATCATCAAAACTAATTGAGCTAACAACCTTCTTCTCATTTTCCGATTCAACCTTGTCCCAGTTCTTCACTGTATTGACCAGCACAATACCTTGGATATCTGCTATCTTCTCAAAATCCACGTGACCGAAGCGATCACGATTTGTATGTTCGACATTACGCGTGAAATAGGTACCGTTAGAGTTCGAGGTGAATAGTATGCCGGTGTTGCTAGAGGGGCTAGTCAGGACGTCCACTTGCATGCTATAGTTCGTGCTTTCCAGCAGTGTATAACCGTCTTGTTCCACTCGATGACCTCCAAAGTCTGCCCGATGCCAGGCCTTGGTATCTAGCGTGACATAAAGAGCCAGCTCATTTGTCCCTTGGGATTTTGCTGCTGTCACGAAGAACTTCTTGACAGCAGCAGCGCTGAGGATACCCGAGACAGGTCGTCCCTGCTGAATGTTCAGTTCTGTCCCTTCCGCATCGCTCCTGAAGAAGTCGTCCGAGTACACAAGGCGATTCGCATGTGCGGATGGCACTTTCAGGCCAGGCACTATGCAGAGAACGCGATCACGGAGTTCGTCTTCAAGGTTCAATCCTTCGGCGAATTGTGGATGTCCAACAGCCCACGCGCACCCACCAGCACTGACCCGTAGCGGCGAGACGGTTTTGAAATCATCGGTAGTATAGTATGATTTCACTATACAAAACCGCCCCACACATTCATCACTTTGGAAGATGACCTTTGCAGAATCCCAGCCATGGAAAATGAGAGGTTCGTGTTGGGTTGCTGCATATCCGTCGACCTCGAAAGATTCCCAAGTCTTAGCTTGATCCTTCGTCACCCAGTGACGTCGATTCGCACCCAAGGCATAGGCTCTATTCTTGTCAAATGGGTGCTGCCAGATGGAACGCACACCCTTTTTCATTTTACCGTTTGGGTCCTCCACCTGTTCCCAGCCCTTACCTCCATCGAACGAGCGGAAAAGATTGCCATCTCGTGTGTTCATAAGTATTGTTTCGGTGTCCTCGAAATAGAACAAAGAGAAGGGTTCATTGTCGAAAGATGACGGAGTGATTTCTGGTTCTGACTTCTTCGCAGCACTAGACAGTGATAGGATGGCTAGTGCCAGGAAGCTTGTGATCAGTAGCCATCGGGTAATCATGGTAGCGAACCATAAGACAATCCACGAAGTCTACTGACGAAGCTTGTCAGAGAGAATGACAGCAAGAAGCTGACAGGAAGGTTGCGAGGCGGCCTCTGTAAGCGGAGCGAGAGCAAACACAACAGTAGTAATACTGGACATGTAGTATTTCTACTATAACAATCTGAGACGTTGAATCGCAAAAGAGTGGTCAAGCATTGAGCCTTCTTATGACCAACGCGTGCAGAGCCGCGCTTGCATGCTGATACCTTGGAAGCTCGCCAGTTGCGTGGTCTCTTATCCCCCGGTCACGTGCTGAGCTTCTATCTGCACGCTTTGAGCTCAGATGTCTGCTTTGAGCTCTCTGGAAAATACACTATCTTAATCGTAAGGCATAGATATAATCGTAGGAATAATATTCAGTTTTCAAGGAAGGATAAAAGGTTGAGAATACAGCCGCCTATGATGTCTGGATGGTATCAGTATGTATCCTGCTCTCAAATGTAACAATTTGAGTCATGACATGGGCAATAGTTTCTTCCATCGCCAAGATCATGAGTTCCAAATGCGACTGCCATGTCGGGATCCAGGGCAATATATGGCTGTCTCAGACTGTGGTAGTTTCGGGGAAGAAGGTCTACTCTGTAGATGCCAAAATATTCGCTAGCCAAATGCTATAGTCTCACGGAAGGTATTGGCTGAGAAAGCTATGATCATGTCTGATAAATGATAGATCAAAGCCTCTGGCAAGGCCATCATTCAATGGCAGTAAGAATTAGCCATCTTTCATCTGCGCTGCACCCGTTATTTAGGAATTCCACATTTAAAAACATTCTTCTGTGACGCTCAATCGTACCGAATTGATGATGGAAAGAAAACTGCAGATTAGGGAGATCATATAAGATTAGTGTTTTGTTCAACTACATCCTTTTCGATCCTGGGAAACGTCGAGGTTCCTAGAGTGAGTCCTATTCTCCTGGTCATCCACTATGTACGCCTCACGCAAGAATATAGTACCCAAGTAGGGATCAAAGCCCAAATGTTTACATTGCAAGCTGAAAATGACTAAAAAGAACAATGAGTGATGGGAGATGTTATTTCAATCAATGGATTTTCAGAGCAATAAAAAGGAGGGCCCTTCACCTGCCGCAAGAATGCGAACAGTCCATGGATCACAGGAGGTTGAGCACTTGTTGCATTGCTGTAGTGCTGGAATCCTCCCTGCGAGACACATAAGCTCTGATCTCCTGTACGCTAAGGCCTGGCTCGATCTGGCCAGTCCCTACTAGCTCCTGTTCCCGTTCAGTCCCAGTACGATTAGTCCCTGGCCGTCTGCTTGCGTTGGAGCTGGCTCCTCCACGAATTCTCTCCCGTAAAGCTTCTGGCCCAATGACGAATAGACTGCCTACTTCTAGCAGAACGTCCAGTGAACCACCTGGTCCTTTGATGTGTTCGTCGATGTCCCAAGACTTGAGCAGATCTGCATACTGTGTCATGTCCTTAGTGACCATAAGGCCCCCGGCCCCGTTGACGGCATATCGCTTAAAATGTTCGAGGAGATGACTTCGGGTCCCAAGCGCAATCTCTGTCAGTAAATGACGAAAGTTAGACCCACTGGAGGATAGCGTTGCCGCGATAGTATCATGCAGACGGGTTAAGAAAGCACATATTGACGCACACGTCTAGGACAAGGTCAATACAATTCCCGGGTGAAAGATTGACATTTCAGCATCTCAGTGACTTACTGGCGTATGTAACATTTCCAACCAAGCTGCATTGTCTCCTTCCTTGGGTCTGAAATCATTCTTTTTCTGTCCCGAAAGTAACCTGCTAATCCACATCAAGGCCGTGTCAATGACCTTCTGCTCAATCGCGTTTATTTTATCTTCTATGCGTAGAGTCGCTGTATTTGTTCTTTTCTCCATTTCCCGGCGAATCGTTATACTGGGAGTTGCAAGAGGAATTAGCAACGTTTGTATACACATCACCATCAAGTTGGTGATGCTGATGACGCTTTTGACCACAGTAAGATAGCCAAAATCAGGCTCTGCCCTTGCAGACTCCTGAGAAGTTGCGGACTCCAAGACAGCGTCAAGACACATCTCGACATAGCCCTCGCCCATCGAAGACAACAGCAGACTCAACAAAGCAGACACATCCTTTGGTGTCTCGCTGGTGGCACCCAGTTCCAAGCCCCGTCCAACTGCTTCAGCCAGCCATTTCAACATCCTCTTGGCATAGGTAATATTAGGGAGACCATCCTTCTCCATCAGCTTGATCTCAGTGGGCTTCATAGAGTCGCTTTGATCTTTCAAGCCGGCCAACTGAAGGAGCATCTTCTTTTGAGTGGGCGTAAATTCCGATGACTCAAGGCGATTGACGTAAGCGTCCCGAGCAGAAGAAAGGAGCTCAGTTCCAGACTTGGAAATCGATGCCATAAACGTCGTCGCTGCTCGTTTCCTCCGAGCATGAAATGTAGCAAACCTGAACAACAATGACGTGTACAACTCTTCGAGTGATTTTTTCTCCCTTTCGATGTATGATGATCCAACAAAGTATGGCACGAACAAATCCTCCAGCTGCTGATCTAAAATCAAGGCTGTTTGAGACGAAACAGGATCTGGATGTTCAGTCAAGCCGTGAGCCTTGAGATCATCGACCAAGCCGCTAATGTAGCTGCGAGAACTTTGTAGCGATCGGAGGAAGGCTAAAGACGAGATGCCATTAGCTTTCTCCAGAACCATTTCCAGTCTCTGCTGGATGGACTGCTGAAAGACGCGTTGTAAGAATTTGCCCAGCACCTGCTCATAGAAAGGGAATGCTCGCTTGATGATGGCTGATTCTTCCTGCACGACCACCTTAACCTCATCAACTAGCGATTGGAGGCTTGGTTCGACTTTCAGGGGTTCGGCGTCAGGATCCGCCAATTGTTCCCAGCTGTTCAAATCCCCGCCCACTTCTTCTGTCACTAGCTGACTTCGATCAATGAAGAATTGGTGTTGATTAACAAACAAGGCGGTCACACTTGCGCCTCCGCTGAAGTCCTGAAGCACAGTCGCGCAGTCTCTCATGCCCTCGAAATTTGCCTTGCGGTAGAAATCATCGAACTGTTTCAGAAGATCTTTCTCAAGAGTCTCGGAGAACTTTTCAATAATCTCTCTCGTGCTTCGATGAATACCATTGATGTTCCCTCTTGTGCCCTCGTCAACAGAAACGTCGTCATTCCGGTACAGGTCGTCTTTCTTCGCTCTCAATTCGTCCCAACTGCGGGGATCGAGTCTTTGACTGATCCTGAGCAACTGTCGCGCAATATGCGCCGACCTGACTTTGGCTTCACCAGTCCCCGACTTCCTTAAGTTCTCTAGGAGTGTTATCTCCCCTCTGTTACTTACTCCATCCCAACATTGAATCAGGAAATGAGCATCAAGCGCTCGGCGTCTCTGTCGGTCTAACTCCTCTAGCCTTCTTCCTGTTTCGACAGCCATATTCCCGGTCGCCCCAGGGAGTTCGCCTCCCGATAGTCCTGCTCCGTTTAGAGATGTATCCAATTGCTGGAAGGAATCGATGGTCTGCTTCAACTTTCTACCCAATGTGCCGAGATTTTGCGCATGCTGCGCCTCAGCTCTCCGAGCTGCAGCCGATAGCTCGTTCTCTTTGATTTCCAGATCACCAGAAAGTTCACCAAGTCGTCGTTGAGCATGCTCGAACGCTCGAATCAGTGGTTTGGGATCAAAAAGCTGGTTGCCGGGACCAGGTCCAAGTGTAGAACGTCGATTTGAGGTAGTACTGTCAGAAAGCGCCTCGATGAACTCTTTGACGATGTAATCGCGGCTTGAGAAATCAGAAAGAGTAAAATTGGGGCCCTTGGGAAAGATAGATCGGGACGCGGGGTTTGCCTGGGGCGTTATGGACACATTGTCCGACATCTTTGCGGCATGGGATGATCCTCATCAACAGGGACAGCAAGGCCGCAGATAACGGGTTGCAATTGAACATCAGATCAACTGGCGGTAGCATTGAAATATACCATAAGTTATGGTTGTGAGGATAACTCCAGAGTCGACCAAGGTAAACTTCGGAAAGAACATGGCATTTTCTTCTGCTTGCCTTACACCCCTTTTTGTTCAGCCCCTGTGAACCCCACGTCACCTTTATATACATTGGGACACAATAACATCCAAGCTACTGGCAGCTACATAGCTAGCATTTAACTCCTATTTTCTAATCTGCAATACCGTGTATAGTTTGCCAAAGGACGGACAAGCATTCTTAAAATATATGCATATTGTAGACTAAATGAGGCCAGGCGCTGCCTTTGATTTCAAAGGATTTCAACAGTTATCGTACTGTACGGGGTATGCTTGACCTAATTATTACCTAGGTACCTATTATTGTTTTAGAGCTGCATTCAAACCCCTAGGTACTGGCAGGTAGTAGGTACCTTACCTTCTGTTTAACTGCTGCCTATCTGTGACTGAGGGACTCAAGTTGGAAAGTGCCCGGTAGGTAGATTCTCCGTACGGTAGGTACGAAGGCCACATGCATTAATTACAAAGTACGTAGTTACATTGAAGGTGTGGGTATACACATGCACTACTGCGCCCCTTCCAAATATAACCTTCTTCAACAGCTTCATTACTGTGGCGCTGTCTATCGCTCCTACTGCTTGTTCTGTATGTACAAGCCATCTACTTTGTACAATAAGATCAGGTCCATGCGCCACTGCAAAAACGTGGACAACTGATACAACATTTGCTTGCTCAACCTCGCCGCAGAAAGTGATTGCCCCCAAGTTTTACCCCCAAGCAATTCAAAAGATCAAGGTTCTTTTCTCGACTCATTGCTCCTGCTGAACAGATGCACTCCTCGAGCAACCATGGTCCTAGCACGTGATAGAGAATTACTGAGGGACACTATTCGCACCCAAGGGACCACACTTACTGCTGCCGATCGCGAAAATATCCTGAAGCCATATCTGCCGGATCCATCAGATCTTGCACGTCGACCACTACAGCGACAGAAGAAAGCCCCCGAAAAGCTCCCATTCGAACATTCTTGAAGTCTCAGCTGCATCAACTTGCCTACACCTTCATTCATATTGTCTATGGGATTATCCTTCGTCTAATTCAGAGCTACCATGCCCTTGCGGATCGGGTTCTTGCGGTCGTCTATTATCATCACCGCACACCGGAACTGATACGAAAAGACGTCAAGGGCCTAAGACGTTTGCCGGGACATCTGACCGTTGTTTTATCATTGCGTAAGGAAGATGATGCGCTTGCGATTCTGATGGATGAAGTCGCAGAACTGGCTGCTTGGAGTGTTAGCGCTGGTATACCCATGCTGAGTGTCTACGAGAAGAGCGGTATGTAAAGACACTTCACACTCGGCATTCTGGTTTCCTCAAGCGCTCTGAGGTAGATGAGTAGCTAACCGTCCTCTAGGGGTCCTGAAATCATGCATCCCGATGCTGCATCAGGTGGTTGCAAGCAAATTCGCTTCATATTACGGTTCACTCCCTCAGCAGCCAACCTTGCGGCTTTTCGCTCCTCATCATTCTGTATATGAGCCATCTCTTGATCATGATACGGCCCGTAGAGTCAATACTGACTCTCTTACCCTGCTTCTGCTATCAGCTACCGATGGGAGAGAAACTATAGTTGATCTGACTCAAACGCTAGCAGAGATGTCACAGAATGGTAAACTGTCACCAGGGGATATTACCATGGAATTGGTGGATGCAGAGATTAGCGAAATTACAACGCAGCCATTGCAGCCAGCCTCATCGAGCATTGGTGACAAACGAACGACTGTTGTTCAGCCCGCTATTGCAGTGAAGCCAGAACCAGATTTATTATTAGTGTTCGCGCCCTTTCTGAAACTGGATGGATATCCTCCGTGGCATATTCGCCTGACTGAAATGTTTTGCACCGGTGGTAAAAGTAGCGGCGTTACTAGTTATGGTGAAGCTGTCGAATATCAGGGTTTTCTCAGAGGTTTATGGCACTACGCCGGGGCTCAGATGAGGTTTGGTCGCTAGAGGCAGCTTGCTGGCTTCTCAATATCTGCACCTGATCCGAAGCTCGAAGCTCCAGGTGTAGCGTTAGGGATGAGACGCTCACATAAATCATGTACCTTGATTGCTCGCTTTATTCGGTCCACTTCAATTTTGCTATATGGTTAATATCTCCTGGTGCTTTCCTAGAAGCAGATATGGTTTGGTAGTGTGTCGGACAGAATAAGTTATCTCCCTATCGTGAGTCAATTTCAGGGACCTTCTTAAGTCAGGTGACGCCCCTGAATTTACTTCAAAGTGCGGAGTATTCTACGGAGACATCACCTGGCCATAAATGAGCCAGTGGACCAGGAAGTTGCTGCAGACTCACCTAGTTTCATAAATCATCACATTTCCGTGTTTCTTTCTTTCTTGTTTTCGTTCTTTTTGTTTTAGATTGCAAATATATGGATGGGGACTGCTACCTATCTGGATTCTTTTATTCTTGGGTCTCTGATGGCATACTACGACGGTCGATCACACACGGAGCAACTCCTTTGAAATGGAGGGCAATATTCATCACATAGTCGAGCGATTGGGGAGTGAAGAAGATGCGGTGCGCAAGATGGCAGTTTTTAAGCTTCAAGGCAGCATTGGAGACCCTTCGTTTGCTGATATTTTCATTGCTGAAGGGGGGCTGACCAAACTGCGCGAATTGACATTACATGCAACTGGAAATACGCTGGCTTACAGTTTGACAAGCTTCGCAAGGCTGTTGGAAGTAGATAAAGGATGGGACTTAGTTGACCAAGAGTTGGTGGAAAGAGTAGGTCTTTTGAAAATCGCCGCCATAAAAGATAGCAAAGTCTCATAGCTTGCATCAATGCTAACAAGCGTTCTGGCCCCTACCTCTAGATTGTCCAGCTCATTGTAACGCAGCCTCTGGTCAACATTTTGCGCGGCGCAATGTCTATCTTAGTATCCATTGTATCCCATCCGTACACGGGAGGGCGTCCACCACAGACTGATGCTTTCGGGTTTCGCGCCCTGAAACCCGCACTTGCCATCTATCCACAATTCCTCGAGATGCTTGTCAATAGACTCTCGTCCGCGGATCATGCACTATGTGCGAATGCGCTTCAACTCATCAACTCGCTTATGCGTGACTCCATCGCAAATGACTCCGAGCTAGAATGGCCCAGGTTCATACAAAAACTTCAAGATCTAGGGGTAATTCGAGCAGTTTACGCTCTCATGCAAGGTACAACCTTGCAAGACCACGCTCATCCTTTGATAGAGTTCCAATCTCTCACAAAGGTCCTGCTTAGGAGGTGGCGAGATATTCCCCTGGATCTAGAGAAACCAGAGCATAGGAGAGCATTGAAAGGAATACACCTTGCTAGTGACCAGGAGAAGAGCATTGACGCAAAGGTTGATAGTGACGCTGAGTTGCGGCGTTCTAGAAAGCACAATTCAGAAAAGTGGAGGCGGCTTGGATTCGAATCGGAAAACCCAATAGCTCAGTTTGAAGAGATGGGATTCTTGGGAATGATGGATCTTGCGGATTATGTCAGAAATCATCGAAGCGAGTTCCGAAAAATGCTGTTGGAGCAGTCAGCAAAACCAGGCCAGAAACGGTGTCCGATTGCCCGCGCTTCCTTGGCGGTAACTACAATCCTATACGAGCACTTCGAGATTGAGAAATCCGAGATAGAGGATTCAAAGAACTATCTGGTCTTAGAGTCTCGCGCCAACCTTGACCGGCTGTTCAAGCCTCTACTACTGCACTGGACACGCTTGCACGTCGCGGCATTGCAGGCTTTCGTCCGGTTATGGAAGACCACCAATGCAGACGTCGATGATTTCGCGAAAATTGCTGAGCTGGTTCGGATTCTTGTTGAGTCGGTTGTTGGTGGGGCAACTCGAACAAAGGAAGTACAAGACGTGGAAGATGAGATAGTCAATTTCGAATACCGTCGGCTTCGAGATCTACAGATGGAGCTCTTAGAGCTCACGTATGAAGACGTTTGGAGGCAACATCTGCAACAGGTCCGCGAAGAACTCCATCACGAGGCTCTCCAATTCGTCAAGGAACAAAGGATCCGTTGCCTTCTGCAGGGCTGCTGGTTTCCTGTTGAGGCCACTACTCATACAGACTCGTCTTCCGTCGAAAATGTCTCTTACCGATATGTACAATTGTCCCATAACCGGAAATTCCTGCATTACGGGGATTTTGAGACGCTAGGAAATGGCAGGATAGACCTCGATTCTCTCCCGGGAAAAGGTTCGGATCCCCTCTGTTCATTCACTTTAATTGAATCTGTCTGTTGACTATCTCATCAACCAGTTGATTTGTCGGCTGTTTCGTCTGTGGCTTCCAACATCTCAGCATCAGCTGACGCTTCATCTTCGTCTACCTTGAAAATCGCACCCCTCTCTGTATCTTCGACTAAAATCACCATCCATGGGTATATTGAATGCTCCTCATCTGTCACAAGGGGGCCATCGAAGGGTCATAGTCATGCTCGTTCTATCAGCAAGTCAAAGGAGGGTGTTTTGTTGACTCTCCGCCCTCAAACTCCGAGCATAGCATCTGAGTGGCTCGACGGGTTGCTTATGTTGCTGAATCAGAGGCCTATAACGGCAGACTCTAACAAGTTGATCAATGTTGTCAGCGACTACGGGCTGAAGATCCGCCTATTCAATGTCCGCTTTGAAGATGCGACTTTTCCTGGGGAGGTTCCGAAGGTTCCTTCCCGAGATGGCCTGGACGATGACTATTATTACGATCTTTTTGGTGCTTCTTAAGTGTTTCTCAGAAGAGAAGAAAAGAGGCAAGCAGGAAATATACCAATTCTCATACCTATCTCCATGTCTCATACTCTGTAGCGCTCCATTGATGGTTGACAATGTGGGGACGATTGAGCCACCGAACTTTGAAGGAATTTTTTATTTTTCCGCATTCTCATTTCCAAAGTGCTCTTCTAGTGGCCGATTTGGAAGTAGTTGCTGGACTTGGAAAGCATAATATATGTCTTTCAGTTGGCTGAACGGGCATGCACAGAGTTGTATGCTTTAAAATCCTCGAATACTAACCGTTGAAATCTTTCCTCCACAAATGTCCAAGCATACATTGTGACATCGGGTGGGGTTCCCTCAAGCTCATGAAAATTCATGACGAGACACTGCATCACACGGAAAGTTCTTCCCTGTGGTGGGCAAGCCTGTGTGAGACTAGCATAGCTAGTTGACCCCTCAAGTAATTGATAATAGCGAATCATGGAGAATGGTTGAGATATATTATGAATGAGGTATGCTAAGATCGCTCGAACTACCACCAATTTTGACGTTTTATACCGCACTATATCATGGTGCTTGATACATATGCTGGGAGTCTTACCTCTTGTACATAGCTGCCTTTCAAAAAGTACTTTAGGCTATATAGGTGATGGCTACATGTCGCACAGCCCTTCTGCTCATTCTAGGTACTAAGGTACAATTAATCAAGGGGATGTTGAGAACCAAAACAAGCTTTACCTAACAGGAGAGTCTGAGACAAGCCTGAGAATTTGTGTAGCTCTGTGTCCAGTACTCCGTAGGCGCGATTCAAACTTTAGGGTATATTAGGTAAGCTAAGGGCTCATCCAAAATTGACTTCTTGGGTTACAAAGATGATTAGAATCGGTATAGTTAGAAAGGAAAATGGTACCAATGAAAATTTACATATTGCCCTCTATGTACCCTCGCCTCTACAAGACTTTGTAATATGTACTAGTTTTAACTAACTATACATCTCTACATCTAAGCAATCAGGCAAAATTACCTAATGACAGTTTCATAGTACGTTATATAGACTAAGGTACAGTCGTTGTAAATCAGAAAGGAAATCCAATTCTTGCACTAGAAGTAAAGCTTGAGCAGTAGTAACTATTAATGTTGACTTATATTGTCTAAGGTGCCTAGCCCATACACAGGATATTCACACATACTTTTTGCCGAGCAGATCCGACTTCGGTTTCATGTTATAGACGTACCTTACTGTGGTTGATTGGTCAGAAATAAGAAAATTACTTGCCTCCTACCTACCCTAGGCTCCATTTTATAGAGTATGGCATTATTAGCATGTCAATAATGAACCCAGGTTGTACTGTACCATTGTTGTAGGGTAGATAAGATACTGTGGGGTCGGGGTAACCGTTGTGAGTTACTAGCGTCTTTCCATTGATCTTGTACCTACGTATCAGAGACCAAAGGATTCTCACACTTGCATACTGTAAGATCCAGCGTGTTGAGTGACTGAGGATCTAGACTTATCGGACGCCAAGATCCCCTTGGTCTTTATCTTACCTACGACATGCCTAACAAAATTGAATGTTTTCCATGCCTCGGCTTGCGCTCTATAGAAGCAGATAACTGTTCCTACTCTTGTTGCTGATCCTCGTCATGGCCACCCATGCAGCGAAACGGCAGCGGGTATCAACTGTCCGTCCGTTGGAAGATCAGGTTGGTCTTCAAATCGTGGTGATTCTGCTTTTGAAGGTATATGCCCGCCTGACAAGTTCAAGGGTAATGAACCGAGTCTTTTGATTTCATCGAGTCCCGATTGCGAGGTCCTTCATCAAAATTCTCCGTCAGACACAGATGTCCATTCGCAACAAACCGCGCAGCAAACCTCTGCCAGCACTGCCGCACTACCCTCCGAACCGGTCTGTCAGAGGACCAAATGTTCGAAACCGCCCTCAAGCAAGATATCGAAGACTAGGTCGCTTCACAACTTCTTTCCGACCGCGAGTGAAACACAAAGACGGGATACACACAAGGCTGAATCGTTCAGTTGGACTCAGCCAAGAACAGACAAGATAGACATAAGCGACGACACGATCGAGGACGGTTACGACTCTTTCGATGAGCTTTTCTCAGACTACATTGCAGATCGAAAGGTAACGCCCGAAAAGCGGATGGAAGCGCCTTTGGCAGCGGGAGAGCGTGTCGATCAGGCTCAAGCAATAACTCACACTTTTCGTTCGCGGAGCTTCGCAAGCAATCGCAAGCGCTTCGTCGTTTCATCGGCGTCGGAGAGCAAGCATCATGGTTCATACTCATTCGGGAACAATTACGACAAAGACGCCGAGAAATTGCCATGGGCACAGAAATATTCCCCCGTAAATCTGAATGAGCTCGCGGTTCACAAGAAAAAGATTGCCGATGTACAGAGTTGGTTATCAGATGTCCTTTGCGCGTTCGAGAAGGTATGCATACAGAATCACAAATGAGTGACAAATTCTTCGACTCAAGGATTAACTTCGCGAACAAATTAGAAATTACTTGTTCTCAGAGGTCCCGCAGGAAGCGGCAAAACAACGACATTATCGCTATTATCGGACAAGCTAGGTTTCGATGTTCTCGAATGGAGGAATCCGTCGGGATCTGAGTTTGCGGCGAAAGGATTCACATCCACAGCAGCCCAATTCGAAGAATTCTTGACAAGGGGTAATAGATTACGTGGGCTCGAGTTCAAGACCGGTTTATCAGCAAGCAAGAGGAACGGCAGCGATCATATGAGGCCACGGCTTATTCTCATTGAGGAGTTCCCAACAGTCTTTGATGGAGATTCCCCCAGTTTAACCGCTTTCCGACTTTCTCTGCAGCGGTATCTCTCAGTGTCATCCTCGCCGAGAAGCAATACCCGAAACGATATCGAGAGACACGGGAGCTCACCTGTTGTTATTATCGTTTCCGAGACCATGTTGAATTCCGGGGCATCCTATTCGGACAACTTAACAGCTCACAGGTTGCTGGGGCCAGACATTTTAAGCCATCCAGGCACAACTATTGTTGATTTTAATGCCATTGCTCCGACGTTCATGTTTAAGGCCCTGGACCTGGTTCTCGCGAAGCATATCCGCCGATATCGATCAGCTAAAAGACCTGGGCCCGCAATTTTGAAGAGTCTGTCAGAGATAGGAGACATTCGGAGTGCGATCTCTTCACTGGAGTTTCTCTGTCTTCGGTGTGAACGGTTTGAGAAGTATCCTTTCCCCAATGCCACGAGAACAGGCCGAGGTAACACATCTTTGGCGCCGGTTGAGAAAGAAGCACTGCAAACAATAACATACAGGGAGAGCAGCCTTGGTTTATTCCATGCAGTCGGAAAAATAGTCTACAATAAGCGTGAGGGTCTAAATTCTACAACCGACAATCCTCGGCCACCCAGACCACCAGATCATTTATGTCATTGCGATCGGCCTGCAGTCTCATTAGTTCCTGTGAACGAGCTTCTAGAGCAGTCGGGAACAGATACGCAAACCTTCATTAGCGCCCTCTATGAGAATTACATACCATCGTGTGATGGCCCTGCTTTTGTCGACTGCATAAATGGATGCATAGAGGCTTTGTCAGATAGTGATGTTTTAAGTGCTGACAATATGACAACTCCAGGCAGTTCTTCACATGCAAGATACAAGGCTGCCGCTGGTCTTGGCGTGTTGCGACAGGATGAGCTCAGCTATCAAGTTGCTGCACGTGGTTTACTCTTTTCCCTCCCATCTCCGGTGAAAAGGCGAATAACGCCAAAGAACCAGAACGGGAATGCACAAGATGGGCATAGAATTTTTTTCCCCACTGAGCTGCGGCGATCAAAAGAGAAAAATCAAGTTGAAGAACTTACAAATTCGTGGAAAACGACATTATTACACTCACTCAACGGACTTCGCAGACAGAGCACCAAGTCCTTGGCAGACTGTTACTTTCAGGCTGGTAGGCAAGCGATAGTCGCCACTATGGTATCCCGCAATGACTTGTTGTTATACCAATTGCCATACATGACTAGAATTGGGTTCAACGAGACTGTTTCACGTGAACTTGATGAGATTACATCCATTCCCAAGCAAAGAACACAATGTGACCGCCAAGGCATCGATGATACTCTCGATCATGAGCCCACGACGACTTATCGGGCCTCCTCTGTCAGACAGCCTTCAATGCCTACCAATGGCCGCATTTACCACCAACACAACCCTCCGCCTGCGGTCTCAGATAGGGAGGATAAATTTGTCTTGAGCGACGACGATATCGAGGATGTTTAATTATGTCCGCACTTACGTCATAGGCCTTTTCCTAGCTTTCACACACTTTCTCGGATATTACTTCTCACATGGCACTGGTTTGCCTTTAAAGCATGTTAATCTAGCCTTTCACGGCTGTCTAGCCCGACCGCTGGCACGGGGCCTGTTCATTTAAAGGCACTCCTCGAGCTTGCGAGTCCGGTTGGTTTAGAAATTCATATGTTGCCCTAAAAAGGCTCATCTAACAATATACAAAGCAATCCGTGTGATAGTTAACGTATTTCCCGGGCGAGCGGTCCACCTCTGTATTCCATATAAAATGGCACCCTTCAAGGCTTTGATATCTCAACAACCAAGCACCTAGAGGGACTAAGTTTAGGTATAAGGTATAGTATAGACATATAGAATCATACTTATAAGCCACAGCCTCCTAGTATATGTATAAGGTATACTTAGGTAACATAAATTACACCTGTATTTTTGGTAATACTAGCTTTTTAGATATTAAGCGAGAGAAATGGTTATTTTAAGGCCTTGTAAAAGAGTATTCAAATGCTCTAGACTCTATATACTCTAAATATCCTACTTACATAAATAGCATATATGAGCATGGTTGAGATATCAAAGCCTTGAAGGGTGCCATTTTATATGGAATACAGAGATGGGCCGCACGCCTTGGGTGGACCGCTCGCCCAGGAAATACTCCTACGTTAAAGAGTCGACGCCTGACTCATCTTTTCATAATTTCATAAGTAGACAGAACAGGAATAGTCTTCCTCAGTTGCCTGATAATCGATTCGCCCGTTATCTAACCTTATGCAATCAATTTCGGGTTAGCTCTTGACTAAGCAACAATGAATTGTCAACAACATTTAGCGATAGAAGTTGATTCAAGCTCCCATATTATTTGATTAGAACCTGCTGCTCAATTCCAGCTACCCTTTCGACTCGTCTGTACAACCTCGCTCTCTCTTTCACTTCCGAAGAGAGCACGACCTTCCTAGATCAAAACCACGCCAGCCCAGGTACAATAGAGCAAATGATCAATCACAACAGCGATGACGCTGATTCAAACAAATCTGATGCGAAAAAAAAGCACGGAGATGTACTAGAATCTGGTGGTCTAGGAAGCATAGCTACCGCGGCGGCTTATGCAACATCTCCTAAGTGTATTAGCATGGTATTGATGGTGTCATTGATATTTGGTGGCTGTTGTGCAAATGTAGGTACTCCGAGTGTGATGGAACTTGCTATGATTGACGGTGTTATCCTAGGTGTTCGCATTAGAAGCCATTGTCAAGTGAGTTCAAAACCCTAGGTAGCTCGATGGTAACATACTGATGTTTAAAACTACCTAGAGATCATCCTAGTTCAGGTAATTGACCGACTATTATTGCCCCGACTAAGATATACTTGTCTCTGACTCTCTCTATCCGCCGCTGGAAGGTCCCCTGATCACCTTTGCACAGTTTATTGTGACTGCCGGATTTACGTTGCCAAATTTTGTCTCGCTATCATGTGGCGCTCGGTCACTATTCCTCAGTCCGCGTGTCATCCCATTAAGGTCATGGTTGGTATACACGGCCTTCTTTGTGACAGTCAATCTTTTGAACAATTGGGCTTTCGCATATAGCATATCGGTCCCCTACACATAATACTGAGATCAGGCGGCCCTGTTGCTTCCCTTATCGTCGGATGCTTGTTCAATGGAAAGAAGTATTCTTATGGTCAGATTTTGGCAGTAGCGGTGCTCACTCTTGGTGTTGTTACAGCAGCATTGGCAGATGCTCAAGCTAAAGGCGAACCATTAGACATCGGGCATAGTGGAGCAGGCCTTGATATAACGGCTACCGCTACTGGCTTCGCAATCCTTGCTTCTGCAATGGTTCTTTCAGCCTTTCAGGGAATATATGCAGACCGACTATATGAGACTTATGGCCGAAGCCACTGGAAGGAAGCGCTTTTCTATTCTCATGTACTCTCGCTACCACTTTTCCTCCCAACCTATCCGCGGCTTCTGGATCAATGGCGAGTCATGCTCTCCTCCCCTCCCTTGCAATGTCGGCTTCCGGAGACATCCATCAGTGTCGGAAAAGACGCCGAGCTTCCTTCAGGGCCTTCCACTACTTCAGTTGCCGTATGCGGGCCTCGTTTGAATTTAGGAATACTGGGATCCCACCTATTTCCATCCTTCATCGCCCATATTCCCATGCAGGTGGCTTATCTTTTTGTGAATGCGCTGACCCAATATCTATGCATTCGTGGAGTTCATCTCCTCTCCGCCCAGACGTCTTCATTGACAGTGACGGTGGTTTTGAATGTTCGCAAACTTGTTTCGCTCCTGTTATCCATCTACCTATTTGGAAATCAGCTTTCGCCGGGTGTTGTTATTGGGGCTATCTGCGTCTTCGCAGGAGGTGGTCTCTATGGTTTGGAGGGTGCCCGGCTAAGAAAACCGAGTAACAAGAAGGATTAAGAGTGATACCTTAGAGCGGGGTGCGCCGGTCAAGTAACATGCTAGATTGGAATGCCCGCGAGTCGGAGACAGACTTTGCGTTTGCCTTATAGATATATGCTGATAATTACGGACAAGTCTAGCTTGTGTATAATTACTGACTTAAGTTGAATGATATTGAAAAGAAAGAGCCTGAAAGAAGACAACTTTGATGCCGTAGTACAAAAGTATAGTCAATAGTCAAGCATGCACCGGACAAGGGCACTCACTCAATTAGAAGACAGAAAACAAACACTATATGTACAATTGCACGATACCAGCATCAATGACATCATCCATCACTGATCTGCCAGTGAACATCTGAAACTGGCTCTGTGGGTAAGGCTCTCTAACAAAGCTTTGCATCATGGAGGTCACAACACTTCACCTACAATTCTCGCTGCTTCTTTGTATGTTTCTAACAGCCTTTCACACTTCTCTCGCTCCGCCTTAATGCCATCATCCTCATAAAGGAGCTCAGAGAACAGATCCTCTTTATAAAGCTCGCTCACAAGTCTATTTTGCACAACATCTTTACTATGGTTGACAAGAAGGTGCATAATAGCTTTCGGAACTTGATCGGCGATGGTTTCCCGAACAATATTGAAATACGACGAAATCAGTCGACGAATCAGCTCTGTTTCCATGAGCTCGCGGTCAGAGAGGGTCGGCTCAGCATGGTCCGCCTGCCATAAGTCATGTAAGCTCCCGTTTCAAATGAGTTAAAAGAATGGATATCGACATACATGCTGAGACATCTCCCCGCCGTAATCAGAAGATCCTGCATAGTCATCAGGTAACGACATTGGCGAGCGTAAATCCGGTCGTCTAATACTCTGGCTAATGCTGGGCTCGCTGAGATGGTTGGGTTGTCTCTGTTGAATCAAGGGCTGGGGGAGCGGTGCGGAGCTCTGCATCCCGTCCTTACCAAAGAAATAATTCAAGAACGAGTCGCGTGTAGTGTTCGTAGCACCAAACATGGCATTTGGGTTAGTGTTGACACCGTTCAGGGTCGCGGTGATGGCACTATCTTGACCCTTGTTAACATGAGGAGACATGCTCCTAGAATTCTTCGAAGTTTGACCGCGACTACCGAGGTTCTGTGCTCTCAACTCAGCGGAGTGGTCCTCTTCCTCTTCGGGCGATACTGGGACGGCGCCATTGACACTGCTCAGCTCTTTTTGACGTCTTCTTTCCCGCTTTTTTCTATCGTCTGCTAACATCATCTTTCTCTCCTGTTCCTGTTTATTCTGTATGACAGACGACATTGCTGCTGCTGCTCCAAGAAAGTTAGGGTGATTAGTGTTGATGTACGCCCTTTGAATGGAGATTAGAGATTCAACGTAAGCAGAGCATGGTCCCAAACGCTCGCGAAGAAGATCGGACACTACTTCAATCAGTTTTGCCTGCAGTCGAGGGAAGCGTAAGAGTTCTTGGGAGCCACAAGTATGACAAATTTTGATGAGCTCCTCGTAGACGAGTTCAACACAACGCTGACTGGGAGCTTCAAGCATTTTAATCTGAGGCTTCACAAGCAGGTCAAAGGCAAGTTCTGGAACAAAAAGACTTGGCCGAGGGCCAGTCGAGTTTCTGATCGCCGTTCTTATATCGGACACAGTCAAATTATGCGTGGGATCAATGGTTTCAAGCGAGTTGCCGAAAACAGAGTTGAATATATAGTATATCCTGGCACCTCCGCACAGCTCCTTGGTAGATATCTCAGAGGAGGTACCGTCGATCGAAGCGATAAAGGAAGAGGCAAAGCGTGTCATCAGCTGCAGTATCAACGATCCACGATGTTCTTCCCCACTGAATTGTTTGTTGCCATAGCTGGCAAGCTCTTGTTGCGTTTGGCCCATGAGTGTGTTGAGGCGAGCTTTGATATCAGGCAGACGATCTCGTATATGAGCCATCAGCGTCGTGTTCAAGGTTTTTGCAAGAAACTGAGTTCCGCATCTATTCGCCATGTTTCGATAAGCAGGGTGATGCCTGAAGAACTCCGCTTCAGCTTGCAAGGCCTCAGATAGCGACTTCCCTGACTGTATATCTTGCTGAGATCGATTGACGACGCCGATGAAACCGAGTTTCAGTGGATAAACGCGACCAGAAAGAATATCCATTGCATTGGTTCCATGATCCATTAAATCCAATTTCGTCAAGACACCAATTGTTCTCCGGCCCATTGGATCTACTTGTCTTGCCAGCTTTAGCGCTTCGGAGTTCACAAGGTCGACGTTTGCCGGGGAGACTGCGAGTATAATGCTATTCGGCTTGGCTATGTATTCAAGAATCAACGTTCGGGTTTGCTTCTCAATGTCGGAAGGTTGGTCTCCGATAGGCACCTTAGTCAACCCTGGTAAATCGACCATGGTAAGATTGAGCACATGGGGCGAGAAAATCTTGAGATTGATGGGCTGCCTATTGATGCCTTTGTTATTCCCAGCAATTCGAGCTGTTTCGGCTTCAATCTCCTGCTTCACCAAGGCAAAGTCTTCGAACTTGCGCCCCGGAAGGTGATGAAATTCAGCCCATTCGCGCTGACCAGCTACACTAGCAGCTGTGTGGGGATCAATAACATCATTATCACCGGCCCTGTCATTGTGCTCACTGGGGATGTTGATGAGCTGTAGAATCAAGGGCCGTCTCGTGACTATACCACTCCCCCTCGGTAGGAAATCCCTCCCAACAATGTTTTCCAGGACAGAAGATTTTCCGGAAGACTGGGAACCTACAACGACCTAGAGAGAAACCGAAATTTGAGGAGATGAATCAGCAAAAGAGAAGTAACAGAGTAATGTTGGCACACATTGGCATGCCTCGCATAGGAACTCACAATTTGTGGTAGATCTAGCGAGTCATTTCCAATTGTGTTGAAAACAAGATCTTGTAGCTTATTCACTGTTATAAGCAAGTCTTCACTAAGGGACGCCATGTTGCCCTGAGAATCAACCCCAGGTAGCACTTAGTGGTTCGGAGTCTGGTGAACGGCTGTGGGACCTTTAAGAGATGGCCTCGTAGGGGGATGAGTAAAGTATAATAAGGAAAGTAGTGACGAAGGGTAAATGAGTCTGAAAATGACAGATAACTAGTTGAAAATGAACAATAGAATTTGCGATTTTGATAGTGTGCTATAGAACACAATAAGCTATGACCAGAGGTACATATGTAGTACTTCATAATAATACTAAAACAGTGGTTTGTATAGTTGACCAACAGAAAAAGCTAGAATGGGTCACGTGATATGCATATATCTACAATCCATCGAAAATCTACCAATGCTCTTGTATATATCTAAGTTTGGCCCTTCAAGTACTGGATAAGTCTGAGTCGCAAACAAAGGTATTGCATTGATCTTCTCGGCAATTTTTTTATATTTGCTATTTAAAAAATACAAATGTCTAGACATTTATATATTTCCGAGACCAGCCTTTCATGATGTAGCAACCATGCATATAGAGAATAGAGTAACTGAATAGACTGTTCCCTTCAAAATGCCAGGTGCCACATTGGTTGAACAACACTGTTGTCATGAGATAGGTTATTTAATGACGCAATAAGCTATCTTATTTCTTGAACTGGATTGGCAAGAAGGATACACATTCTATGACCTTTGCTTAAGTTCAGACATCAACGAGAGAAATAATGCCTGGGACAAAAGACTAAAATACAGGCTTACAGAGGAACCAAAATCCCATATCTGACACAGGAGCGAAATGTGTACTCGTGAGTTGTTCCCTTTGTAATGGTTTCCAAGTAGACGCGCTTATGCCAGACTTGCCGGACGACTTTATCAATATCTGACTGGACTCCGACATGTCCCAGCCAAGAGAAAGAGCAGCCACAACCTACTCCTCGAGTTGTACATAGTTGGCAGGGAAGAGCCCCTTCTGACCCTTGTACTCACCGAACCACCAATCATCATCGGGGAATTCCTGGTGTCGAGTTAGCGATGCCGTTGTGACTAGAATGTCTGGCCAAAAGCAAGCAAAAAGGGGGAAAAAGACGAAGAAGCAAAAAGGACTGCAAGATGTCCCACTTACGATGTTGACTATTTGAGCGCCCTCCGGGAAGCTGAGCTCATTGTCCTCCGCAGCCTCGTAATCATACAGTGCCATTGCAGTTGGCTGTGCTATATCCTGCCTTCCCCCAGGGCTGTGGGCAGGAACGATTGGAGGAATTTCCTTGGGTTCTTCAGCTCCAGCAACTGGTGCGAGGTGCTCTAGCTGGTTGTCTTTGACGAGCTCAACATAGTTGCTGGGGAAGAGACCCCGCTCGCCGCGCGCATTAGAACCAAGCCACCAGTCCTTATCAACCATCTCTATGCCAGACACATACTCTCCCTCCTTCAAGTCTATTTCATTGTCCTCTGCCTTCTCATAATCATACTGCACAATAGCCTGGAGCGCCTCGTCTTGAGGACGGTCAACGACTGTAGCTTTTGACGTTTCCCTACCAATATCAATGGCATTATCCTCGAGCCCTTCATCATCTGGTACTGCCTGTCGGAGGCTTTGTGTCGGCATGACAGGAGGTGGCGAGTATTGTTCATCGTGAGCGTCCGCAACTTCTCCCCGTCCAACCGGCACGGCAATGCGAATTGGAGAAGATTCACGTACGGGGGGCGGCGTTGGAGGAGTAGGGGAACGAGGCTGTTGAGGAGGGATGGGTATAGGCTGGTGAGCTTCGACGTCCAATGGTTCTTCCGGTCTCATCTCCTGTGAAGTTTGCGGTGCAGGTAATTCATTTTCGGAACCAGGTACGCCGACTGCTTCTTCATCGGGAGAGGGACTCATGCCTGCACCACGTAATTTCTGATCCCGGCTGGTAAAGTCTGGCTGGCCAGGCAGTGACGTTTCCGGCCCAGTTGTCAATTCCTGCCCTTGCTGGGAGACACCGCGGTCCACAGAGTTGCCCGTAGGCGTAGTCTGAACGGGAGCCCATGTCTTGCCATTGTACGAACTCTTCCATTCTCCCTTGCCGCCGCCCTGACCACCGCTTGCTGCTGATGGGCTAGGGGCAGGACCTTGCCCTCGTTCTCGGGCTTTTCTTTCAGCCCACTGCTGCGCAGGAGTCTTTCCTCCTTCGTCTGCAAACGTTCTGCTTGCAATGCCAACCTGTGTGGCAGGAGGGACAGGGCCTGAAACGAAGCCACTGGGCAAGGGTGCCTTTGTGCCTGTGAAAGCCGAGCTTAGACCGATTTTGTTCGCAACCTTCGGCTTGGGTAAAGTCGTCAAACGCTCAGGCTGATCGGGTAGTTTTGGAGAATCCGAAGATTTAACCCTTTCATTACCCGATTCAACAGGGTTGCTTGAGATGGACTGGTCAACAGATGATTCAGGCTGCTTCTGCGCCTTAGAACGGATAGCAGCAATATCGACCTTACCAACCGGCTCATATGCGCCTCTCACAGGCTCGGGTCGGTCTTCCTTCAAATCCCCTGCTTCCCGCGCTTGTTTCCTGATTGCAGCGATATCCACCTTGCCTATCGGCTGATAGCCACCCTTAACAACATCATTGTTCTCTGTAACGGGAAGCTCATGATAATGGGATGTTCTGGGCAGGTTCTGAGACTTGATTGCCTCTATGTCAACCTTAGTTGGCTTGTACGCGGACTGAACTTTTTCAAGTTCTGTCCTGGTAACCGGGGGCGCATCAGGACCCCAGCCATTATCATCGCTGCTCATTCTTGGAACCACCCTAGTGGAAACATTTGACATGGTCTTCGAGTCTACCGCACCAGTTCTGGTGGGGGTGAATGCTGGTTTGCTTGCAACCGGAAGCGTTTTGGGCACAGCAGTGACTGGCGAAGCTCGTTCTGGTGTGTATTTCGCGCCAGAGGCATCTCCGACCTTCTGTATTATTCCCTCGGGCGTCAGATCCCCCTCGGAACGTGCAGTGATCTGGACATGGTAGTTCTGGAGTAGCCTAATGTTAGAAAATTATTTTCATCTAAGCTGTACAAGGGGGCACCGACGGATAAAAACTTTGTGACAGCAGACAGGTGGCTTGTAAAGTATCCTTTCGTTCGTTCTGGGACGCCCTCTCCACACCATCCGATGAGGACATTCTTCGGGAGACCACTGTTTGGATCAGTGACTTTGACGAAAGCGAATTGAATCTTTCCTTCCGAAAACTCGTCAATGAGATCCTCAAGCTCACCAGCTGCAGGATTAGGTATCAGCATTTGAGTTGAGCCTTGAGGAATCGGTGACTAACCCCCGGTATTCTGGACCTTCAAGACACTTTCCTTGCTATCTGAATTGCTCTGGAAGGCATTGACCAAAGGCGTTGAGACAGAAAATACTGCCCATTGTCCATATGTAGCTCTGTCGGTAGGTAGCGAACAATCGATTACGGACCGATAACTCTTGGTAATTGATGGCCCGTTCGACGAGAGATTCAGAGATGCCATATCGCTGAGAACTAGTCGCTGGGTAGTGTCGAGGATCTGTGGATCAAATAAGTGATGCAATGATAGTTGCTAACTACAGTGATTTTAGTCGACTAGTATTGCAAGGCGCATAACAGATTTCATGGATGAATAAGTGTGATGCAGGTAACTAAGATTAGATAGGTCACTCAGCAAGAACGAGGAGGCCAGGTGTGTTCCAACATTAGGTTCATGATCTTACTACCTTGGGTAAAGGTAAATCAACAAAGTACATTTAGGTACTAGTTAATGTCATTGGTACATAGTAACTAGTTACTATCTCATACCTTAGTCAATACCCATACACACAGGAATAAGACAATCATACCATCCATAGAGACCTAACCTTTACCAACTATAAGCTAGTCCAAATAAATAGCTGCCTTACTTTACTAACTTACTTGTATTCTGTAAGCAGGGAGCTTGTACGTCTCTAGGGAGGCACATACTACCTGGTACTGTGGTATGTCGATTACATCATAATTTTTTAGTAAACCGAGGGGGACCAAGGTAGAGTGATCATTGTAATGGAAGGAGCACCTTATACCATTAGATAGGGCCAGTTCTTTCAGGTATTTTTAGGTACCACTTTTGCTGTATTTGCTAACCTGTAATAATGGATATATTAAATAGACAATGGGTTTATAATCATTGTCAGATGTATGGAATTGAAAGCTAATTATGATCTGTGTCTTAGTAGCACACCCTCAGCGCTCCATAGGGTTCTTCAGGTAAGTAAGGCCCTTGCAGGAGCAAGATATGACTGTATGATCTTAGCCTGGGTTGTAATATTTTAATGTGACTGTGGATGGTAAGGTAACCTGACTGATGTGGTCTTTACAGTAATTTCCCCTAGCTGCCCTATGGTACATTTATGTTGTCCAAATCCCACTCATATATTTTATCAGGAAGACAGATACCTAATACATAGATACTGTTGATTGCGTGAGCAATGATGTTATGTAGGTGGTATAAGTATATATAGACAGAAGTGTGACAGCAGCAAGATGTTTAGACACTATTTCACTGTGTATGGAGTATATGACCCTGGAATAAGATATATAATGTTAATACTAACACTCCTTATTTCATCATGGGACTCATGGTTCTTTTTCACTAAGGTAACTATACTTAATTCTAGTTCTATAAAGCTACATAGGCTCAGGCACTGATCCTCTTATAAAGAAGTAAAAGTTCAGTACCTTAGCTTCTTCATTAAATAATTAGATAGATTTAAAATAGGGAAGAGCATATAACCCTTTACTTTTCACTATGATAAAATTAATTAAGGCAGTCCTTTACTATCTTAGACTATTGGTAATTAGGATAATTAACCAGGTGTAAGTACAACTACTGAGAATCATACTGCCCCCCTGGCCTCCCTGGAGCCTGATACAGCCTGTGTCTAAGATATATGTATTGCTGGTATTATTGGAGACTGTCACATCATTAGGTTCGACCGTTTTGACATTGTTCATAACTTACAAGTACTACCATGTTTGACTGGTACCATCTGCTACCTAATGACTGTTTATGGAATGTACATGTCAGAAAACGGATAAGCCAGGGCAATACCTAAAAGTGTATCCGAGTAAGGTACGGAGTACAGATCACCAACAACCTACCTAGGTACTTTAGCCTCTTGATAGAGGGGTAGACCCCGATCTAATTTTCCTTGTCTTCAGCGGAAGGAGTCTTAATATGCCACTAGTACCCCAGAAGTATGCGGTGAGACTTCCATGTGACCCTACGGCTGGCTCCATACTAATCCGTAGTTCACAAGATTTTCCGAGAAGAATTTTGAAAGAGTTCCGGACCGTAAGGTACAATTGCTGGCAGGTTATCCCTGTTTTCATTCAAACCTTTCCCTGACGCCCGCGCGGTCGAAATGGATAATGCGCATGACCTACAAGCTAGCACTGAAAGCTCAACTGTCGACTTAAAACATGACCGCGATGAAGAAAACACACAACAGGCAGATGTTGACAGCTCTTTATCTGCAACTGTGACAGATAGTCTTGACCATGTACTCCCGAGGGATAGAGAGATGAAAACACCGACATACGATTATGCTTACGAGAAGTCGATGAGTCACACAGAAGCAAAACTCTTCTACCAGCATCATCAATTGGTGTCACGAGGCGCCGACAGTGAGTCTGATCAGGGTTCCGGCCTCACGGGCAGGCCGTCTGCCTCTGACATACTATCAACTAAAGTTCAGACGGAGGGAAAGCCTCAAACAGGCATCCTGGGCTCGAGTAATTCAACGCAGCTTGGCACGCCTACTTCGGGATACGCTGAAATTACCAGCACCAGTCCCGGTCAGCTTCCACTCCGAGATGATACAATGCATCATGGGAATCCAAATGAACAAGGATCATGTTATATGCAGTTCGCCACTGAGGTTCCAGGTGCTATCAAAAGTGCTATGAATATGACGGGCAGCGGCACGGTTGCCTCGGAATTAAACATCATCTACCGCAAGATTCGCGGGCTACTTGAGCGACGCGCCGAATATATCCGACTGTCATCACAGGGTCCTGAGGATAACCCCAAAGATCGTCCCGATTGGAGGATTTACCCACCCCCGCCAGAACCAGCCTGGGATGCTGATAGAGAGAATGGGAATCAAGAATCCTCTCCTGGTGCCGGAACCAAGAAAAGAAAGATGGGCCAGGATATTGGTGAGGACTTCGACATGGCTGAATTCATTCCGCTCCCGGGAGAGTCAAGCTGGACATTCAGACTGGATGAAAATAGTGTCTACCAAGTGTACGAAAATATCGAGGCTGCAAATGTGCACAAGCCTACCATCAGAATACCTTCACTGCGTGATTTTTATATGGACCTCGATGCAGTCATAGATGTGTCCACAGACGGACCAGCCAAGAGCTTTGCGTTTAAACGTCTTTCTTATCTGGAGGGCAAATTTCAGCTCTACACGCTGCTCAATGAATATCAGGAGATTGCTGACAGCAAAAAGGTACCACACAGAGACTTCTACAACGTCCGGAAGGTCGACACTCATGTCCATCACTCGGCTTGCATGAATCAGAAACATCTCCTCAGGTTCATCAAAAGCAAAATGAAGAAGTCTCCTGATGAGGTTGTATTATTCCGAGATGGTAAACATCTAACGTTGAGAGAGGTTTTTGAAAGCATAAACCTAACAGCTTATGACCTGAGCATTGATACGCTGGATATGCATGTATGTATTATCCCCACAGGTCTTTCTTCTTACAACTCTCCCTCCTCATCAATTTGCAGGCGCATACGGATTCCTTCCATCGCTTTGACAAGTTCAATCTCAAATATAATCCCGTCGGAGAGTCTAGACTGCGCGAGATCTTCTTGAAGACGGACAATTATATTAAAGGTCGCTATCTGGCCGAGATCACAAAAGAGGTCATCTCAGATTTAGAGTCCAGCAAGTATCAAATGGTGGAGTGGCGCATCTCAATATACGGAAGGTCGATTCAAGAATGGGACAAGCTCGCTGCTTGGGTGGTTGACAACAAATTATTCTCCCCAAATGTGCGCTGGCTAATACAAGTTCCTCGGCTTTACGACGTCTACAAAGCAAGCGGCATGATGGAGAACTTCGAGCAAGTTATCACAAACGTTTTCCAGCCATTATTCGAGGTGACCAAAAATCCAAGCAGCCATCCCAAACTTCATATCTTCCTCCAGCGTGTGGTTGGATTCGACAGCGTGGATGACGAAAGCAAAGCTGAGCGCCGACTGTATAGAAAATACCCCATTCCTAGAGAATGGAATACGAAACAAAATCCTCCCTACAGCTATTGGATTTACTTCATGTTCGCTAATATCGCGTCATTGAATTTCTGGAGAAAGCAACGCGGCTTCAATACTTTTGTTTTAAGACCTCATTGCGGTGAGGCTGGGGATCCAGATCATCTTGCAGTTGGTTTTCTCTGCTGCCACAGCATCAGTCACGGAATACTGCTCAGAAAGGTCCCTCTATTGCAGTATTTGTTTTACCTCGATCAGATTGGGATCGCAATGTCCCCGCTCAGTAACAACGCGCTATTTCTGACATATGACAAAAATCCGTTTGCGAATTTTTTCAGGCGCGGCCTGAATGTATCCTTGTCAACGGACGATCCTCTGCAATTTGCGTTTACCAAGGAGCCGTTGATTGAAGAATATTCGGTTGCTGCACAGATATACAAATTCAACGCTGTGGACATGTGTGAGCTCGCAAAACATTCAGTCGAGCAAAGTGGCTTTGAACTATCATTGAAGAAGAGATGGCTCGGTGCGAACTGTTCTCTCCGCGGGGTCGCAGGAAATAATGTCGCAAAAAGCAATGTGCCAGACATTCGGGAGCAATTCAGGCATGAAACTTTACTTGGGGAGCTTGCCTTGTAAGTTATTCTCTTGCTTGCAGTCCATGATACAGACAGACATCTTAGGGCGAAAATAGAACTTGCTGACTTACCAGGATTGAACGTTATTCTGATCGTCATATTGACTGTTCAACTAGGCGACCAATCGTCCCCGCCACAGGCAGTCAGCTAGAAGCGCCGTCACGGATTCCTCTGGATCCAGAGCAAGGGCACTCAGGCCATTGTAAGTTCAAACGCCGTGGACCCGAAAACTCGCTTTTAGAGTCCCTTGTCCGATGATGTCGGAGTCTTTATCGTCTCATTATCATTGTTATTGTCGCCATTTTGACCGCGTCCCTATGGTCGTTCCCTTTGTCCTTCGGGCGCTTGTTCAGTGTAGGGTCTTAGTCTCTGTTCGATCTGATTGCTAACGATGAACATGCAGCACAGTCTCCCACTAGCTCGATCTTACCTCAGCTTCGATCCGACGCCAGTGACGCAGAGGCTCTTCGAAATACCTGCTCCTCAGATACCACCAGGGCCGGCGACTCTGGCAACTCACTCGGAGGTACCCATCCCACAGGGCAAGCGGCAGCTTCCCCGGGAAGTCCACCAGAGCACCGGATTTTCCCTGGTATTGTCCATGAGAGAATCCGGAGAGATAATACCAACATCAATAATGATAGCTGAAGGTCATTCGAAAATACAGGCAGAGAGAGCATTGGTCAGCTCAATGCTGGAGTCTCAAAAATCCGAAATAAACAGCTTTGACACTATCTGCTCACGCCTACAAATATTATGAATCTAATTTGAACATCTTTGAAGTTAGCCATGCGCATCTTAATATTGATATAATCCTTAATTCATGCCTCGTCGCGTTGTGATTCGGATATTTAGGGAATTACTATCTGCTCTGCTGTACTATCTACGTAGCATAATACAATATTGAAAATCTTTACCTTACAGAAAATAGCTATGAAGCCAGGGCATAGGATTTCTTGTGCCTGGCTAAGGTATTGATAGGGATTATGGTGAAATATTAATATGTGATGCTGGATACTGATATGTGGGTAGCCAGAAATACACAATATAGCAGATCATTGAAGTCTCGTGGCGCTGAAGGAGCTGAGAAGAACGGGCAGGGGAGAGAGCCTATAGATGTATGCTAAAGGTAGTACATGACATTGTGGAATGATAAAGTCACTTACCTCCCTCTGTATACTCAATTATTACAGATATTCCAAGCTATAAAAACGATCAAGAAAGGACAGAAAAAAGCCGCACTCTATCACTGATATTTCTTGGTGTTGAGCTAAAACTAGAGGCCATGACTCTGGGCTAGTATGTGCATGGACCAAAAACAATATTGCAATAATTAGTATTTTCAGGTCAGAAGTTCATTAAATTGCCCAGCTCCCTCTCCTCTCAAGCACACCCCATGCGTCATGATCATTATCATTATCAAAGTTGGGTTGCGACCTTGCCAAGTCATGAATATACAAACGTAAGGCCACCCAACGGGCACAGACCTGTCTAACGACCGGCCCATTTGCTGAACCATCTTCATTGACTTGAAGGTAGCCCCTAGCAAGAGCAGATGTATCGCCCCGTCTGAGTTCCTTCACAGGGATGCCTGACACCCTGCTAAGCTCATGGTCATAGTAACGTGCAACACACGGGTAACCTAGAGATAAGTAGTTATAGATCTGGGTCACGAAATTATCGTCAACCCCAAAGCAGCAATCATGATGTTCATTGTCAATGTCATCACGCGATAATTCTCCTACATCTAAAGCCAGATGACAAGAGGAGCTAGAAGTGGATTGGTCCTGGTCCTGCTCATCGTTGTATACTTTAGATTGACACTCATTGTTATAGTGACGAAAATTGTCTGTCACGCAGGGTAAAGATCCTTTGGATTGTTGAGCATGCTTGTGACTGCAACATGTTCCCTTCCAGAGACCAGTAGTTGCATCATCCTGCATATGATCAGGCTGTGTACACCAAAGACCAGATTCATTGCAGACTCGCTGCCTTGAATCAGTAGCACAGTCCAGCACAGAGCCACTCTCACACATCGTCGCTTCGGGAGATAAACTCTGTGGGAATACAAGGTCATCGCCTAGCATAGGTGGACGCGCGAGATGCCTGGAGAGATCTGGCTCATACTTTCCTCTCCAACAGTCATTATCGATTCCATTGTAAAACTGTCGAGGGTTGAATATTGCAGACGAAAGGCGTGTCCCCTTCGTACCCGCCATAGCACGATCCCTCATTTCGGCATCCTCCTTGTGCCGGCGCATATGTTCAAGTTCCCACGGAAGATCGGCCGACGATTCCCGCCTCGATACAAGCAGAAGGCCGTTTTTCGAGTCCCCGTCGGAACATTCGTCTTCATCCTTGTCGATCGCAAAGTGATCCACAGGCTCATATACTTGTTCATTAGGAAACGCTGCAAGTGCCTGCTCCTTCAGTTGATTTTCCACCGACTGAGCTGCGAGAGAAAGGAAGTACTCCGCCATATGACCATCACGGCCAGTTTGACAGCTGTTTTCGGCTTTTGAGTGTAGAGCAGATACATTGGATGAAACGGAAGGAGACGCCGAGAGCGACGGTATATCCGACCCCTCCGAGGCATCACTGCAGCTGGAAGGGATTGCAGGGAGGTCTGGCACTCGAAAAGAGTGGCTTCTTGACTCTTGGCGCTGTTGAAGACTAGAGTATGAAAATTTAGATTCGATAATGGCAGAGGAAGTATCTGAGTTCGCGCAGGTGGAGGTGCCGCTTTGTGTTCGAGACCCGTTGTCATACCCCTGTACAGGAGCTTCAGACAAAGTATGCGACGTTTCCTTGAGGCGAAATGAACGTTTATTGGTCTCAACAAGCTGAGGCGCAAACTTTCTAGGGCATGATTGCATCTGAAGTACGACCTTTTTGGCAGCCGAACTCGAAACAGGGTAGGGCAGTCGGTCTCTGTTCGTTTTGGTGTCAACTGAATTATGAAGTACTTCTTCCCTTATCAGTTGCTGCTGGGAACGGCCATAGATCCGGTTGTCACTATCTTCAATGTCACTCGGTATCAAGGAGTCCTCTTGCTGTCGTTGCGAACCCGTGAGATCGTGGGATGAGACTGGCCGCGTATCTGCAATGAGTGTTCCTGCTGGCTTGCCTGTTTCAACCTCCTGTTCCACGGAAGAGGCCTGCGCTGAGGGACCTGACTGGCGGTTCCGGGAACTGCGAGATGATGATTCAATCACATTAGGTAGAAATTTTCTGACCCTTTGGGGCGTTTTCTTCGTCTGCTCCGACATTGTCTTGGGTATTTTGATGATACAACAGTGTGTAGACACTTCACGTGGAGCTAGAGTGATTTGCAACTGCCGAATGCTGCCATATCCAAATAAGATAACTTTGCGGACAAATCCAAGACAAGTGCAGACTAGCCCTCAGGCAGGCATAGTTGCAAAATATAGTAGATGTCACCCTGTGTGTCTCATCCGGGACAACTCTCCATTTTTTTAGTAGTATCGGACTATATTTGACTGAAGGCTGCCATAGTATGACTGCTCATGTAGCCTTCACCGAGGTGATTGTATTGTCTATACAGGATGCGTCTCGAAGTTTGATATCCGCAAGGTCCCAGTGGGCTGACATATATAATTAGAAATGTCTGATAAAAAAAGCACATATCTAGAGAGGTACAGTGGCAGGTCAAAAGTCTGAATCCAGTGGTATTACCACTAGCTTAACTAGGAAATTCCTTGATATTACTGCTGCAATTTAAATCTTAAGATACCCTCTTCAAATTAACAATAACACAGCACTTTACTAAAAGTAATCACTGTAGATGTAATTATATTTAGGCTCTATAGTATTAGATAGAATTATTATATGCTTCATAGAAAGCATCATAATATTGCTTATAGGACTATTATGACTGCTAGTTGTTGAGAATCTATTAGATCCCTTATCACATTAAATTCAAATATTCAACGTGCCACTGTACAGCAGCCTGTTATTTTAAATATGATGACTAACTCTGGATAAGGCTGTCACATAATGCTAAGTTATGAAATTATGGCAAGCCAGGGGTATCCATCCCCCTATGCACCCACACCACTGTGATATTGACTGGTATGTCTATGGTTTCAAAGAGAGTCTATGAAAGTGTGAATATAAAATATCTAGTAGGTGTTACTAATATATATATAATTATATAGACCCTTATATTCCTTTATAGCTTAGGTAGAATTATAAAAATGGGCTAGAATCCTTTATTATTAGTAGGATTAGGACATGTATAGGGCAGCTACTGGCCTACCCCTACCCTGACACACATGAAAGACTCTACCCCCCTGTGATGACAAATATTCCAATATATACCCTACCAATATTAAGGATTTCTAGCCCATTTTTATAATTCTACCTAAGCTATAAAGGAATATAAGAGTCTATATAATAATATTATATATATTAATAATATCTACTAAATATCCTCTATATACTATTAGATATATAATTAATATTATATATACTAGTTAATATCATATCCTCTCCTACTTAGATTAAACTCTATCTATAGAGTCCTTACTTAGTAAGTAGGAGTTTAGTTAGCACCTATTATTATAGCTAAATAGACTTAATTATTATTAAGATATATTAATTACTAGATCTAGTATTTAGATAGTATTATTTCTTTATTAACTATCTATAGAATCTACTAAATTATTTTTATGTCTTAACTTTTAAGATCAGGGTAGTAGTAGCTTTAGTAATTTCTTTATTAATATATAAGAGTTAGATTACTTTATTTATTAATATTAATTAGTAAGTTACCTAAGTAATTAATAATTACTAAGTAGTATATAGAGAATTATAATAAATATTACTATTTAGAAATATATATAAATAAGAGAGTGTAAAGGCTCAGCTGTAGCCCAGCCACTCAATTATGCAGCCACCCCTTGCTTCCTAATTGTTTTCAACCTCCTGTTTTCAACCTCCTGCTTTCACACCTTGAGCCGCTTTCGAATCATCGCTGAATGCATCTAGGATAGACAGCGAAGATAAATAGTATGCCCCTTGTCTGGTATTCGAGAAGACAAGGATTAGTTTTGTTTCATATAATCTACTACTCTCTACCATCCTCCTCCATTAATTATCGTCACCAGTTCTTACCTAGTCAACAGGCCATCTACCCTGATACGTAGATCCTTACAATTTCTAATCCTTCTTTCTTTGACTACTTAAGTATTGGTTACGATGCCTGCTGATTTTCACCATGGAGCTATTGCTTCTACCCCTTCGCCGGTGGAACAACATGGTCCCGTTGAAGAAACGTCTTCTAATCTAAGCGACTCCTCTACCCCTACCAATCAACCTCAAGAGTTGAAGGGTGCTGAAATACAACAAATCCTACAACGAATTACTGAACTTGAACGCCTTCAACAGATTCGAAGAGTTGATGAGTTTGAACAGCTTTCCCATCAAAACGACACATCTTCAACGGAAGATAGGCAGGAAATCAAATTCAAGAATCTTCCTATCTTTACTATCAAATATTCACTCCAGAAAAGAGAAGAATGGCTCCAAGATATGGAATATATATTCCAAGGAGCCCCAAAGAAATATGCCCCTGACAAGTTCAAAATCATTACTGCTATTGCACAAATGGACTCTACCTGCAGACAGCGATGGTACATCAAAATTCACGAAATGTCAACGGAACGACAACGAAACGCTAAGAATTCATGGCAGTTTTTCAAAGACTGGACCTTGAGCTTGATCCAAGACGCTAAAACAGTTGAGGCCGATGTTATTGTCAAATTACGTCAGGCCCATCAACGCCCAGACGAGGACCCTAGAGAATTTCATTGTTATCTAGATTCTCTAGAACAACATTTCCCTCAACAAGATGAAAAGCAACAAGCTCTGGCCTTCTTCAGCAGCCTTACACCAGAGTTACGTACTTATATTCAAGAACACCTTGATAAACTACCAGACACTCAAGATGAAATGGTGTCTGTAGCTTCGAAATACCACACCTTTTTACAGAAACAACAGAAACAAAAGAGAAAAGACATTGGAAAGCCTCAAGAAGGGAAATCTCAAAATGGTAGCCCATCAAAATACTTTCAAAGGAATTCTGAGAGGTTTGCGAAACCCAAATAAAACTAACTTAATAAGGATGGGAATCCCTTAAAATACTATAAATGTGGTAGTGAAGAACATCTTGCCAACCAGTGCATTGTAAGGGATGCTAAAGTCTAATTAATTATAGAAAATGATGAGGGGTCAGAGTAAAACCTATGCCTCTAACCTCCCACCCAGCAGTAGGGACTACTACTTGTTTCTATATTCTAATACAGCTGGTTAACAGCCTTAAAATGCACGCTAATCTTGATAGCTGTGCTGAGGTTAATATTATTAGTATTGCTTTTGCAAAATCACAAAAGCTATAGCAAGCTAAACTTACTGCCCCTATTATTAAGGCAGTTAACAACTTTATTACTCCTACTTATAGGGTTTGGAAAGTCCCTATCATTACCCACAATTCTAGGGGTAATAAATAAAGTTTTAAATAAGCTTGTATAGCTATTGATTGCAACCTACAACCTAAAGGAAGTCCTATTCTTCTTTTAATAACTATATTATGGGACCTCCGCATCTACTTATCACCATAGAAATGCTAATGGTGGTTTAAGATATTAACCTTTTCCCTGACCAACCCTCAAAAGTTTAAGAAACTATGTCGTAACTATGCAACAGTATTTGTATTAGTTAAATTACCTAAAGAGGTATGGCTCTCAGAGGAAGAGAAAGATAAGAAGTATTATTCTCTTAAGAATATACCTCCAGAACTAGCCAAGTTCTATAATGTATTCTTAGCAGAAAAGTTAAAGATTATACCTTCTCACTCTTCTTAGGATCATGCTATTGAAATAAAACCCAATAAATCACTACTGTTTAGCCTACTATATCCCTTATCCCAAGCAGAACTTCATGAATTAAAGGAGTATCTTAATAAGAATATTACATGTAGAAGAATTCAACCTTCTAAAAGCCCTATAGGAGCTCCTATCCTTTTTATCCTAAAGAAAGATGGGGGACTAAGACTATGTGTTAATTACCATGGACTTAATAAGATAATAGTGAAGAATTAGTACCTATTACCCCTTATATCAGAGATTCTTGACTAAATCTCAGGGGCTAAATACTTCAGCAAAATTAATATCTAAGAGGTGTACTATCAAATCCACATTAAAGAAGGAGATGAATGGAAGACAGCCTTTCATACCTAATATAGCCACTATGAGTATATAGTTATGCCTTTCAGCCTTATAAATGCGCTAGCCACCTTCTAGAATTACATTAACACCACCTTACATGATATTCTTAATATCTTTTATGTGGCCTATCTTGATAATATCCTAATTTTCTCCTAGATAAGAGAGGAACACACTGAATATATCTCTTAAGTCTTAGAAAGACTACAGAAAGCAAAACTTTATGCTAAACCCTTAAAATATACCTTCTACTAAAATCATGTTAAATTCCTAGGATATATTATTTTAGCTAATGGTGTATCTATAGATATAAGCTGGGTAGAAACTATTATTATATAGGAGGAACCCTATAGTTATCATAATATCTAGGTCTTCTTAGGCTTCTGCAACTTCTATTAATAATTTATTAAGAACTATTCCCTGATTACTTTACCTTTGACTAATCTCCTGAGAGGAATGAAAGAAGGAAAGAAACCAGGATTAGTAAAGTTTAACCTTATTAAGAAGCTTGCATTTTAAAGACTTATTACAGCCTTTCAGGCAGCACTACTATTATGGCACTTTAATTCAGCTCTACTAATATAGATAGAGACAGATGCCTTAAAAGATGGCATGGCTGGTATCCTCTCCTAACTAGATAAATAAGGGAGATGGCATCCTATTATCTTCTAGTTAAGAAAGTTTATAAGAGCTAAACTTAATTAGGCAATACTAGATAAAGAATTATTTACTATTATTCATTCCTTTAAATATTAGCATTAGTATACTGAAGGAGCCACGCATTAGATTAAGGTTCTCTCTAATTATGCCAACCTACAAGGTTTCATAAAATAACCAAAGTTAAATAGCAGATAGGCCTGTTAGTTAATTTCATTAATGCCATTTAATTTTGTTATTAAGCACTAAAAGGGGAAGGCTAATCCTGCTAATGCACCTATAAGATAATATGGTAATCAGACTATGCTATAGTCTGAGAGTGATGATATTATTACACTAATTTATAGATGAATGGTTGCTATACAGTCACTAAGGACTAAGGGTTAAGATAACTATAAACTAGAGCTAGGTAATATGCTATTAGAGCTCTGTAATTATGAAAACCACCTATAGTAGGAGGTAATTTGCTAAGATGATCTACAGTAGTTAACTAATAACTAGTTAATACTACAAGCCTTAGTTAAGTGTGCTACTCAAAAGGAAAATGTTTACAAACATAAAACTACTAAAGATCTAAAGGGTTTAATTAAATAATTACAAACTAAAGATATTAAGGTTTAACACTGAATTGCTGCTGTCAAGCAGAATGCTATGGAGTAAAAATATTAGAATATTAATTCTAAAGATCTTCTATAATTTAAAGGCAAGTTATTTGTGCCTAATACTAAATAATTAAGGAACTAATTAATTAGC